GCTCCTTGTCTTCAATGATCTCTTCGGTAGTGACGGTCTCCTCAGTGGGAACTTCTTCAATCTGAGGTCCTTCCTCTGGGAATTCTTCGTCAACGGGCCTTGGCTCCTGGACTTCGGTGACCTTCTCGATGATTTCGACAACGCCACCCTTCTTGGTCTTCTTGATGATCTTCTTCTTTTTCTTCTTGCCAGGTTGCTCCTTGTCTTCAATGATCTCTTCGGTAGTGACGGTCTCCTCAGTGGGAACTTCTTCAATCTGAGGTCCTTCCTCTGGGAATTCTTCGTCAACGGGCCTTGGCTCCTGGACTTCGGTGACCTTCTCGATGATTTCGACAACGCCACCCTTCTTGGTCTTCTTGATGATCTTCTTCTTTTTCTTCTTGCCAGGTTCCTCCTTGTCTTCAATGATCTCTTCGGTAGTGACGGTCTCCTCAGTGGGAACTTCTTCAATCTGAGGTCCTTCCTCTGGGAATTCTTCGTCAACGGGCCTTGGCTCCTGGACTTCGGTGACCTTCTCGATGATTTCGACAACGCCACCCTTCTTGGTCTTCTTGATGATCTTCTTCTTTTTCTTCTTGCCAGGTTGCTCCTTGTCTTCAATGATCTCTTCGGTAGTGACGGTCTCCTCAGTGGGAACTTCTTCAATCTGAGGTCCTTCCTCTGGGAATTCTTCGTCAACGGGCCTTGGCTCCTGGACTTCGGTGACCTTCTCGATGATTTCGACAACGCCACCCTTCTTGGTCTTCTTGATGATCTTCTTCTTTTTCTTCTTGCCAGGTTGCTCCTTGTCTTCAATGATCTCTTCGGTAGTGACGGTCTCCTCAGTGGGAACTTCTTCAATCTGAGGTCCTTCCTCTGGGAATTCTTCGTCAACGGGCCTTGGCTCCTGGACTTCGGTGACCTTCTCGATGATTTCGACAACGCCACCCTTCTTGGTCTTCTTGATGATCTTCTTCTTTTTCTTCTTGCCAGGTTGCTCCTTGTCTTCAATGATCTCTTCGGTAGTGACGGTCTCCTCAGTGGGAACTTCTTCAATCTGAGGTCCTTCCTCTGGGAATTCTTCGTCAACGGGCCTTGGCTCCTGGACTTCGGTGACCTTCTCGATGATTTCGACAACGCCACCCTTCTTGGTCTTCTTGATGATCTTCTTCTTTTTCTTCTTGCCAGGTTGCTCCTTGTCTTCAATGATCTCTTCGGTAGTGACGGTCTCCTCAGTGGGAACTTCTTCAATCTGAGGTCCTTCCTCTGGGAATTCTTCGTCAACGGGCCTTGGCTCCTGGACTTCGGTGACCTTCTCGATGATTTCGACAACGCCACCCTTCTTGGTCTTCTTGATGATCTTCTTCTTTTTCTTCTTGCCAGGTTGCTCCTTGTCTTCAATGATCTCTTCGGTAGTGACGGTCTCCTCAGTGGGAACTTCTTCAATCTGAGGTCCTTCCTCTGGGAATTCTTCGTCAACGGGCCTTGGCTCCTGGACTTCAGTGACCTTCTCGATGATTTCGACAACGCCACCCTTCTTGGTCTTCTTGATGATCTTCTTCTTTTTCTTCTTGCCAGGTTCTCCTTGTCTTCAATGATCTCTTCGGTAGTGATCTTCCGATCTTCCTCAGTGGGAACTTCTTCAATCTGAGCTCCTTCCTCTGGGAAATCTTCGTCAACGGGCCTTGGCTTCCCAGGAATTCAGTGACCTTCTTCGATGAGTTCGACAAACTGCCACCCTTCTTGTCTTCTTGGAGATCTTCTTCTTTTTCTTCTTGCCAGGGTGCTCCTTGTTCTTCAATGATCTCTTCGTAGTGACGTCCTTCCTCAGTGGTGAATCTTCATCTGAGGTCCTTCTTATGGAATTCTTCGTCAACGGGCCTTGCCCCTGACTTTCAGTGACCTCTCCGATGATTCGACAACGCCACCCTGCTTGGTCTTCTTGATGATTCTTTTTCTTCTTGGCCAGGGTCCTCTTGTCTTCAATGATCTATTCGGCAGTGACGGTCTCCTCAGCTGGGAACTTACTTCAATTGAGGTCCTTCCTCTGGGAATTCTTCGTCAACGGGCCTTGGCTCCGGGACTTCAGTGACCTTCTCGATGATTTCGACAACGCCACCCTTCTTGGTCTTCTTGATGATCTTCTTCTTTTTCTTCTTGCCAGGTTGCTCCTTGTCTTCAATGATCTCTTCGGTAGTGACGGTCTCCTCAGTGGGAACTTCTTCAATCTGAGGTCCTTCCTCTGGGAATTCTTCGTCAACGGGCCTTGGCTCCGGGACTCCGTGAACCTTCTCGAGATTCGACAACGCTACCCTTCTTCTTGGTAGTCTGTGATGATCTTCCTTATCCGAGCTTTCTGCCAGGTTGCTCCTTGTCTTCAATGATCTCTTCGGTATTGACGGTCTCCTCAGTGGGAACTTCTTCAATCTGAGGTCCTTCCTCTGGGAATTCTTCGTCAACGGGCCTTGGCTCCTGGACTTCGGTGACCTTCTCGATGATTTCGACAACGCCACCTTTCTTGGTTTTCTTGATGATCTTCTTCTTTTTCTTCTTGCCAGGTTCCTCCTTGTCTTCAATGATCTCTTCGGTAGTGACGGTCTCCTCAGTGGGAACTTCTTCAATCTGAGGTCCTTCCTCTGGGAATTCTTCGTCAACGGGCCTTGCTCTGGACTTCGGTGACCTTCTAGATGATTCGACAACGCCACCCTTCTGGTCTTCTTGATGATCTTATTCTGTTCTTCTTGCCAGGTTCCTCATTGTCTTCAATGATCTCTCGGTAGTGACGGTCCCTCCAGTGGGAAACCTTCTCCAATCGAAGGTCCTTCCTCTGGGAAGTCTTCGTCAACGGGCCTTGCTCCTGGACTTCGGTGACCTTCTCGATGATTTCGACAACGCCACACTTCTTGGTCTTCTGATGATCTCTCTTCTTTTTCTCTTGCCAGGTCCTCGATTGTCTCACATCGAATCCTCTCTTCGGTAGTGACGGTATCCTCAGTGGGAACTTCTTCATCTGAGGTCCTTCTCTGGAATTCTCGTCCGGGCCTGACTCCTGGAACTTCGGTGACCTCTCGATGATTTCTGACAACGCCACCCTTCTGGTTTCTTGATGAATCTCTCTTCTTTTTCTTCTTGCCAGGTTGCTCCTTGTCTTCAATGATCTCTTCGGGAGTGACGGTCTCCTCAGTGGGAACTTCTTCAATCTGAGGTCCTTCCTCTGGGAATTCTTCGTCAACGGGCCTTGGCTCCTGGACTTCGGTGACCTTCTCGATGATTTCGACAACGCCACCCTACTTGGTCTTCTTGATGATCTTCTTCTTTTTCTTCTTGCCAGGTTGCTCCTTGTCTTCAATGATCTCTTCGGTAGTGACGGTCTCCTCAGTGGGAACTTCTTCAATCTGAGGTCCTTCTTCTGGGAATTCTTCGTCAACGGGCCTTGGCTCCTGGACTTCGGTGACCTTCTCGATGATTTCGACAACGCCACCCTTCTTGGTCTTCTTGATGATCTTCTTCTTTTTCTTCTTGCCAGGTTCCTCTTTGTCTTCAATAATCTCTTCGGTAGTGACGGTTTCCTCAGTGGGAACTTCTTCAATCTGAGGTCCTTCCTCTGGGAATTCTTCGTCAACGGGCCTTGGCTCCGGGAATTCAGTGACCTTCTCGATGATTTCGACAACGCCACCCTTCTTGGTCTTCTTGATGATCTTCTTCTTTTTCTTCTTGCCAGGTTGCTCCTTGTCTTCAATGATCTCTTCGGTAGTGACGGTCTCCTCAGTGGGAACTTCTTCAATCTGAGGTCCTTCCTCTGGGAATTCTTCGTCAACGGGCCTTGGCTCCGGGACTTCAGTGACCTTCTCGATGATTTCGACAACGCCACCCTTCTTGGTCTTCTTGATGATCTTCTTCTTTTTCTTCTTGCCAGGTTGCTCCTTGTCTTCAATGATCTCTTCGGTAGTGACTGTCTCCTCAGTGGGAACTTCTTCAATCTGAGGTCCTTCCTCTGGGAATTCTTCGTCAACGGGCCTTGGCTCCTGGACTTCGGTGACCTTCTCGATGATTTCGACAACGCCACCCTTCTTGGTCTTCTTGATGATATTCTTCTTTTTCTTCTTGCCAGGTTGCTCCTTGTCTTCAATGATCTCTTCGGTAGTGACGGTCTCCTCAGTGGGAACTTCTTCAATCTGAGGTCCTTCCTCTGGGAATTCTTCGTCAACGGGCCTTTGCTCCTGGACTTCGGTGACCTTCTCGATGATTTCGACAACGCCACCCTTCTTGGTCTTCTTGATGATCTTCTTCTTTTTCTTCTTGCCAGGTTGCTCCTTGTCTTCAATGATCTCTTCGGGAGTGACGGTCTCCTCAGTGGGAACTTCTTCAATCTGAGGTCCTTCCTCTGGGAATTCTTCGTCAACGGGCCTTGGCTCCTGGACTTCGGTGACCTTCTCGATGATTTCGACAACGCCACCCTACTTGGTCTTCTTGATGATCTTCTTCTTTTTCTTCTTGCCAGGTTGCTCCTTGTCTTCAATGATCTCTTCGGTAGTGACGGTCTCCTCAGTGGGAACTTCTTCAATCTGAGGTCCTTCTTCTGGGAATTCTTCGTCAACGGGCCTTGGCTCCTGGACTTCGGTGACCTTCTCGATGATTTCGACAACGCCACCCTTCTTGGTCTTCTTGATGATCTTCTTCTTTTTCTTCTTGCCAGGTTCCTCTTTGTCCTCAATGATTTGCTCTGTGATTTCTATATCCTCGATTTCTTCTTGAATGTCCCTGTCTTTTGTGTGATCTGTGTGTGTAATTTTTTCTTTCTGTTTTTTCCTTATTCGCTCTGGTTTTGTTTCTTTTGTCGACTTGTCTTCCAATTCGATTTTGCGGTTGTCTTCTTCAATTTGGTCTGCAAAATTTTTTTTCAAGAATATAGGTTAGTTTTTTTGTGTAATATTTTGTTTTTTTAGTCTGTTTTGTATTCATTTGTGTGATTGTTTATCGTGGTATTTTGTCGTGTTTTTCGTAACATTTTTTGACCTGATTCTACTATCATGCACTGTGCTCTTTAGCTACAATAATTATCTACAGGATTTAGTGCGAATAGGTATATAAATATAGGTATAAACTTTTGTTGCATTTTTTGGAATACTTTGTGATAATTTTCTACAGGTTTTTTTTTATTTACAAGAGAAAGTTAACGGCTAAACATGTTTTATCGGGGAATGTAGAACGTCAATAACGTATGGGTTGCAATAGTTTAAGTAATTACGAGACAGGAATCATATATAAAAACAAAATTCTGCATTCAGTTTCTAATTTTAACCTGTTATTTTATTCAAGAAACGTTTATAATTGAAAAAGTAAATATTTTAGCAAGGTCACTACATATTCAGTATGTTATGGGGCGAACGTCTGATCTAGAGGAGATTTAGCTGTTAAATAGTTTTTTTTTGTTAAACTGAAATTTCGTAACACAGGTTTTGCAACTACTGAAGGAAGTTTTTCTGTAAGGAGAAAACCTAAAAATCTTTCTTACTTAGTTCAAAACTTACAGTTCTTAGATCTTCTGATCTCTCTGACTGACCTTACCATTAAAAGTTCTGAAATTTACCTTTATATTGTGATTTTCCGTCAGGTTCTTATACACATCGAATAATTTTTACCCATAAATATGATTTATACGCGACATAATGTAAAAATATGTTTGAATAATTCTTTTATGTAAACATACATATTTAATATGTAGGTGTGAACAGAGAAATCTACGCTAGTATAAAGTTTATTCTTATGAGACTTAATGTAAATCCGAGTGACTGAGCACATTCGCGATCGAGACGTTGTATAATTTTTATACATAAATAATAATTGTGTTTCTGCGTGTTGAATGTCATACACTTGAAAAAATATATATTTAAATACCTTTTGCTTAAGCTATTCTGTGCTAAAATATATTACATTACTTATAATAATTATGAACAAGTATTATATAGTGAAGTATTTATTATAAGGACCATAATATTTTTGCTCAGAATAGCATGACACACTAATCTACTTGATATTAAATCTACAGCGTTTCCTCCAAGTTAATTTAGCTGACACGTAACTGGTTTTTGCACATACTCTGAATAAAATTAACCAAACGCAAAGAAATAAGTTTAGGATCTCTCTGTATCACAGAGAATTTCTCCTTGTTTTGCACCAATTTAGAAAATAAAAAAAAAATCATGGAATCACATGTTTAAAAAAGAAGATTTGAAAACATTCATATCATACATAAAGCCAATAAGTTTTTAAAGAATAATATAGCTCGGAGTAAACGCGTTTCATTTCTCCTCATAACTGTTAACATATAAATTCTTTTTATAAATTATAAAGTATACAATTTGGTAAACACTCCTACCTGTGTGTTTAGTTTCAGTAGTCGTTTTCCTCTCATGTTCATCGATCTGAAAATATCCATGATAAACATTTTTTTTTTGGAATGTTCATTATATTGAAACCCATAAAATATTGTACCTCTGTTGTTAGTGATATGTCCTCCAAAACCTTTATGTGAGTTTCGTCATCTGTTTGTTTGGTGATTGGTTCCATTTGCGTGATCTTATGGGATTCGGAAATTTCTTGGACTGAATGTGATGCTTTTTCTGTTATGAGAGACAATTTCAATTCTTCTTCCAATTCATTTGTGATGATCTCATGAGATTGGGGAACTCGACCAAATTCCTCGAAGCACTGTGTTGGCCTTTGCTCAGTAGGTTTATCACTTTTTATGTTATATCCAACTTGCTCCTCTGTTTGCACCTCCAATTTCTCAGCTACAGCAGAACCATATATAGTTTCCTTTGCCATATGTGAGTCTGGTACAAACATGCCATCAAAGCTCTTTGCTGTCTCTTGAACCATTATGTCAGTTTTCACTGGCACTGTTACATTATGTTCGGCTAGTCCAATAGTTGTGACTTCCTTAAGATCCTCAGTCAAAATGTTGCTGATATCTTCGTCGACAGTCACATCTGTCTGCTCGATTGAAATATGCTCAATTGGGGATATTTTAGCAAAAGATTCAGATGGCAAATTGGCGTTTACTAGGTCAGACACGAAGTTCTCTTCCTCAGTTTTGAACTGTGATACAGCTTGAAATTCATCAATGCTAACGTTAACGTAAGACTCTTTGATTTCAGGCATTTTCTTGAATGGAATGCAAGTATCATCAGCTTGAACTTCAGACTGCTGAATTGCAGAATACTCTGAAGTAGTAAATTCGGCCTTCTGATCAACAACCTCAGGTTGAGCCACCGAAGGTCCCAATAGATCTTCCGGTAAAGTTTCAATCTGTTGAGCTACAGGAAGATCAGAGATCTCAACAGTTGCACTATGAGACTTAATATCTGCTGGGGTTTCAAAGTCTTTCGTTGTATCTCCAGTAACAATTTCCGATTGGCTTACGGCTGAGAATTCGTCAGTAGTCAATTGAGCAACCTTTGAGTCAAGATCAGGCTGTTTCTTAAGTTCAGACACTGATTCTTCTAAGGAAACTTGCGTTTGGGATATCACAGGTAGGTCATCCAACGTAATGGATGCTTGCAATTGCTTGATATCATCGGGTTTCTTTAGAGAATCGAGTGTATCAGAAACAAGGACTTCACTTTGCTCAATGGATGTAAATTCTGTTGTAGTGATCTCTGCCTTCTGATCAACAACTTGAGGTTCAGAAATGGAAGATCCAATTTGATCTTCTGATATCGTTTCGATTTGTTCAGCTACAGGAAGATCAGAGATTTCAACAGTGGCTTTATGAGACTTAATGTCTGCTGGAGACTCAAAGTCTTTCGTTGTATCTCCAGTAATAATTTCCGATTGACTTACGGCTGATAGTTCATCAGTAGTCAATTGAGCAGTCTTTGATTCAATTGAATCTTTCCTCAGGGAATCAAGTGTATCAGAAACAAGGACTTCACTCTGCTCGATAGATGAAAATTCTGTCGTAGTGATCTCTGCCTTCTGATCAACAACTTGAGGTTCAGAAATGGAAGGTCCTACTTGATCCTCCGATATCGTTTCAATCTGTTGAGCTACAGGAAGTTCGGATGTTTGAATAATAGCAGTGTGAGACTGTGCATCAGATGGGACTTCAAAATCTTGAACGGAATCATGAACAACTACTTCAGATTGTGATATTGCCAATATATCATTTGTTGTCAATTCAGCATTCTTACTATCGACATCAGGTGCCTTTATGAGTTCAGAAATTGATTCTTCGGGTGATATTTGCATTTGAGATATTACCGAAAGCTCATCTAAAGCAACAAATGCTTGATAGTCTTTAGCTTGATCTGCAATTTTCAAAGTACTCAAAGAATCATCAGCTTGAACTTCAGACTGCTGAATTGCAGAATACTCTGAAGTAGTAAATTCGGCCTTCTGATCAACAACCTCAGGTTGAATAACTGAAGGTCCCAATTGATCTTCCGGTAGAGTTTCAATCTGTTGAGCTACAGGAAGATCAGAGATCTCAACAGTTGCACTATGAGACTTAATATCTGCTGGGGTTTCAAAGTCTTTCGTTGTATCTCCAGTAACAATTTCCGATTGGGTTACGGCTGAGAGTTCGTCAGTAGTCAATTGAGCAACCTTTGAGTCAAGATCAGGCTGTTTCTTAAGTTCAGACACTGATTCTTCTAAGGAAACTTGAGTCTGAGATATCACTGGAAGGTCATCCAACGTAATGGATGCTTGCAATTGCTTGATATCATCCGGCTTCTTTAGAGAATCGAGTGTATCAGAAACAAGGACTTCACTTTGTTCAATGGATGTAAACTCTGTTGTAGTCACTTCAGCCTTCTGATCAACAACTTGAGGTTCAGAAATGGAAGGTCCTATTTGATCCTCCGATATCGTTTCAATCTGTTCAGCTACAGGAAGTTCAGATGTTTGAATAATAGCAGTGTGAGATTGTGCATCAGATGGGGCCACAAAATCTTGAACTGTATCTCCAGCTACAATGCTAGTTCCTAAAACAGCCGATAGTTCATTAGTGGACAATTCTGCAGTCCTTGTTTCAATTTCAGGTGCTTTGTTTAAGTCAGAAACACTTTCTTCTGGAAACACATCAGTGTGTCCGAGAGCTTTATGTTCTGAAATGCTAATTGTTGCTGTATGTTCTTGTTTTTCAAGAGTTTTAGTAAGTTCACTGGTTTGCTCATCTATCCATGGCTGATCCTGTTGTAATGATTCATATTCTGGGACAGTTCCGGCAATTTGTATTGATTTGCTTTGTTCTGGCAGTGTTAGTAAATCTACTGTGTCATGCGCTTGTACTTCCGTGTTTGTGGCTAATTCTAAAGAATCAAATGTGTGTACACTTGTCTTTTCTTCAGGTTTAATAAATTCTTTGGCTTCCGTTGTTACTTCTGACACTATTGTTTCTTCTATTTGCACACTATCGAGTGTTGATTGTGTAAATGTAGCTGTGTGTTCTGGTTCAAACGTTTTATCAAATGTACTACCCTCTTCTATAATGTGTACTTCTTCCTGTGTTACTGCTTTCGTGGGAGCGGTTAAACTTGGTGTTCCATGTTGTTCTTTATACTTAGTGTCATCTAGGATTGAAACATTATCTGATAGAATAACTTCAGTACTCTGTATTGACTCTTGTGCCGCTTCCAATGTGGGTTGCGCATGTTTTTGTGTAGGTGAAACTTTTTCAGTAAATGAATCTAAACACTCAAGTGTTAATATCTCTTCTATTTGCTTCCCTTCTAGATCCCCTGTGCTAACTTTAGCGGTTACTTGTTGTGGAGTTTTCTCAAGTAAAGTTTCTGTATTGTCAAGTATTTGTGTTTCTGCTATGTTTACAGATATACTAGTATCAGGTAATGTTTGTGTGATGGTATGGCTCTCAGTGGGTTGAAAGTCTGGTAGGTTAACTTCAGATTCTTCAGCCGTTACTGTCGATACAAGTACGGACTTTTGCGCATCGTAGTCATAGTTCGCTGTAATTTGTTCAGGTTGTTTTGGTATTTTCATGGCATCTTCCTTATCCTGCACAATTACATCTGAAATTTCTTTGGAGAATAGTGGTTCCATTTGCAATACAGCTTGAGCTGCTTGAACCAATGTTGATGGATTAAATACGTTAACATAATCATTTACATTGACCTCCTGTAGCTCAATTGCTTCATTTGTTGGCATTTCAGACTCAAGGGTCACTCCCTTGGGTACTTTAAATGACTCCAGTTCAGATTCCTTTTCGTTTACTTCTGGGAAATTTGTCTCTGCCGTCTGATACGTTGACACAGCCGCACTGGCTATCTCAGTTTTGGCCTGCTCAATTGGTTTCAGATCATCCTCTTTTTCGTTTGCCATAATTTCCAATCTAGTAATAGCATCCTGCTTATCTAATGTCATACTTGCAGTCTTTGTCTCATATTCGTGACAAGGATAGTCTTCCTGCGGCACCTGAGCGTCAATGAATTCAGTCATGTATCCTTCGAGCGGTATAATTGAGCCTGTAGCTTCAGATGTTTGTGGCTTGGGCTTTTCATCAAATAACCTCTCTTTTTCTTGTACTATTTCTTCTGAAATAGTAACTGTCTCATTCGTAGCTAAGACAACATCGACAGTTTGAGTCACTGGCATGACGTCAGGTACGTAGATATCTTCCAGTTCTGAGCTACTGACTTCCATTGTTACGTATGGTTTCTGTGCAATGTATTCCTCCGTTGCACTTTCAGTAGCTACAATCAACTCGGGATAGTATTTCTCAGACTTGTCATGTGTGATAACTTCTGTCACTTGAAGAGATTCTGACGATGGTACATCAACCTTTGCGTGAACTGGGCTTGTGTGCAGATCAAATGAAGTTACATCTTCTTTTTCAGCTGTTGAGGATTCTGTTACTTGCAGTCCCTCATGTGATATCACATTCTCAATTGCCTGGGCAGCAGGAAGTTGGGGTTTCTCTTGTAAAACATCTTCCTTTTGCTCAATTTCCACCTCCAATATTTCAATGCTATCATGCGGCAAGAGTTTTACCTTTGCTTCGGATTCTTGTAGCTTTTTGGTTTCAAGTTCTCCTACGCTTTCATGCGTAGAACATTGTGTCACTTCAGCTGTCTGATGTGCTGATATGTCAGCATGGGACTTAACGCCTTCAATAGGCTTAGAATGTGGCATATCTTCAGCACTTGTTTCAGCATCAACTTGCGATATTTGAATGGATTCTAGCAAATCAGGCAGATTCACTGTCGGTTGTTTCAGTTTCTCAGTGAGATCCAATATTTTGGAAGGTGTTTCTAATTCACTAGTAATAGTTTCTTCAGTTATGACAGATGCCTGAGGCAAGATGTTAACTGAGGCAACATGGTCTTTTGGTTTTTCTGGAGCAATATTGGTTGTATTGGATTGTTCAATAATTTCGGCGGCCTCAACTGGTGTCTGAATTGGCAATTCGTGCACAACTTTCGGTGTTGGCACATTGAATTCCTCAACATATTCATCAACAAAGGCCTCTTCATTGATTTGTAAATTATTTGGTTTCAGTCTCTTCTCAATTATTTCCGTTTTAACATCCTCAGAAACTTCCACCACTTCCTCCTCTGATTTCTTGACAACCTTTTTCACTCTGGTCTTTTCCTGTTTGTCTTCGAGCACTAATGGTTCGATGATTTCGGAAGTTTCTGCGAAATTATGTAAATGGATGTTGAAGTTGAAATAAGTTGATATTCTCAAGAGAATTTTATCGCATATATGATGACAATATGGTGATAAGCACTTGCATTTTTTGCTATTCTATGATTCGTCAGTTGCTGATTCATTATGACAATAGTTGTTACATGATGTATTTTTATGTACAGTTTGCTTTTATTTATAAAGTATACAGTCAGTTTAATCCCTAGATGTGGGTACTTACACATTCAACGACACATTATCCTTTATGCTGCTGCATAGGTGCAAGGTATTAGATAACATATAAGCAAAAGCATTATATCAATTCGGTCTGGAACGAGAAAACTGAAGCATCTAGAGTAGAAACGTATTTACAATATTAATATCGTCTAATCGTTGGCCTTAAAAGCTCACTTCATTAATATAGCGCAAGAAGCTAAAAGAAAGATTCAATATATCGAAACACACAAATTATGAGGTGCAGAATGTACATATGATAATGAGGAAACACTTAAGTCAAACCTTTGGGAAATGTTGGTTCTTCTTGAATAGATTGTAAGACATTTTCTGGAAAAGGGCGAGGGTATCAGATTTAGTAATAAGTATAGAGAAAAAAAACAATTGATAGTGGTTACGTCGTACAGGGAAAGAGCAACTGAAATGAACAAAATGAGACACAAAAATATCACAAAAATAGACTCACAAAATACAAAAATTAAAAAGTCTCAAATACACAGTTTTTGAAAACTTTTAATAAATCACTTCAGAAGAATAAAATATAATAAATAATAATAAAGTTATTATTTGTAGAACATCTTCTTCTCTCAACTTTATGGTTTTTACAATAGGCAATAATTTTTTTCAATTAAAGAAAAAGCTTTTCAGTCGCTATCCATGTACGACGCTACTTTATAGTTTGTTAATCGGACTTACCGACAGCGACTGTTTTAAAAATTTCAGCTACCCTCAATTCATGTGTCTTTCCAACATATCTCTATACAAACAACAATGTTGATAATATAAGAGAGTCCAATTGATTTGATTTCTAATCTAAGCTTGATAGCTAACCTCTTTGGCTTCAACTGATTTCCATTCTTGTGTAACGAAATCCTCTCTTGAGAAATGTGATAAAACCTCCTCTATTGTTATGTGCTGCTCCTCGACCATTCGCATAAAAGCGTGGAAGCCAACAGTGGCGGCCAGTTGAGTTTCGTCTGCCACACTTTCCTCTGTTATCACTTCGGATATAATCTTTGCGTGACCTTCGCGCTCCACGAGCTGAACAAGAGCAGATTGAGATTCTGGGCTCTTGAGAGCGGGAAAAGCGTTTGCATTGTACAGAGATGTTATTTCTGTTGTAGCCACTCCATGTTGAACTAAGTAAGCGATAGTTGCGAGTTCTCTCATTGGTTCTTCTCCAGGTCCGAATGTTGATGCTTCAATCAGTTCCAGAAATTCATTAACCTCTCGTGCATACTTGATCTCCGTGACATTGATATCTTCTATATGGATTTGCTCCTCAATGATTTCTTTCTTTTCCATGTCAATGCCCTGAGTAATTTCTATCTCACCATATTGTGTGGTTTCTGTTCGAGTTGTCGAAATGGATGCCTTCTCGACTGCTGTAGATTCGTATTGCACTTCAGTTACCTTGGAAGACACTGTCGTTTCACTTTCGGACACCTTTTGTACGCTTATCTGCGTTTTCGTAACATCCTGGATCTTCTCCGTTTTCTTAGTTTCAGGTCCTGCAATTTTGACTACACGTTTCTTCACCTTTGCTTTTCCCGTCTTCTCAACTTTCTCGCTCTTCTCAACTTTTTCTGTCTTAACTTGAACAGCCTCAACTTGAACACTCGATGCCGACGCTAAGTCAAACTTGGCCCTTGTCACTGCATTACCCATGTCATTTTTGGCTTTGCACGTATAGAAACCGATATTTTCTGTTGATACATTTGTTAGAACCAAGGAAGATTTATTCTCCTCGATGTAAATTTTAATGTTGTCAGTGTTACGCACAGGCTTGTGATTAAACGACCATTCGATATCTAGAAAATCATTTAGAGCCAGAAGCATTAGAATGCATTTTTATTATCACTCATTAGTGAATATTATGAAAGAAACCTTCACACCTCCATGGAAGTTGCTTACCTGGCTTCGGGTTTCCGGTGAATTCGCACTCAAATTTAATAGACTCGCCCTCAGCTGCCCTTTTATTTACTATTTCCGTTATAAATGATGGAACTTGCTTTGCAGCTGCAAATAGTCAGTATAAGCATTGAAAGCATAAGAGCTCAGCATGACCACACTCAGCATTTTTCACAATACCACAATCACACACACACACACATGAGCTACTTAATGTAAATGAGAAATTTGGTTTCCTTAACATTTCCCAATATGTTAGTGATAAGCAATGACCAAATGTGCTAAAATAAATTGGAGGCACGATGTATTCCTAAATTCATATGATCAAAGCTATGCATATCTAAAGTGAATCGTTCAAGATCTTTGGTGTGGTGCTTACCACGAAGCGCCTCCTGCATCTCCTCCATGTGAACCACCCAGTCGGGTTTCCTGTATTCTTTCGTGCCGACAATTTCTGCAAATTCAAGAAGCAAATTAATTCTGGCTGTCAAATCCTCTTACAAATACCTAGATGATTTGTGTATCTTGTCATTGTCATTGAGTTTCATAATATTGTAAAGGTGGCAAGGGATTGGGAGAGGTAGAAAAAGAAAGTTAAAATTTAAAGAATTTCTTTTAACTGCTCGAGAAATCTGAAAATAGACACCTTGGAAAACAGAATATTATGGAAAAAAGTAATACATTTCTTTCTACATTGGCATTCGAATTCTTTACCTTCCGTAACTTCTAGTAAGGTTGTGGTTGATATCACTCCGAGAGGATTGTGCGCTTGGAATGTTATTTCGCCGGTATCATCAGGATAAATATCATTGATAACGAGAATGGACGTGCCATCCTCGAGATTTTCAATTTGATACTCTTCTGATGCGTGAATCTCTTCACCTTGCTTGAACCACTTGACTTGTGGCTTCGGTCTACCAACGACTCTGACCTCCAACTTGGTTGGTTTGCTTACAGTCTTAGTTATGATCGGTAACTTCTTGAGCAATTGCGGTGCCATTTCTGTTTCTGTATCCGCGGGCTCGTCCACCGATATGGTCTGTAATTTAAAAAAAATACATCGTGAAATTTATTTATTCCATCAGATGATAATGCAAACTTACTTTATCTGATGCAGCTTCTTCACCTGAAGTAATCTCAGAGTCTTGTTGGTATTCAAATGCTATGAATGGAAAGTGTGTGATTATTATTAGATTGCCAAAAATATATTTGTACATATTATGAAATTAGAATTTATAATATATTTTACTCTACTGAGTAATTATTTACAAATGAACTACAGTTGATGAAATCTTTGATGGATTTACGTTTTAGGGACGGTAAAAGTCTCAAAATCTTCAAATGTAACAACATAATATATATATTACAGAGAGGAAAAGATTTCTGAAATGTAGATTTTTAGGATTTCGGGATACAAACAAGTTCTATCTACAAATGGAAAAAAATAACAATTGCAACGCAGAAATCTCATCCTTCAATATTTGAGGTTGACATACAATGATTATGACTATGAGTATACCTTCAACTGCCACTTGTGTTACTGTGATGGCTTCTCCAACTTCGTTAATAGCATGACAAGTGTATTCTCCAGCATCTTCGGGAAATACTTCGGTGATTGTCAGTACGCAATTACCGGTATTGTCTTGAGAAACTGTAACATTCTTTGCATCCTCAATTACAGTCTTATTGTGGTACCATTCGATGCGTGGCGTTGGTTTGCCCATTACTTGGCACTTCAGTTCAATTGTCTCTCCGTCCATATAATCCATTGCTGATGGCAATTTCTCAGTATATCTTGGAGAAATATACTCCACCACATCGTCGATCTCAGTCTCATCGCGCAACTTGACACTTGCTGTAGATGTGACCGATCCGCCAACATTTTCGGCACGACAGATGTACGATCCAATGAATTGCTTTTTGAACGATCTAATAATGAGGATTGACTTGTTATCATGTGTCACCACGCGGACGTCTTTGGACAAAGTGATTGGCTGAACATTGAGAAACCATTGGAAGGACGACAGAGGTTTGGAATCTACGACAGCTTCGAGAATGACAACATCTCGCTCTCTGACCACCTTTGGTACCAGTGGATGTATGAACCGAGGTGCTTTGATCTCAGGCGTTTCCTTAACATCAGACACAACTACCGATGCAGATGACCGTGCTTCTCCCACTTTGTTAATTGCCACCACCTCGAATTTTCCAACTTTCTTTCTCTCAGCTTTTGCAATTGTAATTGTTGATTTCTTCTCTTCTGTGACTATCTTTACAACAGAATCATTCTCCAATTGCTTTCCATTTCTCAACCAAGATATTGTTGGATTTGGATTGCCATCAAACTTAACGCTAAGAACAATAGTCGATCCACTTTTGACTATTTGCGCTTGCAAAGGTGTCTTTATGGTAGGAGCTTCGAGTTTCTCTTTCGGCTTCTCTGAGTCCTCCTGAATAGTCATGGTGGCCTTTCCTACAGCTTTACCAAACGCATTCTCCGCTATCACTGTATATACGGCGATTTCGTCGTGCTTGGGATTAAGGATCACCAAAGCCACGTATCCTGTTTTATCATCATATGACATTTGTAATGCTTCTGATGGCGTTATTTCCACATTTTCTCTGTACCACTTCACATTTGGCATAGGTTTACCAGAAACGTAGCAAGAAATGGTTGCACTCGTTTTCTCTGGTGTCAATGCAATTTTCATAGGCGATACAAATATTGGAGCTAATCCGTCTTCCTCTGTTTCCGCTACAAAATTTACAATAAGTGGAACAGGTTGAGGATTGAAAACTTAATTTGTATGTCACATCAAATAACATGCGTTGCACTTAGTAAGGATGAAATAAATCTTGGGGGGAAAATTGTTGTAAAAAGATATAAGTTGCTTGAGGAAGTTATTAGGAATAACAAAATATTCTCAACACTCAAATTAGTTGAAAGATTTGTATATTTTCTCCGTCCCGTAAGAGTGTATTTTTTTTTCAAATATGAATTCTGATTTAAACAATAAGTAATAATGGAAAATTTTCATGAATGTTACTATACAACATATAGCCAACTTACCTAATGCGATGTTTGTCTTCGTGATTGCAACTCCAGCTTCATTCTTTGCTTCACAAGTGTAAACTCCAACCATTGACGGTGTGACTTTTGCTATTTCTAATATTGCCGTTGATTCTACAACAGTCATGATGTACTTTTCAGATGCAAACAGTACCATATCATTGAATAACCATGTAATTGAAGGGAAAGGTGTTCCTTCTACATTGCATTTCAGAATAGTCTTCTCATCTGGCTTACAAACTTTAGGTTGCAGTTTCTTTGTGAATCTTGGTGGTTTGAGTTTAGGAGTTTTAATCAGTTTTGTCTCTTCAACTATAACTTCAGATACAGTTTCCTCCTTAACTTCAAGTATATCTTGAATTGGTTCTTCCATTGTGCTTGGAACGATTGTTTCTGGAACTCTCTTTTGTGTAATAAGTTCCAATTCTGGAAATGGTTGACTGTCATCGATTACAATTCGACGTTTCTCTTTCTTTTCAATATTCGATGTAATTTTCATGTCGATTTCCTTTTTAAATTCTATAACTTCCTCTTCGCTCTCTACCGGAATACTTTCTAACGGCTTTGGCTGAGTTGGTTTCAGTCTGATATTGGTCTCAGTTGTAACAATATCCTCAATAATCTCGCGGGCCTCTTCTTCTTCTTCAACTTCAACTTGTGCTATATCAAGCTCCTCCTTAAACGCCACGCGCTTGGTTTTCTTCTTTTTCTTAGTCGTTCGAACAAGATCTGGCGTAGTTTCATGAACCGAAATCTTTTCGACCCTTGCTTCCTCAGTTGCGTAATCTTCTACGATACTCGTTTCTGCAGTCTCAGCAGCTGATATATCAAAACTGTCCTCAGATTCCACGGATTCAGTGGCACGATGTTTCAATTTCTTCTTCTTCGCGCGTCGTTTTCTCAACTCGACTTGTTCACTATCAAGCATTTCCTCATCAGTAGACAATTCTTCAAGTATATCTTCAGGTTCTGCAGACAATGGTGCTAGATCAGGCTGATCGGGTTCCTCAGGTTTATCTTCGGTCACCTTCTTCGGAATGGGTTTCAACTGCACTTGCTCAGGTTCTTCCTGTTCCAGTGGCTTCCTCTTGCCCTTAGGCCATTGCTTCTCCTCTGCAACTTCTTCCTTGGGCTTCTTCTTCTCTCCGCGACGCCATGGTGTTGGCTGTTCTTCTTCCTTGGTTTCCTGGACAACAGGAGCGTCCTTTGGCACTGGAGCCAATTCGACTTGCTCGGGTTCCTTCGGTTTCTCTTCCGGAGTTTTCTTCGGAATGGGTTTCAACTGCACTTGCTCTGGTTCTTCCTGTTCCAGTGGCTTCCTCTTGCCCTTAGGCCATTGCTTCTCCTCTGCAACTTCCTCCTTGGGCTTCTTCTTCTCTCCGCGACGCCATGGTGTTGGCTGTTCTTCTTCCTTGGTTTCCTGGACAACAGGGGCATCCTTTGGCACTGGGGCCAATTCGACTTGCTCGGGTTCCTTCGGTTTCTCTTCCGGAGTTTTCTTTGGAATTGGTTTCAATTGTACCTGTTCTGGTTCTTCCTGTTCCAGTGGCTTCCTCTTGCCCTTAGGCCATTGCTTCTCCTCTGCAACTTCCTCCTTGGGCTTTTTCTTCTCTCCGCGACGCCATGGTGTTGGCTGTTCTTCTTCCTTGATGTCCTGGACAACAGGAGCGTCCTTTGGCACTGGGGCCAATTCTACTTGCTCGGGTTCCTTCGGTTTCTCTTCCGGAGTTTTCTTCGGAATGGGTTTCAACTGCACTTGCTCTGGTTCTTCCTGTTCCATTGACTTCCTCTTGCCCTTAGGCCATTGCTTCTCCTCTGCAACTTCCTCCTTGGGCTTCTTCTTCTCTCCGCGACGCCATGGTGTTGGCTGTTCTTCTTCCTTGGTTTCCTGGACAACAGGGGCATCCTTTGGCACTGGGGCCAATTCGACTTGCTCGGGTTCCTTCGGTTTCTCTTCCGGAGTTTTCTTTGGAATTGGTTTCAATTGTACCTGTTCTGGTTCTTCCTGTTCCAGTGGCTTCCTCTTGCCCTTAGGCCATTGCTTCTCCTCTGCAACTTCCTCCTTGGGCTTTTTCTTCTCTCCGCGACGCCATGGTGTTGGCTGTTCTTCTTCCTTGATGTCCTGGACAACAGGAGCGTCCTTTGGCACTGGGGCCAATTCTACTTGCTCGGGTTCCTTCGGTTTCTCTTCCGGAGTTTTCTTCGGAATGGGTTTCAACTGCACTTGCTCTGGTTCTTCCTGTTCCATTGACTTCCTCTTGCCCTTAGGCCATTGCTTCTCCTCTGCAACTTCCTCCTTGGGCTTCTTCTTCTCTCCGCGACGCCATGGTGTTGGCTGTTCTTCTTCCTTGATGTCCTGGACAACAGGAGCGTCCTTTGGCACTGGAGTCAACTTGACTTGCTCGGGTTCCTTCGGTTTCTCTTCCGGAGTTTTCTTTGGAACAGGTTTCAATTGTACCTGTTCTGGTTCTTCTTGTCCAAATGGTACTCTTTTACCCTTAGGCCATTGCTTCTCCTCTGCAACTTCCTCCTTGGGCTTCTCCTTCTCTCCGCGGCGCCATGGTGTTGGCTGTTCTTCTTCCTTTAATTCCTGGACAGCCGGAGTGTCTTTTGGTACTGGAGTTAATTCGATTGGCTTGCGTTTTTTCGGCTTCTCTTCCGGAGTTTTCTTTGGAATAGGTTTCAAATGTACCTGTTCAGGTTCTTCTTGTCCAAATGGTACCCTCTTGCCCTTGGGCCATTGTGTGTCCTCTGCAACTTCTTGCTTAGGCTGTTCTTTCATTCCTCGACGCCATGGTACTCCTTCTTCCACTCGAGGTTCTTGTTCTGTTTCCTCAGGCAATTGTGCTTCTGCACTTTCTTGCTCTACTTTTCTATCAAGCATTGTCTTATCCTCTCTGTATCTCTTACGGCCTCTTTCCCATGGAACAGCAACTTCTTCTTTCTTTTTAATATCTTCTTCTTGCCTCTCTTTTAGGCTAAGAAGAGCAATATCTTCCACGTGTTCTAAGTCATGAGATTCAGTCTGCTTTTTACTACCTCTTTCCCAAGCAACAGGTATTTCTTCTTTTCGCTCAGTTTCTACTTTCTCTCTTTCACTTATATGCAATGAAGCTGTATCTTCGAGATGCTGAGTTTCCATGTGTTTAATGCCTCTTGCCCATGGAACTCCTTGCTGGCCTTTTGTTCTCAAATCAATTTGTGTTGATTCATGCTTGTCAACTTTGAGAATAGATACATCTTCTACATTTGTAAGTTGCTCACTAAATGTCTGCTCTTCTAATTCTTTCTTATGCAGTCGCTTTTGTTTCTGGGGGATGTACTTTAGCGTATCTCTTAATACTATTTCATCCACTTGCCTTGTCAGTTCCAAAATCGAACTATCTTCGTCATGCTTGGAATGTTGCACATATTGTCTGCTAACATCTTCTGAAATTACATGTTCTTGCTCTAGAGCTCTGTCCTCTTGCGTTCGTGTCTCGTCTTCCAATTTCATTTGTTGGAGCTCAAGAAGTCTAGCGTTTTGGTAAGCTTTCTGAACTGATTTTAGATCTACAAACTCTAGTTCTTCCTTTGAGAACTCATGATGCTCTATTTGAGATGGCTTCAAGTCAACTTCTTCTAATTTCTCGTGTTCAATGAATTTAGGTGTGATTACAGTTTTCTTAAGTTTCTTCATCTCTTCTAACCACGGATTTACTTGCTCCTCTTTCTTTGTGTAATTCTGTATCATCCGTTGAATCATTCTCTGTTGTGACAGTGATCTATCTCGCGATGTGTAGCGTTTCTTATGTTTTTCTGTCGGTTGTAAACTACGACTTCGTTTTCTGCGCCACGGTAGAGATTCATCACCACGTGGAATGATCTCTTCATCTTCATAGGATTGACTAGTGGTTGTGGAGAAATCTAAGTCAGTATCTGGAGTGCTGGACGTGGTTGATTCCCGCTGTTGCTGAGCTTGGGAAACATCTGTGATCTTTCTGTGCCAATCGGGTACAGTGAGTTGTGTTGTACGACCTCGTCGTTCTGAAAGAATTAATTGATATCTTGTTTCATTCTGGTTTGTGTTAAAATTACTCAGGCATTGCTTATAACCACATAAAACATTTTAGCACACTTACATGTTCGAGCAGGAATTCGGAATCCAGGATATTGATAAATTCTTTAAATACTTACGCTGTTTTTTTTATGTTTCTCTGAAGAATTTTTCAGCAACGTGTGTTTTGGGAGTGTGTTCTTTTTAATTAGTTAAAAATGAGACGCCCCCGCAATTCAATTCCCCTAAATACCTGATTTCATCTAAAGCTTAATTATCAATTTGTACACAAGTGTGTGTATACATGAATACGGCTTATTAATCGATCATCGTGCATGTATAATTACTCATGTGAATATCCCACAAGTTTTGAAAAGTTATAATTGGATGCTCTGTGGCACACGGCACGTCTCCACATTTTCTTTTGTAGCATGAATCATCATCTGTCTAGAAGGCGAGAGTGAGCCAGCACAACTCTGTCATTGTAATGCAGATAGAAATTAAAATATCTATGGTACATTCACTATATAACTATCTCGCGTTTTTTTTTTACCCCCATGTGAATGTCATATACCTACTGAGTGAGTGTAGAGAGAGAAAAAGAGAAGTTTTTCATCCACCTATAAATAGGATTTGGCTGTATTCTGTGAAACATGGAAGTACGGAGTGAGTCTTTCAAATACAGCTTATATTTGTAAAAGTGAATAATGTTGATGATGTTGTACTCAAAATAGAACTATTCTATTAACGGTCGGCGCATGCCTATACAATACCAACTTCTCATTTGAAGGAAAATGTGACTCGCCAAGGTACAGTTCAGTTGGTTACCTGGTCAGATACAGTTTGGATCACTTTCCCCCGTGAATTGAAGTAGGAAGTCAAAGAGAGTAAACTAAAGCCAAATCAACACTCATTCACAACAAATTATAATAAAATAATAAAACCGTTAAAATCTTGCGGTGGATAAAAGAATATAAAATAAATTGGGAAAATGATAATGAAATTAATTAAAACACAGTGAATAATTTATTTTGTTAGTTTGAAAGTTAAGACAAATTCAAGGAGGTGAAAGTGACCAATTGGAGTTGCAGGGTATGAGGTGAATGCACAATTGCTAAATTTATATTCAAAATGACAAGCAGCACTGCAGGTCATTGCGTTTTGTGTAAAGGAGTCACAAAAAGGCATTTCAAGAATAGCCAAAGCAATTGTCCATTCACAATTTATTGAAGTATATATTTAGAGCCTAATTGCATTACTGACAAGTTAAATCTTTTCAGAGCGTGAGCAGCGTGGAAGAATATCGAAAACATGGCATTTTCGTTCGATTATGATAACTGATTACTCATAACATATCAACAACAACTTCTCAAGAGTTAAAGAGCGTCAAAGTGAACAACATTGTTATAATTAACAATCAATGATTCATTTCTTGCAATCTTCTTTAGCATTCTATATATTTTTTGAATGTGTCTCAACTATTGTCTGATTTGTATTTCTATTCTTATACTAAAATAAAGATCTCTCTTATCCTCCGTGTGTTCATCTGTTTGAGTACCGATGGACCATCACGATTAATGTGTGTCACTGATTCACTACCGGGAGTATTTTTACGCCCATGAGAAAAGTATATATTATTTTTTTCCGTGATTCAGAAAGGTGCGAAGCCATATACAGTGGAGGCATTCCAAATTTAGCCCGGTAATGTAATCCCTCGTTTAGCGTTGATAGAAGAAAAATCTACCGTGTGTATTTTTTCCCGAATCTCCACATAGTCCTCATCGTCTTGAGGCATCTTTTCTCTCTATCATATATACACTGGTGTATGTATAAAATTATGAGAAAATCCCACTGGGGCGTACGAAAATAGAATTACAAGTTTGCGGGAGGCGTTCATTCTTTGCTTTGTGGTGTTGAAGTGTGTTTTCAAAAGATGAAAAGAACATGGCTTGCACACGGCACTGTTACTCGAGGTATCCAATAAAAATACTTTATAACTCCTTTTCAACTATAATTTCAACTTTTCCCCCACACGCTCTTCTTCTCCTTTTAACTTATGTGGTGAGTTGTGTGGATTTTTTCCGGTTGAGAGACATCTCAAGTGTGTAAAATTAAGATTATTTTCAGGTGTTCAAGAGTGTGTTTCTGTGTGTGTAACAGAGATTGCAACGTCCTTCGTCCATTTACAATATATGTAACAAATATCAAATTCCTCTTGCATGAATTTTATTGCCTTCTTGTTGTGTATTACATAAAATTTATATTTGAAATAAATAAATCCTTTATCTATAACTAAGTTTTCTTTTTTCTCCATATAAAAAGCAGGTTGATTTTTTTTTCCATTGTAATATTTAAATCTTGATTTTGCTCATAGTCCAAAAAAATAGCGAAATAATCAGTTATCATTTGAAAAATATATATATAAGTTTTGCTTTTCTCACATTTTATATCTTCATTGCACAGGATGCAAATTTTGCCAATCAATTCAACTTGCAATGATTGTCTCGATTTTAGGGATGGACAAGAAAAGAAATTAATTGGAAACAAAAAAAAAAAGTGCTTTGTAAGCTACAAAATATTCATTTGCTTAAATGGTATACGATTAATTAATAAAGTAAACATCAAATATAATAATAAAAAAAAAATCACGACTAGTTAATAAGTATTTTTGAGATAAATAATAAAATTTCACTGATTTTTTGTTGGTTTTTTGAAAATATTTATAATGCAAAAAATACACACAAATTAACTTCTAAAATCTGAGAAAAGAAAAACAGTAAAAACACGTATTGCAAAATATAATCTAACAATTAAAAAGAAATTAAGAAAAAAAGGTGATCATGAGCGAATTATTGTCATCGGGCATAAACAGATAGATTTTATTTTGGCAAAAACACATTTCTCTTGAAAATCAAAATTCAAGGGCTATTATTTCTTACTTTTCACGATTAGATTAGCCGACGTTTCAACCTGGCCAGCTGATGTGGTCACACGACACGTAAATCTGCCAGAATCCTCCTCATAAGTGGTGTTGATCAAGAGCACGGCATTGCTTCCCTCTTGAATCATCTGCAATAAAAAACATCGCCGTCAGAACACAATTGGCATTCCTCGCGCTTCTTTTCAAGTTGATTCGGGATTTTATTGAGACGTTAATGGTTTCTTTTTCCCGCATTTCAAGGTGAGATAATTATAGGTATAAAAACAACTATTAAAAAAAACTATGAATCCTTCAAAAGATATTAATATGTGGAAACTTATTGCAAAGGAATCAAGTTGCTTTGGAATCTGTTGTAAATATATTTTACCAAGAATTATTCGTATTTTGGTATTCTTAAAGGTTATGGATTTTCTTCTTGTGGACTAAACCAAAGAAAAAACTTATAATAAATTGCATCAATTTGGCAATTTCTCTGAAAATTCAATTTCTTACGCAAGATTGCATCCATCAGAAAGTGTGCACTTGGCTAATAAATTAATGTGGAACATCTTGCAATACATAGTGTCCCCTTCATGCCTTATGATTGCAAAATTTATACAGCATCATCAATCATATCTGTAGACCAAAAAATGCGCGCCTCTGTGAGTTCACGCAGACTCAATTATAATAATTAGGTAACATTTCTTGGCACGGTCAAAGAATGTCACTAATTGGCAAAAAAAAGTTTACAAACCTGAAAGTCGGGCGAGGTGGGAATTAGAGCACCCTCTCGGAACCACTGGACTGCCGTGGGCTTGGCCTTTCCCATGATCTTCGTCTGGAACTGTGCCGGATTTCCCTCTTCGCAGATGACATCCTTGAGTGGCGTGAGAGTTGGCAGGGCGTCCTGTTGCTCAGGCGCCATGACTTTCAGTGTGGCATTGGTGGAGACTTCGCCAGCAGTGTTGCCCAGGACGCATCGGTACACACCCTCGTCCTCGGGGAAGGCCTCAGAGATGCGGAGAGTGTAGTATTCACCCTCTCTGATCATCTGGAAGTACTTGGACTGTTTAATAATGCTCTCGCCCTTGAACCACTTCGCCACGGGATTGGGTTTGCCCACGACGCGCGTCTTGAAGACAACAGAGTGACCCTCCAGGATCTTCTGGTCCTTCAGTGGCTCCACCAGAGTTGGAGCTTTCTCAGTTCCCGGAGTCGTGGGCTTGTCCTTTTGCGCCTTCGCTTGCGTGGCAACACTCAGTTCAGCATCACAACGAGCTTCTCCAGCATTGTTAACTGCCACACATTCGTATTTGCCGGCATCCTCGGGATAGGCTTCGATGATGAGCAGCGTGAAGGTGTTGTCCTCCTCCAGGACCTTGTACTTGATGTTCGTGGTGATTTTCTTGCCATTCTTGAGCCAGTAAACATCGAGAGGCTTTGTGCCGGTCACGCGCGCATCAAAGCGAGCCAATTGACCATTGGCCACCTTGACGTCCTGGACGGTGGCCAAGAAACTGGGTGGAACCACACCTCCACGGCCCTGGCGCTTTCTCTCCTCCACCACCAGATTAGCGCTGCACTTTGCGGTGCCCCCACGATTCTCCGCGATAACAGAGAACACGGCGGAATCCTCGAGGAACACCTGGCGCATGATCAGCACGGATTTGGTGCTGAAGGTGTGGATTTGGAAGTCTGGGGAGTTCTGGATGAGGAAGTCCTCGCGGAACCACTTGACCTGAGGCAGTGGCTCGCCATCGAACTCCACCTCGAAGCGCGCCTGTTCGTTCTCAAACACACGACACGGTTGGATCTTCTTGGTGAAGAAGGGCGCCTTGCTGGGCTGCACTGGTCCCTGAACCACGCGCTCCTGAATCTTCCCCTTGTGCTCCATCTCCGTGGTCTCCGTGGCTGTGATCTTTCGTGTGATCTCCAGATCACCCACTTGCTCCTTCTGCGTCTGCTTCTGCTTCGAGACGTGCACTTCGCGCCCATGAACCGCTGACTCCGATGGCTCTGGTGGTTTCCTCACGAACTTCCGGGTTTCAGTGGTTTTCTCATCGAGTTCTTCACTCTTGTCACTGAAAGATGGGAAGTTGATTGGTGATTTTAGTGAGTTGAATTAGTTAAATTTTTTTCAATAAATCCACCACTTACAGACTGTCCTGGTACTTCTGCGCCATTCCTTTGGCAATTGACGATTGCACGACCTTTTCTCCGGGAATAGCAAATTGATGACTAGCTTCTCTCAGACGAGACTCCTTGACAACTTGCTCATTTTCCAGCTCTTGCAATTTGTTATAGTAATCCTCACCCTTCTTCGACTTCACGGCCTGTTGCCACTCAGTTTCGGGCTCCTTGAACGACTTTGTCTTGTTGAAGCTACCTAACTCAACACCACTCTGCTGATCATGATGCGCCTTTCTCTCCTCGAATGTCTTTTCCAGCTCAGTTTCAGTGCGTTCTTTCTGGTACTGAACAAGATCGTAGTCGTACCAGGCTATAGATGTGGCAGAAAAGAACATCTTAGTCACAGCGGAAGGATAATTTGTAGACCAGATAATACATTACGAAAAAATATATTATTGGAGAAAAAACTACGTAATTCGCAATAAAAATAGAGGGGAAAAAATCATGCTCAGATAATAAATAGAAAATAAAGGTATTCTTAAAACTAATAATGAGGTTTTCCATACCTTTCCGCGTCTTTTACTATCTCAGATTTGTATGTACAAAAGCTGGAAGCGATGAACGTCGATGGGCTTTTCATATCTACAGTTGTTTAGAGCTTTAAGCGAGGTTTACCCAGGAAATGTGGATTGAGGATCAGGGATATTTCGGATCATTTTTGGCTGTGTTCTACAATGTGTGATCTGCTCATATATTTCTTTTGACAATGAAGTGTTTAATAGCGTTGCACTATCTAAGGGTATACTTTGTGTTTAGTTTCTCAAGTATATCAAGAATACATTTTATAAAATAGTTTTAGATCGAAAGTTCAAGTGTTATGAGAATAAAAAAAATTGGCAAAAAATCTCTCTTTTCCAAAAGAAAAAGGCAAAAAGATATATAATATATCAGCAATTTTTATTGTTTGTGCTTCGCTTAGCATAGCAGCTAAATGTTTCAGTTCTACTGAGCCTTGCAAGCATTGTTCTTTTGTTAAGTTTCTCTCAAAAATTATGTCTTCTGATTAAGTGCGACGTCTGTCGATGGTGCGATTTGAACTTTCCATGTGAGTTGTGCAAGTGGTTAAATATAGCATGTCTGCAATATGACTGTTTTGCGGAAAATTCCTGATAAACTTACGTCTTGGCGAATTCTTCAGCACACCACGATAGTCATCCTTGCGCGGAATAACCTTTAGTTCTGTCGTGGCGACAGCTTCGCCCAGTGAACTCCTCGCAATCACCTCAATCTTTCCTGTGTCGTATTGACGAGTTTTCGGTATATCCATGTGATACATTCCATCGTAAGTCAGCTTGTAGCGCGATCCCTGCAATTACAGGTGAAATGATGAGTTCCTGGCGATCTCCAGAGGACACAAAGACAGCTTACATTGACCATCGTGTGTCCGTTGATCAACCACATCACTCTTGGTCGTGGATGTCCAGTGACTCGAGCACAGAATCTCGCCCATTCGCCTTCCTCAACAGTCACTGGTTCAGGATTGCTGACAAACGCCGGAGCCTGTTTCGGCTTCAGTGCCTCATCAGCCTCTTCTGGAACCCTGCATTGAATCACAGCGTTAGAAGTTGAATCATTTCAAACATTTCTCTACCTTTTCTGCACTTACACTTGCCAAGAAGCTTCCATTTCCCGGATTCTCTCGATACTCTTCATTCCCTTTGGCAACTGGGAGTCGTAGATAATACCAGGCTTGCCGGTTGTCTTGATCATCGCTCGGGTCTCATCCATGCCGTACAAATTTGTAGCTCGGCACAGATATTCACCGCTGTCTTCGGGATAAACCCAGCCAAAGTTCATGGCGACGTAGCCAAAGTCGTAAATCGGAGTGAAGCGGTTTTCTGGTTAAATGAAATACTCAGCATTAATAAAGATCTTCTAGTCTGCATAACATTTTATCTCTTACTGTATGGCAAGGGTTTTCCATTGAAGAACCACTCGACTTTCATGTTAGGATCGCCGACTGGTGCCAATTGACATTCAAACTTGGTGCTCTCCATTTCCGTCAGATTTGATTTGTCCTCAATCTGTGTCACAAACCTCGGAGGCTGCTTCCTATCCGGATCGTAGAGATCATCTTCTGTGAGGAAGATCTCAGAAGTGTACTTCTTAATTGTCGCCTCCATCTGCATGAGTGTCTCGGACTTCTTCATACCCTTGGGTATTTGGTTTTGGAGGATAATCGTTGGCAGTTCTGAAGAGAAGAACACATTATTAAATATATATTTCAATCAGAGCATAATGTCACTTAATATCTCACTTTTGCATGAAACTGTAGCACGTGTTGTATCCTCTCCGAGATCATTCACGGCCCGGCAAACATATTCGCCCGAATCTTCAGGATACACATAGAGAATGTCCAATGAAACGAAGCCCATGTCATAAACTGTGCGATAGCGATGGCCAGATGGAAGTGGTTTTCCATTCCTGTACCACTCGATGCGGAGCTTTGGATCCTCCTTGGGCTCAACGCGGCACTCGAAGCGAATGCTCTCGGCCTCATCGACAGTGTGCGACTGGATTTGCGTGATGAACTTGGGTGGCTTCATTGGAGCCTCTTCTTGGGGCGCAACCGTGACTGGACCGCGCTCAAGCTCCTTCAGCTTCTCAGCCGTCATTCCCTCCGGCAACTGGCTGTCGAAGATGATGTCCTTCTTCGACTTGCACGTCACCTTCGCCACAGTCGTGGCTGATCCCCATCTGTTGGTGGCGCGGCACACATACTCGCCCGAATCACGTGCGTACGCGTAGTCCATGTCCAGAGCGATGAACCCGAAGTCGTTCAGCATGTGGACGCGAGAACCAGTGGCCAAGGGGCGACCATTGTGGTACCACTCAATGCGCATTGAGGGATCTCCGACGGGCTCAACGCGGCAGTCAAAGTGAATTGGACCGCCCTCGGGAATGTCCACGTTGTCCTTGATGTCCACGACGAATCTGGGCGGATTGGGCTCCTCCTCCTCGGCACTCACCTCCTCGCGCTTGTACAGCGACTCCTCCAGCTTCTGAATACTCTCGGTGCCCGTACGGAAGTTGGACGGCAATTGCGGCTCCATGATGATGCCCTGGCGACCGCGCACTTGCAGCTTGCACGACACTGTGGCTTCTCCGTGCTTGTTGGTGGCCTTGCAGGTGTACAGCCCAGAATCACGCTGGTAGCATCCGGCAATCTCCAGAATGACGAACCCAAAGTCGTTGATCGTCTTGATGCGCGATCCGGCCCAGAGAGCCTTGCCGTTGTGGAACCACTCGACTCTCATGCTGGGATCTGTGATCGGAGTCAGGCGACACTCGAAGTGCGCCAGGGAGTTTTCGCCCAGAGTCAAGTCAGCCGGCGTTGTGATGAACTCCGGCGGCTTGCCGCTGTCATCTTCAGGCTGCATCTGTCCCACATTGGCGCCCAATCCCTCCAGCTCGGCAATCTTGTCAATTGTCCCTTCCATGCCCTTTGGTAACTGCGACTCGAGGATGATGCTCCTCTTGCCCTGGACACGCATGGAAGATGTGGTAACTGCTTCACCATACTCGTTGATTGCCCTGCATGAGTACTCGCCAGAGTCTTCAGGATAGACGGGCGAAATTTCCAGGATCACAAAGCCAAAGTCGCAGAAGGTGCGGAAGCGTGATCCAGCCTTCAGTGGTTTCCCATTCCAGAACCACTCGATGCGCAACTTGGGATCGTCTGTCGGGATGACGCGCGCCTCGAAATGTACATTCTCACCCTCACGGAGACTGTCGATGTTAGACAGTGGAACTGTGAATACAGGTGCCTTTCCTCTCTGCTCATCTACGCGCTCCTGGTGTTCACGCACGAGTGAATCTTCCAGGGTTTGTATCTTCTCCAGTCCGCCTTCCATGCCCTGCAAACCAGTGACAACATGTTAAACTTCCTAATGCATTTCCCAATTCTTGCTACTTACCCGCGGAAGTTGCGAGTCCAAGATGAGATTAGCCTTCGACAGACATTTCAACGACGCCTTCGTCGAATCCGATCCGTATTTGTTAGTTGCCCTGCACTCGTACTCGCCAGAATTCTCCTCGTAGCAGTACAGAATGTCAAGAATGACGATGCCAAAGTCGTGGAAGGTTCTGAATCTGTGGCCATGAGGCAGTTTCTCACCCTTGTAGAACCACTCCACTTTGAGGTCGGGATCTGTGACTGGCGTCAAGCGCGCCTCGAAGTGAGCACTCTGTCCCTCCACCAACCGGGTGATCTCCTTGATCTGCGTCACGAACTTCGGTGGCTCTCCAACGGGTGTTGTGGGTGTTGCCGGTTGCTGAGAGAGTCCACTCTCCAGCTCCCGAATCTTAGCCAGAGACTCAGGCTGAAGACTGTCGAGGAAGACGCCACCCTTGCCAGTGCACTGCAGATTCGCCCTGGTGAAGTCCTCGCCATACTTGTTGGAAGCGCGACAGACATATTCACCGGAATCGTGACTCTGAACATAGGCGATGTCCAGAAGCACATAGCCAAAGTCAGCCACTGGCTTGATCCTCGTGGAGTGACGCAGAGGTTGTCCGTTGTGGAACCACTCGACCTTCATGTTAGGATCGCCAACAGGCACAAGAGTGCACTCATAGTGGGCTGATTGGCCATCTTTCAGTCCAGCCAAGCTCTGGATTTGCGTTGTGAACCTCGGTTTCTGGCCCTGAGACTTATCAACACACTCGAGATTCACGCTGATCTCTGCTCTGCCCCACTTGTTCGTCGCACGGCATGAATACTTGCCCGAATCCTCAATCTTCGTGCCCAAAATCTCCAGCACGACCATTCCGAAAGCATACACTGTCCTAACTCTATGACTAGCTTCAAGTGTCTTACTGTTGTAGAACCACTCCACAACCATGCTTTGGTCTCCAGTCGGCACGAGAGATGCCTCGAAGTGGGCAATTTCGCCTTCGCTAATGTTACTGATATCAACGAACTCCGATGTGAATCTCGGCGGTTGACCGATTTCAGCTTCAGCCTTCTTATCCTCAGTCCTCCTCAGTGAGTCCTCCAGATCCTGAATCTTCTCCAGGCCCTCGTCGCCCTTCGGGTGCTGGGACTTCTCAATCACACTCTCCTTGCTGCTGCAGTAGACAGTGGTGGATGTGAACGCCTCGCCGGCCAGATTGTAGGCTTTGCACGTGTAAATGCCCTGATCTCTCTCGTAGACCTCAATCAGATCCAGGGTGACAAAGCCAAAGTCGCTGGTCATCTTGAAGCGCGATCCGTGCTGCAAGATCTTTCCGTTGAAGTACCACTCAATCTTAAGATTGGGATCATCTTTGGGCTCAACCTGGCCCTCGAGATGCAGTGGCTGAGCCTCGGAGAGCTTGAATTCTGGGTGCGTCGGAATGACCCACTCAGGCTTGGGATACGCCTTCTCAGGCCCAGCTGGCTTCCTGGCAGCACGATCCGCGGCTGCGCCTTCAGCCTCCTGGACAGCCTCCAATCCTGCTTTGCCCTGCGGATGCTGCGTGTCCAGGAACATTGTAGCAGTGCTCGTGCACCTCAATGAACCAGATGTGGATGCAGATCCCTTGCTATTTGTCGCCTTGCAAGTGTAGATTCCAGAGTCCTCAGCGTACGCGTGATTGATGTCCAGAGCGATGTACCCAAAGTCGTAGGTTGTCTTGAAGCGAGAACCAACTGGCAGGGGTTTTCCGTTGACGAACCACTCGATCTGCATGGTGGGATCCTTGGAGGGCTCCACGTTGCACTCGAAGTGCACATTGTCTCCTTCGCGGCACTCCACGTTGTTCAGATGGGTGATGAAGACGGGGGTTTCGTAAGTGGGCTCAGGGGCTGCCGGACGATCGGCTCGCGGCGCCTCAAGTTGTCCAATGCGAGGCAGCGCGTCAGGATGCATCGTGTCAGCCAGCAACCAGTGGCGATCCTCGATCTTAAGAGTGCACGTGGACACAGCCTCGCCGAGCAGATTGGTTGCGCGGCAAGTGTAGATGGCTGAGTCGTCAGCACGGAGGCCATTGATGGCCAGCGTGACCAGACCGAAGTCGAAGGTGCTTCTCAAGCGAGTTCCAGTCGTGAGGGAGACGCCATTCTTGAACCACTCAATGCGCAAGTTGGGATCAGCTCGTGGCTCCACTTGTGCCTCGAGATGCACATGTTGTCCCTCCACCAGCTTATCGTGGCTGGTGAGGTGTGTGGTGAAGACAGGCGCTTGCTGCGGTGTTGTATCCACAAACATTTCGGGAACACGATTCATGGCGGCTTCCTTCTGTTGAATCTTCTGCCATGATTCAGGAAGGAGGGTCTCTCCGGCGATTGACGATCGTGATTTGACTTTCATGGCTGTCGACGAGACTGCTTCACCAGCCGCATTGATAGCCTTGCACATGTACACACCGCTGTCTTCAGACACCACCGAGTTGATGTCCAGCGTGACGAATCCGAAATCGTGAGTCGTTCGGAATCTCGATCCCATCTTCAGCTCCACGCCATTCACAAACCACTCGAAGTGCATCGTGGGATCTCCGACTGGGACGACACGAGCCTCGAAGCGAGCGTGCTGTCCTTCCCACAGCTCCGCAGGACCGGTGAGGAGTTGGGTGAAGATGGGCTTCTCGAAGACGCGATCGGGTTCGTCTGGTCGCTTAGCCGAGGGCGCCTCGAGTTGCTGGATCTTGCGCATTCCCTCTGGATGCTGCGTCTGCAGCTGAATGTTGGCGTGAGTGCGAATCCTCATTGACGCTGTCGTGACTGCCTCTCCCAAGGGATTGGTCGCACGGCACATGTACACTCCCTGGTCTTCCTCGCGCACATGCTGAATATCCATCGACACATACCCGAAGTCGTGCTGCTTCGTGATTCTCGAGCTATCCTCCAGTGGCTTGTCATTGCGGAACCACTCGACCTTAAGCGTGGGATCACCAACAGGGATCAGACGGCACTCGAAGTGGGCAGTATCGCCCTCAACGATGGTGTCAATGTTCTGCAGAGGCTGCGTGAAGACGGGCCTCTGTCTGGTCACCTGTTCGGGAACGTCAGGACGCTTGAAGGGCTGCGCTGACTCCAATTGGCGGATCTTCTCGAGACCCTCAGGACGCTGCGACTCCATGATAATGCTGTCCTTCGCGATCACTCTCATCTTAATGGACGACACACACTGGCCGAGAGCATTTACTGCACGCACAGAATACTCTCCAGCATCCTCAGGCACAACGTGCTGAATGTCCAGAGCCACATAACCGAAATCGAAGGTAATGTGGAAGCGCGATGCGGACGGCAAAGGCTTGCCGTTGTGGTAGAACTCAATGCGGAGATTGGGATCGTGGATGGGCTCAACCTGAGCTTCAAAGTGAGCTGTCTGTCCCTCGTACAATTCCGTTGTTCCCCGGAGTTCGGTGACGAATCGCGGTGGACTGAGAGGCAGATCCTGAATTTCAGGACGCGTGGGTCCTGCTTTGGATTCCAACTTCTGAATCTTCTCCAAACCGTCTGGATGTTGCGTGTCCAGGATGATTGAGCGACGATTGACGACGCGGACGTTGCAGGTATTCATGGCCTCGCCCAGGAGATTGGTTGCCTTGCACATGTAAGTGCCCGTGTCCTCGCCATAGACGTACAGGACATCGAGGGCAACGTAGCCAAAGTCGTGCGTGGTTCTGAATCTGTGGCCAGCACGGATTGCCTTGCCATTGATGAACCACTCAATGCGGAGATTTGGATCATTAATAGGCTCGACGCGACACTCAAGATGAGCATGATCGCCTTCCTTGAGATTCTCAAGACTGTTGAGAGGAGTGAGGAAGACGGGCTTCTGTCCAACTTCCTCCACCTCAGGCTTCTGTGGCCTCTCGTAGCTCTCAAGCTCCCTGATCTTCGCCAAACGCTGCTCATCCAGCGTGTCCAGGTACAATCCTGCATTGGGATTGACTTTGACTGCGCACGTTGTCACTGCCTCTCCGACAGCATTCTTTGCCTTGCACATGTAGGTTCCCGTGTCTTCGGCATAAGCGTACAGGATGTCAAGGGCCACAAAGCCAAAATCGTAGACAGTCTTGAATCTGTGTCCCTGGGGAATAGGCCTACCATTGCAGTACCATTCCACCTTCATCGTGGGATCATTGACTGGCGTCAGCGTTGCCTCCAGATGGACAGGTGTGCCTTCCTGCACAGTCGCATTGCGAAGTGGTCGACCAAACTGAGGCTTCTCAGCAATAAACTGATCCTCCTCAACCTTCCGCTTGTACCGCGAGTCATCCTCGAGGTACTGAATCTTCTCAAGAGCGCCCTCATGCTGTGTATCCTGAATGATGGACTGGCGCGTTTTCACACTCAGCTTGATCGACGACTGAGCCTGGCCCAAATTGTTCACGGCACGGCAAGTGTACTCGCCGCTGTCTTCAGCGTAAACAGTGAGGATGTCAAGAGCGGCAAAGCCGAAATCGTACTGTGTCCTGAAACGATGGCCCGTCTGCAGTGGCTGGCCGTTGTGGAACCACTCGACTCTCAAGTTGGGATCCGGATAGGGTTCAATGCGGCACTCATAGTGAGCGCTCTGGCCCTCAAAGAGATTCGTCGGGCCGTGCAGTTGGGCTGTGAAGCGTGGGGCCTGCTTCACCACAACATCCTCCTCTTCGCGGCGAGCATAGCGTGAAGTGTCCTCGAGGTGCTGAATCTTCTGCAAGGCTCCCTCATTCTGGGTCTCCATCTGGAGGGCTGCTTTAGCTGCAATAAATAGAGACGTATTGTTAGGGAAGAACGCAATTGGTGTTGTATTTGTATCAACTCACATTGAACGATTAAAGAAGCAGACGTAACTGCCTGACCCAATTCGTTGATTGCCCTACAAGTGTAGGTTCCTGAGTCCTCAGGATTCACGTACTTCATGTTCAGCGCCACATAGCCAAAGTCATGCATTGTTGTGATGCGATTGGCTGCAAATCAAATGGAATTGCATTAATCACTGCGATGGTGATGAATAAGAAGTAATTCTAAACTTACATGCTTCCAATGCAACTCCATTTCTCAACCACTCGACCTTGAGCTTGGGATCTCCGACGGGGATTAGACGTGCTTCAAAGTGCACCGCCTGATTCTCAGCCACTCGGATGTCCTTCACGGGAAGAGTGAAGAGCGGAGCTTGGCTCACGATCTCTTCCTGGACGCTCTGGCGCTGGTATCGCGAAGAGTCCTCCAGCTGATGAAGGCGCGTCAGAGCTCCTTCGTGCTGTGATTCCATGTAGATGGACTTCCTAGTGTGGATCATGGCAATGGCTGAGGTCACAGCCTCGCCCAGAGCGTTCACGGCGCGGCAAGTGTAGGTGCCTGAGTCCTCGGGCAGACATCCCATGATGTCCAGAGCGACGAATCCGAAGTTGTTGGTCTCGGTGAAGCGCGATCCGGACTTGAGCGGGGTGTTGTTGTGGTACCACTCCACCTTCATCGTCGGATCGGACACTGGGATCAGACGGCACTCGAAGTGAGCCCGCTGACCTTCCCTAATCTCAATATTCTTGAGTGATGTTGTGAAGATCGGCGCTTGTTTGGTGATTTCATCCACAACTTCATGGCGATGGTAGCGTGAGCGATCCTCGAGATAGTGGATCTGCTCCAGGCCAGCCTCGTTCTGGCTCGCCGTGAGGATCTGCTCACTGCCGCGGCACACGAGGCTGCACTGAGTCTCGTCAGAGCCGACAAAGTTCACGGCGCGGCACGTGTACGTGCCCGAGTCCTCGGCGATCAGATCAATGACGTCCAAGGCGACGTAGCCGAAGTCGTGGATGGGACGGAAGCGGTGACCCACCGTGATGGGCCTGCCGTTCTTGTACCATTCCACTTTGAGATTTGGGTCGGTGACCGGCTCGAGTTTACACTCAAAGTGCGCATGCTGACCCTCGCGCATTCCCTCCAAATTCTTGGGGCGCGTGAGGAAGCGCGGCTTGATGTTGACAATCTCGTCAACGTACTCTGATCGCTTGTAGCGTGACGAGTCTTCGAGGTATTGGATCTTCTCGAGGCCTTGTGGGTGTTGAGTGTCTAAGATTAGATCCTTCTTCGCGATTACGCGGACGGAGCACGACGTCACGGCCTCGCCGAGTTGATTGCGCGCCTGGCAAGTGTACACGCCCGAGTCGACGGCATAGACGCCGAGAAGGTCAAGTGCGACGTAGTCGAACTCGTACGCGGGCCGGAAGCGATGACCGGTCCTCACGGGCGTTCCATTCACAAACCACTCAACGCGCATGGTGGGATCGCCCACGGGCTGCAGGCGACACTCCAAGTGCACATTCGTGCCCTCCACGGTCTCGATGTTGTGCAGTGGGCGCGTGAACTGGGGCGCCTGCATCACGGTGATGTCCTCAGTCACTTGCTGGCGCCGCCGCGAGGCGTCCTCCAGCGCCTGGATCTGCTCCAGTGACATCTCATTCTGCGTCTCCGTCATGATGTCGCTGCGGCCGATCACGCGCACGCACGCCGACGTGTGCGCCGATCCCAAGTGGTTGATGGCGCGCACGGTGTACTCGCCAGAGTCTAGGGCAGTTGTGTGGATGATATCGAGTGCCACATATCCGAAGTCGTAGTATGTGCGGAAGCGCGAGCCAACGGTGATGGGGCGACCGTTGTGGAACCACTCCACTCGCATTGTGGGGTCACCCATGGGCTCAAGGCGGCACTCGAGATGCACGTTTTTTCCCTCGTGCACGGGTTGGGGGTCGGACAGCGGGGTCACGAAGATGGGCTTGGACTTGGAGATCTCCTCAATCTCGTACTGGGGCTCGATAAATTTTCCCTCCTCCATGCGCTGTGTCTTCTCAAATGTGCCCCGATGCATGCTGCTGGTGTCGATGCCGGAGCGAGCTGCAAAGCAGAATCAAGGTCAGTGTCACAAGAAAAGTCCCTAAAATCAATCACTTCACTCACTCTCAACGATCATCGTTCCCTGGAGCTGCGCTTCGCCCAGCTTGTTCCTGGCCACGACAGTGTAGACTCCAGCATCATCTCCGCGAACGCCCACAATGTCCAGAGCCACGTACCCAAAGTCGTGGTACGTCTGGATGCGATTGGCTGACATGATGGGCTTTCCATTGTGATACCACTCCACTTTCATGGACAAGTCGCTCTGTGGTTCAACGCGAGCCTCGAAGTGAGCTCGCTGGCCCTCCAGGATCTTATTGGTGCCCTTCAGTGGGCCCAGGAAGCGCGGAGCTTGCGTCACGCTCACATCTTCCTGCTCTTGTCTCATGTATCGCGACGAGTCCTCGAGGTGTTGGATCTTCTGCAGTCCGCTGGGGTGCTGCGAATCGTACAGAATGTCCTTCTTGGTCACCACACTGAGATTGGCATTGGTGGTGGCCTGTCCGATGGAGTTGTACGCGCGGCACGTGTATGCGCCCACATCGTGGATCGTGAGCTGCTTGATGGTGAGTGCCACGTAGCCGAAATTGAAGAAAGACGTGATTCTGGAGCTCGCCTCCACGGGTCTGCCGTTCCTGAGCCACTCCACGCGCAGCGTCGGGTCACCAACAGGCTCGAGACGAGCCTCAAAGTGAGCAAAGCCACCCTCGCGCACCTCCAATTGGTCCTTGATGGGTGTCTTGAACTCTGGCGCGTGCAGGCTCTCGGGGATCTCTTCCACGTACTTCTGGTGCTGCTGCTTCTGGTAGGCCTCCAGCTGCTCCATGCGCTCAATGTAGCGCTGCTGCTCGGGGATGCCCAGATCCGACGTCACAGTGCTCTTCGTGATGACGCGAATGGTGGAGGTGCTGATGGCCTCGCCGAGTCGATTCACGGCACGCACGGTGTACGAACCAGCATCTTCAGCCCGTAGGTGCAAGATGTTGAGGGAGACGTAGCCGAAGTTGAAGATTGCAGTGATTCGCGAGCTAGCCGTGATTGGGCGGCCATCCTTGTACCACTCCACGCGCATCGTCGGGTCACTCACGGGCGTGAGTTGGGCCTCGAAGTGGGCATTCCTGCCCTCCTCGACGTCACCCAGATTCACCAGTGGCTTGATGAACACTGGCTTCTGATTCGTGAGCTCTTCGATGCTCTCGGCGCGCTGATACTTGGAGTAGTCCTCCAGCTGCTGGATCTGCTGCAGACTCTCAGGATGCTGCGTGCGCTGCTCAATGGACGCTCGCTGGCTCACAGACAGCACAGCACGAGACTCTGCAACGCCCGTGGCGCTGGTCACGCGACACACGTACTCTCCGGCATCCATGCTAGTCACGCTCAGCATATCCAGAGCGATGAAGCCGAACTTGAACGTGTATGTCGCTCGAGAGCCTGAAAGAAGACGGCAAATGATCAGCTCAGGGACTCAGAGAGGGATCCTTTCTTTAGTCCGGGGATGTGCTTACTTGCAGTCATGGGCCTTCCGTTGAGGAACCACTCGATGTACATGGTGGGATCGCCCACCGGTTCGATGCGAGCTTCAAAGTGAATCTTTCCGCCCTCCATCTGCTGCGCATCGCGGAGAGGAACAATGAATTGCGGAGGTGGATAAACCCTGTCAGCCTCTCCTGGCGCCAAGTGTGGCTTGGCACGCTCAACATGCTTGAGATAGATAATCTCTGGACCAGGAGCGGGTCTGCAAATTGCAATGAAAGGTCAGTAATCAATCATAAAGCTGACTGAATCTCTGCTCGCGCCAACATTCGCAAAGGTCCAGGTCATTAAAATGAAATGCTCCAATCTCACCACTGCTTGAGATGATAAAGTTTTTTCTTCGGCAAAGCCACAGAGTTTAGTATGAAGAGCGACAACTTTAGCTGAGATACTTGGCGTCATGCCAAATTAATAATAAACACGCGTATTTTCACGATTTCGCTCAATCCCACTCCCAGAGTTTGTGGCACATTTAAAATTGTCTTGTATGAATCTTGGCGTCTCGCGAGAGTTTTAAGAAGCTTTCTGTTCACAGAAAATTTTCGAGGGATAAAACTCGTGAAATGTCACAAACAATTTTTGCTATAATTCGGCGTGTGATTTTATCTAAGAATTCTACTCTCTTTTTTTTCCACATTCGAAGCCGAAGTCTGGCATGAGAATATTGTCTATAATTAAAAAGGATGATATTTTCACTCCCATTTTGCCATTATGAACAAATATTTTTCTTTAATTAAATGCAAAGCAAAGTCTCGGCAATGCAATTAGCATTTAAAAAAAATGATCCAAATGAGGAGAATGAGGTCAAAGCAAAGGCGTTTTGGAAACGCTTTGCTAATTTTCTAGGGCTCGTGGCAACACGCGTAATTTGTCAAACGTTTATAAATAAAATACTTTCAAGCTCACAAAATCAACTTCATCGCTTCAATATTCAGTGGTGAGATTTTGTATAAATGACTCAAGAAGATGGCAAAGATTCTAGAAATGTGCAAAAATCAATTTTCAGGAAGTTCAAAATGCTAATTTATTGCACTTTTCCTGATAGTCACAGGTGTCAATTTGACACGGTCATTCAATATCTTGCACAAGAGAAATCTTGGCTTCTTCCCATTCACAAACTAATTTGTTAATTTCCGCGTGGCACAAAGCCAGTAGAAACTTTGAAAATTGATATAAATTGAAATCAATTATGCCTGGTTGCTTTGGGATTGTGATACTCACTCTGGTTCGATGACTCTTGTGGGTCTCGGTAGATGTAGACGTCTTTGCTCGGGGATATCATCTTTCGGCACTTCCACGTAGAGCCTAGCTCTGGTGGCTGTGGAGCCTGCAACATTCTGCGCTGTGCACTGGTACCATCCTGAGTCCGACGGCTTGGCCCTCAGGATGTCTAGCGTCGTGGCACCGCCCTCAATCGCCACCCGGACGTCGGGACTCACGGCGATCGGAGCTCCGTCCTTCTGCCACGTGATCCTGGGCGTGGGTGTGCCCACGGCGCGAGCGTTCAGCTGCACGGGCTCTCCCTCGTGAACACTCACGGTGGTGAAGCGCTCGACGAACTTGGGCGCCACGACCACTTCCTTCTCCAGGACATTCAGGCGCGCCTGACACGCCACTTCGCCGGACTTGTTGCGCGCCACGCACGACACCACGCCCGCATCGCGTCGGCTCACGTTGATGATCATGAGCGAGTGGTTGCCGGACTCGTTCACGAGGATCTTGTGGGTGGCGTCATCGCGCACCTGCTCGCCGTTGATGAACCAGAGCACCTCCGGATAGGGGCGCCCGGTGACGCGACAGTCGAAGCGAGACATCTTGCCTTCGCTGGTCTCGCGGTCCTGGAACGTGCGCACGAACGTCGGCGCCAGGGCCTTGCCGGCCTCCGCCACTTCAGCCATGGTGTCCACTGGCCTGGGTTCGGCCACAGCGGCGCTCTCGGTTGCCGGCTCGATGGCCAGCACGGCGGAGGACACCACAACTCCCTGCGTGTTCTCGGCGAGCAGAGTGTAGTGACCCGAGTCGGCGTACGTGGCGTTGCGAATGCGGAGCGTGGCTTGCTGGTTGGAGTAGGTCATTTCGTACTTCTCCGACGCCACAATGCGCTTTCCGTTGCGGAACCACGTGAGTCTGGGCTTGGGATTGGCGCCCACCTTGGCGGTGAACACGGCGTCCGAGCCCTCGACCAACTTCGAATTGCGCGGCTTCTGGGCGATCTGTGGCGGCGCGGCGGGACCGAGATTTCTGTCCACCTGCGTGATCAACTGACTGTCCGACTCGGAGACGTGGCGGCGCGTGATGGACTCGCGGAAGGAGACCTCGCGCAACAGGCGGTACTCGAACGTGTCCACCTTGAAGTCCTCCTCCACGAGGCTGTAATTGTTGTAGCCATTGCTGAAGTTCTGCTGCTGCTCATAGCGCTGAGTGGACTGAGTGCGCTGGCCCAGGCTGTTCTGGCTCGACTCGTACGTCTGGGCGAACTCCTTGCGGTAGCCCTGGACCTGTGGCTGGCCCTCGAACTGGATGAACACTGAGCAAATGGCCTCGCCATAGTCGTTCACGGCGAAGCACGTGTACTCGCCGATGTCCTCGGGGCTGATCTGCCGGATGAGGAGGGAGACGTCGCCCGTGTTCTCGTCGTAGGTCATCCGGTATTTCTGGGACTCGAGAAGTGGTGCACCTTTTCGGGTCCAAGAAACACGGGGCTTGGGGTTTCCGCCGAGGCGGCCCTGAAACAGAGCGTCTCCTCCTTGGGCAAATCGCGCATTCTGAAACACTTGCTCAAAGATCGGCTCGCGCCTGCCGGCCGGGCCGCCGGCGTACGGCTTCGGGGCCACTTGCTGATACTGCGCGGTCCGCTCATACTGCTGCTGCTGCTGCTGCTGCTGTTGCTGCTGGTAGACCTGCTGTGGCGGCTGAATTGCCTGCTGCTGTGATACTCCTTGAACTGCAAAAGACATTACAGCAGTGGATCAGCATCTGCTAAGCTTGTGCCAAATATGCTCAAATATTTGCAGAATTTCCACTTCAAAATGATCTTCAAAGAGGTGAAAAAAAGGAATTTCGCTCTTAAAATAAGATTTTCCTTCTGCATTTAGATATTTCGGAGAGTATTAAAAGTGAAAATATTCATTTTCCCATCACCAGACAGAAAATTGTCATTCTGCCACTCAAAATTCTCGCATTTATAGCGATGCGAAATGCATTTTTATTCATAATCTAAAGATAAACAGACGAGTTTCTTTGTAGACTTCAGAATTAGAATAGAAAGATTAAAAATAATGCAGGCTGAAGAATTTCCATTACTAAATATATTTTATAAATTCATTGTAAAGAGTTGTAAAAAAAAGTGGTAGAAATCAAAAGGATTTCTGAAATCTCAATGAATAGACCTTGACGATTGAGTTTCTTGCGTTTCTTGGCTGCCCACGGGTTTGGATAAGGAATCCCGATTCAAAGAAGAAAAAAAATTGTGGAAAAGAGTCGTTAGAGTGTGAAAATGGTGAAAATAGTCCGTATGAATGTTGCTGAACAAAAATATTTCCCCGATGAATCTCTCTCGCAGAAATATGCATTGAGGAGAGAAGAAGGATGTTAAAAAAGAGATGCTAAAGTAACTTGGCACTAATCCACATTCTACGCTTATTTTTAGCCACTTCACCATTGAGATCACGTTACGCGGAACCTTTTTAGGAGCACTGAGCTCAGTCGTAATCCAAACTTCATTCACTCAACTACAATCTTTCCTGGGGCGAGGTTTTCCAAAAGGGTTTCTTTTGTGGAAAAATTTGATATTTTCACCAGAAAAATCTATCTAAATCCAAGGGAAATTCTGTGGGTTTTCTGGGTATTTAATCGGTGGGAAAATTGGATAATTTTTAGGGGAGTTATTGAATTAAAACGGTTTTTTGCGAAGATCTTGTCTCACTCTGAGTCCAGAAAAACCTCAAAAATTCATTATTTCACTCAAAACTATTCACTTTTTGCTGGGATTTTCACGAAAATACACAATTTAACACCATTTTGAGGAACTTTTCTTGCCATTTCATCCACTTTATTGTCACTTTTATCACCACTTTGGCCCCAGATGATCGTTAAGATATGATTTTTTGGGCATAAATTCACAGATTCTCACTGAAATACATCAATTTGGCTGAATTACCAGCTGTAGCAATAAAATATCCACACTAGTCGCAATTTACAGTGAAGAAAGTAATGATGCACCATATAAAGAAAATCCACTTTTTGTCCCAGAAATCACACACAACGCGTCTCGAGATGGCGTAACTTTTTATTAAATATTCAATGCAAATCCACACCATAAATGGCAAAGCCACTCACTTGATTTGGCTCAAATTAAATGGCTCATTGCACATACACGAGATTTTATGCTGCAGCAAATCACAGAAAATGCACAGAGCGACACTCATAGACAAGATCTTCACAACCGTGGGGCCTTTTTGGTGCCTTTTCCATCGATATTTTCGACTTTTATGGAGCGCCATGGACCACAGAAATGCACATGAAAAGATGAATTTTCACAGGAATTAATCCACACCTCGCTGTTGAGTCGTGAATTGCTGACGGCTCACAGTGTGTTCAGTACGGCTAATCCTTTGCTGGCTAATCTGCTGCTCATATTGCTGCTGCGAACTAACAATTTGTTGCGATTGCTGAGTCTGCTGCAGCTGATATGGATTCGAATTCTGTCGTTGCATCGTGAAAAATTTAGTAATCCCAAGTTGTGGCAAAGAATTGCACGAAAAAGCACTTTTCCTTGGTCAATTCTCTTCTCCAACACTCTGAATTTTCTTCCTCTTCTTCAACGGCGACTCTCAAATTTCACGAGAGCTCTTCGCACTTCACAAGGACAGAAAATCAGAAGAAGAAGAAAAAATATAATCTCCACGTCAAAATTAAATACACTAGATAAATAATTTATAAATTAAATAACTTTGTTTGATAAATATGCACACAACGAACGAAAAATCCAACAAATAGCACTGAAATCCTCTCTTGGTGCTGCTGTTGAAAATTTTCTAAGTCCACTCTTGCCACTTATTCACTAAGTCCGCTACTAGCAAATTATATCCAATTTGCCGTCTAGGGCTCCTCTCAGCTAGCAGAGAGCTCAAGTCATCCCGCGAGACTAAACTTTCAAGACGTCGATCGTATTTGAGTAGCGAGCGAAGAGTGATCAGCTCGCGATCGTGCTGGCGCAGTGAATGTCTGAATTTCCACGGAAAATTTGTGGTGGGGGAAATTTTCAGTGTCCCAAAATAACTTTTAACAAATCTTTTTAGAACATGGCGCAAACAGCTCACCCAAATCCAACACTGTACTCGGAGACGACGGTTATTTAAAGATTGCCCGATCGCGGCACGATCGCACGCCCCCGAAGCGTCACGAGTGCGCACGAGGAGCACTTCGGTGCCGACTTATCAACAGGTAAACAAGTCTCACCTGATAACAGGACGTCAATCTGTCTTTGGACCCCTAAAACTGCACTTCAAATGCAGATTTTTTGAAAATTTCTTTTGCCATGAGTTTTCAAATCACACGAGGATCATTTCTTTAGGTTATCAAAGGACAACATTTTCAGCTTCATGTCCTGAAATCAGGCGCATAAGAATCTACAAGACTTTAGGAGTCATAATTCGTTAAAGGCACATTTTTAGTGCTTTTAGATCCGGAGTAAAAGCGATTTGAAGTTTTTTGGGGAAAAATTGAAGGAAAAAGGCTGTAATTCTGTAATTTTTGAACAGTCCCGAAACATTTTGGGCCAAAAAGGATCCTAAACTATTCCTTTACAATCCGTCAGAATACATCAAAGATCTATTGTCAAGTCTTAAGGTGCATATTTACGATTATATGCAGTGATGTTGAAATATTTCGTGTGTCTTGAAGTGCAAAGAAGCCTTATTTCTCAAAAAGGACTTCAGGATTAGGAATAAATCATTCAAAAGTGTATAGAAAACACTTCACTGTATAATTCATCCGTATATTGTTTTAACGTAATTCCTTTTTATTCACCAATTTAGGGATCTGAAGTGGTTAAATAGTGATTTTCGCAACACTTTTATAAGAAAATTTATTTTTTAATATCAAAATAAGTTTTGAAGGTTTAATTTTTAAATTAATATAAAGGCCAAGACGACACCAATTATTGACAATTTTATTAAATATCGAAATCTCAGACAATCATAGAAATATTTGCACATTAAAATAACATAATGTTCATAATAAGAAAAAGGATAAAAGGAGCGAAGTAGGAAATAATGTTTGTTCTAGTGAAATGTCAGTTTTTACGCATTCTATTAAATTGTGAAAAAACATTTAACTTATTTCTTGAAGTTTTCGAGATATTTCAGTATATTTGTGCTTTTGACAATTTTTCTGTTATGTTTTCCATGCTAAGATGCTCTGAAATGATTTTGAAATCATAAGAAATGTGCCAGAATCATACTATTGTGCACTCTTTTCAATTTGAACAAAGACTTTTGCCCTCAGAGTTCAAGTTCGTTCAGTGCTTCATAAAGTTCTCATCCAACAATTAATAATGATGAATTTTATTTGTAGTGTTTGCAATGGAAATAGCAATGACTTCTGATAATCATGTCTCAATTTTCCAATTTACTGATTTCAATTGGATGAAAAAGTCATTTTCGAAGGCATTTGATGCCTCTTATTGATGGCTTCTTAGCGCGTCTCGCGAATGCCAGATATGAAGACTCATGTGGAACGGAATGTCTTTTCGCTCTTTTCGCATCAAAATAAACAATCAGCTGGGAATCACATATTGGAATGAATAAATAAATGAAATTGTGGCGTCATGCGAAGGTCAGACGCAATTGGGAGACGAGTGAAATTGGTTAATTTCGTCCGAGGAGCACAATTTAAGTGAACACAAAACTTGATGCTGAATGACACAATGGGCATTGATCGTGAAATATCACTCGCGGAGATGATTTTTATTGCAATCTTGAATAAATATTGAACTGTATTTATGTTTGGAATGAGTGAAAATATCTCAATGTGTCAGCGAACAGTTTTCAAAGTTTCTAAACAAATAGAGAAGAATATTTCTCGCAAATGTTTCTCTCATCAAATATCGAATCTTATGAGATTATTTCATTAAATATATTGGTTGAATTTGAAAGCAACATCCTGTGACCGAGAGTTGAAAGAAAGAGCGATCATTATGTGAAATTTCAAACAAATCACCAACTGTGTGAATTATTGAGGAGAAATGCTACTTGGAATATGATTAGTGACGACAAGGAGTTTAGGGGTCAAAGATTCTTCACACACACAACATCTCTTGGTGGTTTAGCATAAATTACATGAGTTTTCCACGTATGACAAGATGTTTTCCTCAGAGTGTTTTAAAATACTCTCCGCGTTCTTAAGCAATGCAATGTAATAATAGGAATTATTCAACCCCTTTACTCATCATTCATTGCTTCTATTTTGCACCTCCTTGTGAGCAATTCACAGAATTCCTTCTCTCCCACATTCGCTCTCTCGGCGATGATTAATTCTGAGGAATTCATGGTAGGTGGAAAGCCTGTTTTTTCTTCTTCTAACTCTACATATCCACATACCTGACTTGGAAGATGGTGAAAGCAGGCTCTCCAAGACGTTCTCCCATTTCTCTGTCAGTGGCGGACTATTTCTGCTCACTGGGTGTTGCTTGTATTCCACAATGTACTGTGTGTGATTGAGCTTTGGCGAATCTGCGAGGGAGAAAAAAAATTGAAGAGGATTTAACAGTCAGCGAATGGTTTATATCAAACACCTCTCACTTTATGTGTGTTTGGCTTTTCTTTCAGGTTCCTTGCCTTGAGAGTGAAAACTCTCCCATTTCCCGCCCACATGGCGCTGAAAAGTGGATTCTCTTGCGCAGAGAATTGCCATTTTTGCGATGTTGAGTGTGAATTTTTTTGGAATATTCGGACAATAAACAGGCTTTTCCGAGTTAATTTTGGACGTTGAAGTTGTTGATACTCGTTGAATCTCACAATTTAGTGAGAATGTGATTTTAGGACACATTTTTTGGCATCATCGAAGCCATCGCATATCTATTTATAACGTTCCCACAATTTTCCTTTGCATGTCGGTAAAATACTGCGAGTTTTCATGACAATTTTATATCGTCTCGTGTTGATTGTTGAAATTTTCGCACAACTGATCGGATTTCCAAAGGAAACGCGACGCAATTCCCGCAAAATTTTCTATATATAGACTCGTGTCTCATTCAGCATTTTATGCATTTTCTGGGATATTGAATTGCGAAAATTCCAACACTTTGACGGAGAGAGCCTTGAAGAATGTTCCAAGCAAAAAGTCTCAGGAAAGCCATAAAGTCTTTCGCCACTTGAAACAATGATAATTTGGCATCGTACTTTCTGTCGAGAGTAAATTGGCAATTTCACAAGAGAGTTTTCAGATGTGAAGAGAAGACATTTCAATGCTACTGCACAGCTTAACTTCCGATGAGCCTAATTATCGTCTTTGCCTAAAATTCATGCGAAACATCGTCCTATTAATTGATCAATGATTGCTAAAGAGCTCTTGAATGAAAATCTCAGTGAATTGGCCTAAAATCAAACTAATGATGCACTGAAGATGATCTGTTTTGAAACGCCGCACTCGCGATGCGCATGATTTGTCAAGAGGAATTCATAAATCGAGTGTCACTGTTTCTGTCATGAGCAAACTCGCCCTATTCTTGCTGAAAGATTTCTTGTTTCACTTCCCATTAATTTTCAGCAGTGGACCTAGAAAAAGCAAAAAGGTGAGTAATGTGAGAAACGAAGATCAGAGAATTTTCTCAGAGAACATCTTTCCACGCGAAAATGTAGTTCGTTGGTGGAAAAACGACGACGAAGAGGAGGAAAAACAGAGACATTTTTTTATTTCCTTTATTTATCGGTGGAGAAAACAGAATTATCCTCATTTATATTCTGATTTTGATGAGGAAACTAGGATTGCTTGATGATTTTCTTCATTGGCGAAAGGATAATGTGGGAAATTCTTCATCTTTCTACGGTTTTTAATACTCACTGAGGCGCCGCTACAAAGTATTTTCGAACAAGGATGTTTGCATTTGCCAAAAATGATCCTCTGAAGATGTTAATAATACGATCAGAGCGACATTTGAGTTTAATTGCAGACAAAGTGGATGAATTAATTAGCAGGGAATTTTATATCTTGACTCAGTTGCCAAGAAAAGACGGTAAAAACCTTAAACATTTCACTCGACACTCACCAAATGTCCTCTCTTCATAATTGACTAATTCGACACACCAGAAACTTCCCCTAAGTCATAGAAAATTTTAATAGCATTCGATGAGATCATCCGCTGTGGAGGCGTTGGACTTTGAGTTCCACTGCGAATTCTTGGATGGTTTCCCAGGTGAATAATATCATACGATTTATATTTATAACACAAGTCACAGACATTGTTTAAATAGACGATGAGAGACTCTCTTGGCAAGACTCTGGCAGGAACTGTGAATGTCAATTTATATCATCTGATCGACTCACTCATGTGCTGATTAATTCGCCTATGTTGAAACATTGCTGATTAATCCGACATGCAATTCAACGAGAGAGCAGCAATTGATAAAAATATTGAAGGCGAAGAGTAAATATAGGATCTTTCGACATGTTATCCACAAATACATTCGGGAAAACAGTGAGATTTTTTCTCTGTCTAAAAATAATTTCCCGAAAACGTCGGCGTCGCAGGGAAAATGTGTGCCAAGAGATGTTTTGGTTTTTATTCACAAAAATCTTTGGCACACTCAATCATCACAGCTGATTTTTAGCTGATCCTCACTGCGCCTGCGATCCCCTCAGCGTCTTCGGCTCACTTCTCCTGCAGCCCGACGACAGCCGATCTCACCTCGTGCAGGGGAAGTTCGATCATCACTCGATCGCACGATCAGCGATCGGGTCGTGATTCTGCACGTTGTCACGCCTGATGATGTTTTGGCACGAAAAGTGCAAACAACGCTCGTTGCCATCGCAACAGTGTTTATGTTTTTATGTACAACATCTGATTGTTTTGTATATTTTGACGAGAGAGCAAAGTGAATTAAAAAAAATGAATGGCCAAACCAGAATGTGTGCCAAGTTTCAATACATTAATCTTTATTAAGTAACATACGCGTTTTGTGAAATTCATTGAAATACAGAGTATGTCAGACATACAAAGCTGAGTGTGATTGAATACAAAAAAAGAGAGTTTTACTCATTAAAATACACAATAGATATTCGGGCCGAATTCCTCCTTCCTGTGGCGCTATTTTCGGTAACCCCACTTATTGCCCGGGACAAGTAGATCGGCAGTGGTCGTGACAGAGCCCAGCTGATTGGCTGCTGTGCAGGAGTATCTTCCAGCATCCTCTGCAAGAGATGAATTTGAGGTGTTAAACATCTTTCCCCACTGATTCTTCTGCCAATTGCACACCTGTAAATGCATGAGGAATCGTGAGACGACAAACTCCATTGCGATACTCAATGTGATGTTTCAGGCTCCTTCCGAGTTCCACTCCATTCTTCGCCCAAACCACCTCAGGATTAGGCTCACACTGAACAATGCATTCGAATCTCGCCAATTGTCCTGCAACCACAGCGATGTCCTTAAGGGGCTGCAAAGAAAGCAATAAATCTCATTCTTCTCCACAAGAATAATGCATATTTTGCGCTGTTTCTCACCGTTATGACTGAAGGAGGCTTCTTGGGTTTGTCCTCCCGTGATAAATTCACAGGAGTGTGACTTCTCTGACCAATAGAATCCCTCTGACGATCTGCAATGTGTACAACAGTCTGATATAGTAAAGCCTCTTTGAGTCTCTCACATTTGTATTAATATTCTTTAGTGAAATGACTTGATTACTTACACTTGAACATTGATGATGCATGCAAAATGAGTCCGTGTTGATGAGTTATGGAAGGACAATCAACCATAATAACATGACAATAAAAACACAACCAAAACACTTTTTGTATGAAAGAAAGACGGAGTGATCAAATGCACGGAGAGATGCAAATTATTATGAATTTCTCAGGAGAAAAAAATGGGTTAAAAAGGACGCACGAGAAGCTGAGAAAAGGAACACGCATAAAAGAAAAACACACAGATTCCAAGACAACACAACACCAAACATCTTTCTACCTTTAACATATGCAGTTCCCGCGGATTGTTGATGAATCTGATCAATATTGATGTTAATTGGTAGGCTATAGCGCTTGTTAGGAGCCCAATGATGAGTGCCATTGGTCATAGCCGCCGGCGTGCGTTCATGATGGACGGGCAATTCGATATCTCCAGTTCTCTGGAGTGGTCTCTTATCAGCGCTCATGCTACTGCCGCCAATAAATCTTTTACCTTCACCCGGAAACAGGATTCCGAACTCATAACCAAAATCATATTTGAAATAAATCAGGCCAGTGTCGGGGTCAATATGTTTCGTTCCTTAAAACATTTACAAACAATAGTTCGTGTCAGTGAATGTTTTTTTTGTATGGCTTTCAAGTTGAGAGAAATATACAACAAAATTGGATGATGGATTCAAAGAATTCAAGATCAAGAAAATAAAAGCTTTAAAAATCCAAAAGGAAAACAAATCATCCAAGAAATGGAAAACCAATGCCAGATCTGAGACTTACCGTACTGCGAAATTCGAGACTCTTCTCGGTAAGCTTGTGGTTCTGTGTCTGTGCTCATCGTCTTCTTGAGGATGGGTTTCTGCGTTGTCGGCTGACGCTTGATGTCTGTCGACACGTCCTGCATGAACTGACTGGCCTTGCTCTTGAAGGAACTGCCCATGTCTCTGAACTGACTCTGCGGATAGCCATAGTCCACTCTCTGCTGCGACACGTACGTGTCATCCTGCGTCTTGCCGCCGTACTGATGCACTCTCTTCGTCGCGTAGCGATCCAGCGTCTGAGTCTTGTACTCACTCGAGCTCGTCTGCAAGTGCTGCGGCATGAGCGGCGGCTGAGTGTCAAACTCCATCGGCGTGAGAACTCTCTGTGTTGGATAAGATCGCGGACAACTGGCGGCTCTCGAGGTTTGCGGTGGAGCCACGCGACGATACTGCGGATCACTGTCCATCGGACTCGGCGTCCAGAGAGGACGAATGCGTGCCGCGTCCACTTCACTCTCGTAGTCGCTCTCGCGGAAGTCGCCCTTCACGAACCTGGTCGGAGTGGGCGGCAGAGACACCCTCGGACGAGGCGACGTGTCTCCGTTTGTCGCGGTGAACGGAAACGGCTCCAAGTGCTGCTCGAAGTTACTCTTCTTCTGTCCGCCATCGAACTTAATCACGCGCGTCGTTTGATTCATATTCACGACACGATGACTCGTTTCGGTGTGCTCTCGCATGTGCATCGTATTGCTGGTTTCTGTTGCGATCGTGTTGTGAACAGGAGTTCCTGTGAAACAATAAAAGTACCTTCAGTTAATGTTTCCTGGCTGATTTAAAGGAAAACCTTCCAGTAGCTCCGCCCACTTGAATGCCCCGCCCCTAAAATATTCCTCAATATTACCTGCAGTTGCAGTGAAATAGCGCGTTGACGTCACCGGAGTTGGCTTGTGCACGAACAGCGGCGGCTGCTGCTTCGGCGTGTGACTGTAGCTTGGCTCCGGGAAGCGATGAATCTTGTCAATGGGCTCAAACTTGGGGCGCGGCGGCGCTTCCTGAGCCGGCGGTCGGCGGTCGAATTCAGAGGGAGGCGTTGGCGATCGGTGGCCATCGGAGATGTGCGATCGCCGACCTGTGGGCGTCAGATTGAGCCTCACGGGCCGGTAATGCGGCTCCGAGTCCGAGTCAGTGGGACGCCAAATGGGCGCAATGCGGCCCTCGTAGTCACTTTCGTAGTCGCTCTCGCGAAATTCACCCTTGATGAATTTCGAGGGACTCGCTGGTGGCGGAATACGAGGGCGTTTCAGCTGTGGTGGATCCGCCTTGAATGGCAACTGTTCCAGTTGATTGTCATCCAAGTACTTGTACTGAGTCGTCGTGACCGAGATGTTCTTGATCAACGATGCCGTCGAGTATTCCTGGTGAATGAGACAAGCAGGAAGAGATATAGCCAGGCTTTTGATGGGGGGAAATTGCCGGTTGAAAGACAAACATGCATAAAATTTACGCTGAATATAAAATCTGTCTACTAAAAAAATAAGAATAATCATGAGGAAACTGTCAAACAAACAGAAGTGATACAAGCAGAAATAGCTCAGATATAAATATGAGGGTATTTTCTCTTACTCTGACCATTGACCTTTACTGCCGACAAGTTATACGTTTGTTTATGCATAAAAGAAGGAATTCTGAAGCATTAAGATCTGGTTCGGAGGTGTAAAAAAAAATATCAACCTCAATCAGATTTGAACCTCCATAAATTAATTCACTGGACAAACACTTGAAGTGCAAGTTCAAATCCTGAGCTTATTATTATTATCTCTTTTTTTACTTCAATACATTTTAACCAGGTTGATCCAGAATTATTTTTTTCCTTCAATATTGATTCCAATAAATCAATACTTATTTTTAATAATATGCCAGATCTAAGATATTCTTGTGCAATATATCTCACTTCCCACACTCTTCCTCACACGTTAATTGGTCATGTAATAAATTTGTGGGACGTAAGACAAATTCTCTGGTTATTCTAAAATTAAATGTCCGAGACATTTGTGAGTATTTCACGCTTGCGTCACACTCAATCATCGCAAATTCACTCTGAAATCGCATGCAGGTTAGGGAATTTTGCTCAAGTCACGCGCACAAACTGGGAAAGGTCACACGGAAAAACTGCAAAAAAGGACAACGTGGAAGCTAATTTGGCACACATCCATCGAACCAATCGCACCTTCGCATCAGTTCCAGATGATTCTTGGGTTCTTTCATGCTTGTGATTGTGGTGCCTGTAGTGTTTGGCATAGGGGACAAAGGTGTCGTGGTAGGATTTGGCATGATACTCCTCAGTGTCGGCCATGTAGCCGCTCGGGAGAATGGGCTTCCCTTCAGTGATGGTGTGTCTGTGGTCAATAAGCTTGGGAGCTTCAACGTGTTTGAATTCGGGAGGCCTGGACCATGGCATTGAGTCAAAATCGCTGGAGTACTCAGCCTCGCTCATGTCACTCTTGAGGCAAGGCTGAGGTGCTTGGGGAAGGACAGGTGGTAGGGATCTCTCACGCTTCGGCGGCGGCACAATTCGCACGCCGCCTGGTGGAACGCGAGTCGGTTCTGATTCGATTTTCCTCTCAAGGCTCTCCTCCAGTGTCTCCACCAGTGATTTCTTGCGCTCAAACTTGGGCTTCGGGGCGTAACACACCTCAGGCGGCGATCCCGGCTCCAGGTGGATGTCGTGGAAGAGCTCATGCACGGACTTCGGGCGCTCCTTCCTCTCAGACACCTGACGAACCAGCTGAGGCGCCACAAGATCCGGCACCTCCTTCAGCTTCTCCTCAAAGACCTTCTTAGCAGCATTGATGGAGTATTTCTTTGACAAGTCCTCGACTTCAGGAGCCTGACTAGGCACAGCTGAGTGATAAGTGCCTATTTGGGACTCTTGCGTGCTGGAGTAGAACTGATGTCTCGACTCAGAGACTTCCGATGTGAATTCATGAGTCTTCGGCAGTGCCCAGAGCTTCTCCATTGCCACACCCTCGGCTGAGGGACGCGGAGACACACTGCCTGGCTCATCCGTTCTGGACAACTGCGGCAGGACTCGCACGCCACCCGACGGGGTCTCTGTCTCCTTGTGCACTTCCTCAAGGCGCTTGATGCGATCCGAGATGTTCTCTCGCTTCAGCTCCGCCTTTGGCATGAAGCCAATTTCCGGCACAGGTCCCGGCTCCAAATTCAACGCCCTCAAATCACTCGTCACGTCAATTTGTGGCTGAATGATTGGCGTCGGTGACACTTTTATATCGCTGAATTTCGTGTACTTGTCCTCAGCGAATGTCATCGGTTCGCTCTGAATCTTCTGCTCGAAGAACTCCAGCGCCGACTTCTTCGTGATGGACTGCGTCTGAATGCCCGTCTCCTCCTGGCCAGGCTTCGGTGGCACCTGTGGCGGAGTCTGTGTCGCATCACTCTTCGTTTCCTTCTGCTCTGTGTTTGTGGCTGAGGACTTCAGCTCAGCCGCACTCTGAGGAAATGTCAGAGTTGGCAAATCGGGAAATGCAACTTTGTGCTCCATTCGCATTGTCGCCTCAGTTGTGCGTCTTGTCTCCGTCACCAGTGTTGACTCCTCAGATCCGTGCATATCCATCTCAGTGTGGGACACCGTGTGAGCAGAGTGGGAAGAGCCCGGCGCTCTAAGAATAGCTGAACTCTCTTCCGACCCCTTAATAAATACAGCATTTTAACATGGATAAAAGACAACTGTGATTTGTGTGTGGTGTTGAGCGCAATTTTGAATGAATGCGACAAAGATTGTCTTACTTCTACTTATCCAAATCTTCCACCGATTTTAGTATGTGTTCTAGAACAGTGACAATTAACTCCTATCCTACCTTTCTCGTGTGATCCTTGGGATCCTCGTAAACGACAGTCTTGATCACTTCAACGACTCTCTCAGGTGTTTTCTCCATCACGGCGAAACTTGCAATGCTCTCCGCCTTCCCTCCAGGATTCACAGCTGACACCATGAACTTCCCGGCGTCTGACAGTGAAGCTGCAAGGAAAGGTTAAAGTACACTGGACGTGCAAAGCTGTAATTGCTCACCATTCTCAATGATCAACTTGTAGCAATTTCCCATCTTCAGAATCTTGTGCGACGACAGCGTGGCTTCACTGAGCGGAAGATCATCTTTGGACCACGTCACCGTTGGCTCAGGCAGTCCTGTGATCTCGACGTCCATGATAACTCTCTCTCCGAGTTTAGCTATCTGTGTTTGCAGTCGATGGCCAAAGACAGGAGGAAAGATGGATTCTGAGAAGCAAGAAACATCAAATAGACACACACGCAGTTAATGGATTTACCGCGAAAGCCAGACTCACTCTTCACAACCAAGTCAGCAACACTCGTAGACGTTCCAGCTGCATTGTTGGCCGTGCAAATGTATCGCCCAGCATCTGGAACCGTGACGTTGTTCAGCTGAATGGTGACTTTATTCAAGTTGCACGTGACACTGATGTGACTATCGTTCTCAATCGGCTCACCATTCTTCGTGACTTTAATGTCTGGCAGCGGAAATCCGTCAACAACCGCCTCCAACACCACATTGGCGCCCTGATCCACAATCTTCCCGATCAGGGGCGAGACGAAGCGCGGCGGTGTGTGCTTTCGCGTCACTTTCGGCAGATTCACATCAGACACATTCCGGATAATACTAACAACCGACTTCTGCTGAAGAGCCGGCGAGAAGTCTTTCGATTGATGATATTCCTGGAATTGGCGCGAATCAATTGCATCCGGTTGGCTGGTGAGTATTTGAGTTTGAGGAATATTATTCGCCACTGAGCTCACTTGCTGCGTGGATGTCGTGGTGAACATTTGCTTCTTGATCGTCACCAGGGACGACTGAGTATTGTGCTCTTGAGTGTAGGTCTGAGGACTGGCCACCAAGGGTGGATTGTAGTCACCCTCGAGATTCACGTAAGCCACGCAAGTGGCTTTTCCAATTTCATTCTCCGCCACGCACGCAATTTTGCCAGTGGTTTGACTCGTGACCGCGGGAATGGTCAGCACTTGACGATCTCCACTTGTGGAGACCAGGAAGTTCTTCCCATGCACGGGCTCATCATTGAACATCCAGCGAATCTTTGGCGTTGGCTTGCCAAACACAATGCACTCGAACTTCGTCGCCTCGTCAATTCTCACCATGCGATCGCTGAAGAGCTCTTTGAACATCGGGCAAATGTAGTGCTCCTCGATGATGACCTCTGGAGCGGGTCGCTGAGCGTCCGCAACATTGACAGACTTGACAATGAGGTGTGAGAAGCACTTGGATTCACCCGAGGAATTAGTCGCTTTCACCGTGTAAAGACCCTTATCATCCGTGTTGACGTTCTCAATGATCAACTTGATCGCGCCGTCATCGTCGTACGACATCTGAATGCGATCATTCGCCGTGATCTCGCGATTGTTGAGCAGCCACTTGATCTCCGGCCGCGGATCGCCGACGACAAGACACTCGAAGACCACCTTCTCCCCCTCGGACGCCAAGATGTCTATCAGCAGCTTCTCAAATTTGGGCGGAGCGACTGTTGACTGAAGTCTCTCGCCAGAGACTCGAGTCGCGGGCTCCAGGTTGTTCAGCGGAGTCACTGTCAACTGGCAAAAGCTGGATGTTTCGCCTGTAAGAGAGGAAACGGTGAAATAGTCTCTCTGGTTGAAGTCAGTTATGAATTCACCTGCAGAATTGATCGCCACGACTTTGTACTCGCCAGCGTCTTCTGTGTACGCCTCGTGGATGATGAGAGTGCAGCGATCGCCTTGGAAGAGCAACTGAATATCAGCTGACTCCTTCACGGGTCGATCGTTGTGGTACCAAATCACCTCCGGCTCCGGTTGGCCCACAATCACGCAATCCAAGCGCACCGACTTGCCCTCGAAGACGCTCGTGTTCTTGAGCGGAAGCTGCACAGACGGCTTCACCGGTTCCATGTCGCTGGCGAACTCCGAGTCGGACGTCTCGTTTGGCACGCGCCCCTTCACGCACACATTGCACGCGTTGGCCACCTCTCCGGCGAGATTTTTCGCGGTCAGCGTGTAGATGCCGGTGTCTTTGAAGAAGGCCTCTGGGATGAGCAACGTCACGCGATCGCCGTCCACGAGCAACTGAAAGGCGAGGGCGACAAGTGAGTGAGTGGCCCAAATGCTGGGAAATTGGGCTCTATTAATAGACTGCCTCTGTGTGTCAGAGGTTGATGGAAATGCACTTCCATGCACTTTCGCGCGCGCCCCACAATTCTTGGCAAGTGGACAAGATATAAAATCATGGGTGAGAATATTGCATGTTGAGATTAGTCGCTGGCAACGAGGGACACGCATTTTCGAGCCTTATTTATGCTCTCGCGCATCACAACTACATTAATCTCGGGAATTAATGGATTTCTGTGTAGGTACAGATCAGATATTTCGGGGCGTATTTTTCACACGCCAGTGGAGAAGGAAAAAATCATCGGAAAATCGACTGAGGAGAAAATTTCACAATTTTCCATCTCATTGACAAGACTGAGAAGCAAAAAAACACTCACTTTTGAGTCACGGCCTGTGAATGGCTTCCCATTGTGAGTCCAGAACAGTTCAGGACGCGGAATTCCTGTCACTTCGCACTCCAGCTTGATCTTCTGTCCAACGCGAGCCATCACATTCGACAAGGGAACCTTGAAGGCCGGAATCTCCGTTGGTTCCAGAGCTGAAAAAATGGAGAAAAAGTGTTAGAATCCGCTTCTCAAATCTTCCCCGTTTCTTTTACTCACGTTCAACCATTAGATTCGCAGATGTTTCCACCGTTCCTGAGGAATTGTTGGCTCTGCACGTGAACAGAGCCTGATCTTCCAGGAAGACGTGCTCGAACTTGAGAATAGCCAGTCCATTGTTGAACGTGATGATGTAATCCGGCGACTGATCGATGCAGATGTCATTCTTGAACCACTCAACGATGGGCAGAGGATATCCTGTGCATGTGCATCTGAACTCAAACGTCGCGCCCTCTTTCGCATATCCGGGCTGCAGGGGTTCCGTGAAAACAGGTGGTATCAGCACTTCTTCGGCCACATTTTCCTTCACCGTCAGCGTCGCCGTCGTCTCTGCACTGCCCGCAACATTCCTGGCTCTGCACGTGAACGTCGCCGAGTCTTCGGCCAGTGTTTCCTCAATGGCGAGCGAACAAATTCCATCCACAACCGATGTTTTGTAGTCCGAATTGCTCTGAATGGAGATGCCATCCTTGAGCCACTCAATCGTCGGCTCAGGACTTCCGCTGACAACGCAGATGAAGGTGAATCGCTCACCTTCCTTAATGGTGGCGTTGGTGAGACTTTGCGTGAAGTCTGGAGCAATGTTTGCTGGCGCTTGCACTTCAATGATCTCCAATTTCTCCACCTTTTCACTCTTCTCAAGCACCTCCTCCTCTTTCAGCTTAACAATTGTGCTATTGAGATCCTCCTTGAGCTTCAAAAATGACTGGAAGAGAGACAAATTTTCGGTATATGTGGTAACAGTCTTGTCAAATCCGTAGATCTCAATGGATATTTCAGACAATTTCTTCAGCTTGTCGAGCTGCAATGCCTCATTCTGATTAATGTAGTCGTCAATTTGATGTACCAATTCGTGGCCTTGCTCAACAGTGGACACAAATGGAACGGTGTTGCTCGTATGTGAGAAATATGTTGAATGTATTCGATACTGAGCGTTAATCTGCAAGAGAAATAATAGTTTTTGATATTAGGTCACGCATAAAATACTGCTTGACTTCAAGGAGAATAAATATAGACAAGTTTAAATACACAAAACAATAAATCAAATCAGTCATCAGACACATTGGTTGGGCTTTAAATTTAAAGTGCAGTTTTTCTTTCCTTTACAGCATTTTACCTCATCGAGCAATTTGAAGAATGCAACGGACGATTCAATTGACGATCTGGATTTCCTTGCCCGTTCGCTGAATTCCTCCCATCGCAGCATCAGCTTGCTCTTCTCCTCCTCCACATACGCCCTCGTGTTGGGATACGTGGCAGAAATATTTTCGGCACTCTGACGAAAGTTCTCAATGCGCTTTCCAAGGAGCTGCAATTTAAGTGGAAATTGTCATTAATTAGAGACTTATAACCAATTTGCTTTTTACGATGGCCAAGCGTGTCACACTCGAGTACACCATTTAATCAACTCTCTTTTCGCGAATATTTATCTGAAGAGTCGCGCAATTATTTCCTCTGACACTTCTTGGACGTCGTTCAACGGGAAAAGTCGTCAATATGTTTCATTTTATTTTGCAATTCGCTCATGCAATGTGGTTTCGGGAGGATATAAAGTGAAAATCGCACCAGAAGAAAGCCGGGGAATTTTTACGATATATCTGTGACTTGTTCTTTTCGGTTTGAAATGGATGTGAACGGAAAAAAAATTGTTATTGCCTGTGCGCTCGTCTTATTGTATTTGTCCTCAATTTGTCTGCACGACGCTCGGGACGCGGCGAGCATGCTGAAAATACATCTACATGTAGGCGTTTGGAAAATCACTTTTCTTCTGTTTCCCGCAAAAGAAAACTAAAATTATACACGCAACTTTTTAATTCACTCCTCCATGAGTATTTTTAGTTGAATATACGCGGCGGCGGTGGATGTAATGATGACGGGAGTTCTGGAAGCATTCTCATCCTCTTGTGTGTGTCGCCGCTAATAAAATCAAATAAAAACAGCTTCTTGTGGGCTGTGAATGTCTTCTAATTCCAAAAGATCCAAAAATCCTCATCTCGCGCAACGCGACGCATTCGGTTATTCAAAGTTTATATACATATGCCGGGAAAGTTTAATCGTTTCGCTTGTCTTTCATTCCCATTTCGCATTAAATCATCCGCAATTTTACTCTCTCGTGCCACCAGATTCAATAAACACGCCACGACTTTTTGGGACACTAGTGTTTACTGTGGCAACGCCCACGCACTCAGCAAATGGATGCGTCTGATCGCGAAACTGACCAATAAATTTAACACAGCCATACTCACTTCGATGGTCCTCTCGAAATACTCAAATGCAATGGACTTGGTGGAGACGGCGGCCAGTGTTTCGCAACTCTGCAGATCCGTGTCCTCGAGTTGCCGCGCCATGTCATCGAGATTGCCGTGGATCTCCTTCAGCTCCTTGTTGAACAGCCCCAGCTGCTGCTGCTCCTTGAGCTCCGTGCTCTTCGACTCGATCTGCGTCTCGAAGGTCATGCGGAGTTGCTCAAGCAGCGAGATTATGCGATCTGTGTCATGCTCCTTGGCGCCACTCGGCTCCTGTGCCCGTATCCTCTCGATGATGGTCTCACTCTGCGATATGAGCGACCGAAACTGTGCCTTCACGTTGTCCCGGAACGCCTCATGATCGCTCACAACACGCTCAGCACTGTCGCGATTGATCACTTTCTGCGTGGCGAAGTACTCCTCGATGCGACTCTTGGTGGTGAGTATGGCCTCTAGGAAGGATATGATTGAGATCACGAGAGCCTCGTACTCACTGGCGATGCGATCGAGTCGGCTCTTGATCGACGTCAAGTTCTCAATCACTTGCTGCAGCTTCTCCGTCGTGGCGCCGTCGTCTTTGGCCTCGAGACCGGACGTGGCAGTGATGCGCTCCTGCAGATCACCCTTCGCCTTCGCAATGTCGCCCAGGACAGATGTGAGCTTCTCCGTGACGAAGGTCTTCAGGGCAGCTGGATCGGTGGTGGCGATCGAGAGCACCGGATAAAGCTGCGCATCGAGCTTCGATGCGGCGTTGAGTGTCTGCAAGAAAACACCCTCGCAATAGTAATCCTTTTTCACTTGCCATCACCTACAAAATTGCCCACTCACTTGCACATTCTCCGACATGATTTTCTCCCAGAGCAGCTCCGTCTCTCGCTTTGTGGTAACGCGCTGCGTCCAATTTTCCCAACTTTCCGTGATACTAAACTGTCGCGAACTGAAATCGTTCAGAATCTCATCGACGCGAGAGCAGGCACTTTTTGTTTCGAGATATGGGTCCGCGACCTGTTACATAAATAGAATATCATTGACGTTTTGGAGAAAAGCCAGCCATTCAGACGCACAAACTCATGAGGAGAGAGATTTACTCTCTAACTTTCATCTTTATAATTATAAAATTTACTGATAGACTCATCACTGGAGTTGGCTAATATTAAATAATGGGGGGAAAAGGGAGAATTGTGCTCTCAAATTGTGTGTTGTGTGTGGGGAGATGCTAATAAATTACGCCAATTAAGATATTCCCTCAATTGTAGATTGATTGATTAGTATTGCATCACTTTTTCTAATTGCATTTTCAATAAAATCCACACACTGGCTCAGCAAAGATGCTTTTTGCTACAACTTCCAATGCTGTTATATAAATGTAAATATAATGTTGAGAACATCTAAACTGACGGATGTTATAAACATTTCGCATAGACGACATTAATATGCACATAAATCTTACTTTGGATGCCTCATCGATAAATCTCCGCGCCGTCAGCTTGATCTCCGTGTAAGCCGGCTGGATGACTGTCCAGGCTTTCTGGATGCGCTGCAGATTCTCCTCGTTGGGCGCCGTCTTCAGGATTGCCTCAATCTGATCGAACGTCTTCGCGAGACTCTCCGACTCGTCCAGGAACTGAATGTACAGCGACACGAGATCCACACGAGCCTCCGTGATGTTCTTCACATCCGTCCAGTGCTTCTGCAGCGCTTCCACCTTCTCCGTGATGTTGCGTCGCTGCTCCTCGTCCACTTCCTCGAGAATGGGCGCGAGGGTCGTGAGTAGTTTATTAATTTCCCTGCCTTTTCCCTGCGGCGGAAAGAAAAAGTGAAAGCAAAAAAAGAACATGACAGGGTGCGAGTGATGAGGATGGTGTGTAAGAAATATGGGCATTTAATGGGATGTCACACCTCGAGATCGGCCAGCAGGCGATGCTGCGCGCTGAGGAAGTCGTGCGCAGTGGGCAAGTTCCTGCCGAGAGAGTTGTGATTCTTCAGCGATGACTCCGCAGTGGACACGAGCCAAGAGAGGATCTCGTTGTAGTGGAGGAAGAAGCTGTTGATGTGCTCGGAAACGGTGACGTGTCGCTCGCTGTTCATTGAGCAGACTTTCTCTAAATAGATCTTCCGATTCTCCATTTCGTCCACCACTCGCTTCACGCCCATCACCTCTGGCTGGGTGCGACCCACATCGTCCATGAGGCAGTAGCCCATCTGCACGGGCTCGTCGATGAGGCCACTGAGTCGACTCAGGAGGCGCGTGTACACGGAAATAGCTTCCGGCGCCTCCGAAGACACCTTCACGGCCGCCACTTCCGCCTCCATCGACTCGAGCGTGGCCAGCACCTTCTCGGCGCGGTTGAAGAAGTCCTTCGCCTGCAGCAGCCAGTTCTCCCGCCGGTCCGTCTCGTCGAAGAAGTCCGTGCAGCGCGACAGCACGCTGTAAGCCCGCGCGCACGCCTCGTCGCCGGCGAAGCAGTCGGATCTCACCAGCTCCTCCGTGGCTTTGGCCACGCGCAGCGCGCGATCCCGCAGCAAGATGGCATCGTCCTTCAGGCCCACGTACTCCCGCAGCAGGTCATCCACGATGCTCTCCGTGTCGCCCAGCGTGAAGGAGATGGACATGTCGCTCTCGCGGCGGTGCAGCAGCGCCTCGATGTCCTCCAACTCCTTCACCAGCGTCGCCAGCTGCAAACACTGCTCCAGCTGCGACTTCCTGCTCTGCCACGCGACCTGCAAAAAGCGCAAGTACAACAATAATTGCTCGGCCTTTCAACAGCTAAATTTATCTTAAATTGAGCGATATATGAAGAGTTGGCCCGTTGACCCATTTGCAGGGCGCCGAATGAAGTCACTGCGCGGCGACCCGAGTGGCAGAAAATTGATCACACGACCACAAAGTGTTACGATTTTGCATGAATTGTTGGCAAACGCCACAATCATAGACAGTAATTTATGTCTAATACTCAATACGATTATTTCAATCAATAGCATTTTGTGTACGTGTTTATTAAAGACTTTTTGATGCACTTTCAAGTGGAAATGATGATTATTACAATGAATCAATGGATTTCAAAATAAACCCACAAATCTTTAGTGTGAATTTTATCTGCTTTAAGCCAATTAAACCTATTCAAATATCTTCTTTACATCCTTTCTACTTATGTTCATAGTTCATCGTGACACAATCTGGCTTTACCTCTAAGGAATTGCGTCTGTCATGGAGATCTTCCAGCCACAGTTCCACCATTGCAATGGACTTCACAGCGTCGAATCTGATGTGATCAGGTCGCGAGTCGAGACTCCCTTCCGTGGCGATGTCCTTCAGCTGCGCCAGCAGTTCGTTGCCATCGCGCAGAGCCGACATGACGGAGGCGAGAACGTCCGTTCGCAGCTCCTTGATTTTCGCGAGGAACTCCTCGACGGGCTCCACTTCGATGGGGATCATTGTGTCCCTGCACGCCTCCTCCAGAGCGCTCATCTTCCCGCGACACGCCTCCAGCTTCTCGTGGAAGTTGGCATTGGTATCCGCGATGAGCTTGCGGCGGTGCAGCAGAGCCGTCATGTCGTCCCACACGATCTTGATGGACTGCTCCATGGCGTCCAGGACCTCTGCTCTTGGTCGCTTCGTCTCGATCATCTCATCCACTTTCCGCAGAAACTCCTCCACTGGATTTGTGTTGTCCTGAAATAGAGAGAGAGAGAGAGAGACTCTGTGTTAAACTTCTTATCTGCGAGGCATCGAGATCTGAATCTGCAAAGTACACAAATCTTGCAACATAGTTGCTTAAGCTGCGTTTTACTTTCTGCCTTGTGCATTGCTGAAAATCTCGGTGAAATTCTGTGATAATGTGCTATTGCAAACATGTGTAAATATGAAATTATTGACCGTTACGAAAATTGAGATCAGATTTTCTTCTAATCAAAATTCAATCTACTATATACCTAATTCCGCTGCTCTAACAGAATCATCTCAATTTGTATCTCCCTTCGCGATCACTGCTCGTCATACTAATGAGGTGATAATGCCCCAAGATTCTGCCCGACTTTGTGCGGCAACATGTGAAGTACAATCATCCGCACACGGTGCATCGCAGAGCATCTGCTCAGATCATATGGCATTTGCTCATGATCCTCACCTTCTCCCCCGTATCGTCGTGTAATCAGTAACGCACTGATAAATTCCCCCATCGTCGGCACACTCACAAAATCAACAATAAACACTGGCTGGATATACTGGGCTTGCCAATTTACCTGTAATTTCCTCAGCACATCATCGTGCTGCCGCTGCAGGTGGACCGCCTCATCCAGATCACCGCCAAGAAATGTCAATCGCGGTTCTGCCTCAACGACTTTTATGTGAAACTGCTCGCCACTCTAGAATTAGAGAAGAGGAGAGAAAAATTGCCACTGTGAATTGCATGCAATTTACTGTTTTTACTTTTATCAACGCTCTTGAACGCTTTCTAAACGCACGTCGCTAAGAGAGAGGGAGGAGAGCAAAAGGAGTGTTTACGCACTTGTGTCGAAGGCACAACTTTTTTGCCAACATCTTGCCAAGATCTCTTCAACACAGCGAGTGTGCGCTCAGTGACTTCTGGAAATTGACAATTTTGCGGAGAAATTGCACAAAACGTGCTGCATTTCTATTGACTGTGTGCAAATATTTGGCAAGCAATTTGCACAAGTAGCGCAATGAACGCTAAACGTGACACCTGAGATGGTTTGTTTTATCATAAATTGTATGAAAGCATCCTTTTTCACACATCCATCGATTGGCTCGAAAGACTTTCTATCCAGCTTCGATGCGTCGATGAAATACTGCGTCTGCCCATTTTCTCTATATAATTTCCTCACTATATTCCACTTAATAGAGCGATTTTAGAGCATTGCGATCATGGATTGAGAACAACCAATAATTTTGTAGGAAATTATTGATTGAGATTAATAAGATTAGGATCGAAACTTCGCACAGATTTCATATTATCTGAAAATTTTATAATTCTATACATTGTGTGAAGATTAGAAAATGTTTTTCGAGCTGTTTTCAACCTGACCAAGGGGAAAATTAATCGCAAGTTGAGATCATTAACTTTGTGATTATTCAATCTTTTTTCGATTATTTGTGATTTTAATTCAAATTCTGATAATTTTTCTGATTATTTCATTAAAAATTGAGTATTTTAAAAATATTTTTTGATTATTTTCTGAATATTTGATTAAAAATTGTTTGTATATTATATTCTGATTCATTTATTGAAAAAAATCTTTTCTCTTTGGTATTCTATTTAGAATTTTGATTATTTTTCAATTTTACTTTGGAAAATATTTTTTTGTTATTATTATTTTATTCAAAATTTGATTATTTTGCAATTTTAATTGGGAAAACAATCAGTTTTTGATTATTTTATACGAAATTTTTTTTTCTTCAAACTTTACTTTGGAAAAATAATTGTTTTTCAATTTCATTACTTTGTAATTTTTTTCTCTGTAAAACAATAATTTTTTTGATCATACAATTCAAAATTTGATTATTGAAATTTTTGTGTAATCTTAGTTCAGAATTTTCTTTTTTGATTATTTTATTCAAAATATGATTATTTTTCAAAATTTACTTGAGAAAATATTAATTTTTTTCTATTTAATTCAGAATTTGGTTTTTTTGTTTTTTTTGTGATGTTACTCGGGAAAAAATTCATTTTTAAAAATTTTTTAAACAAAATTACATGTTTTTTATTTAATTTTAATTGGGAAAATAAATATTTTTTAAAATTCTTTATTCATAATTTGATTATTTTTCAATTTTACTTGGGAAAGTATTCATTTTTTTATTATTTTACTCAAATAATTGATTATTTTATTACAGAACACTTAAGTTACCTCAAAAGTCGCCTCATGATTTGCCCCTTGAACCCGATTTTCAACACTGTATTTTTGCTGATTTCTTTTCTGTGAGAATTATTATGTTTATGATGCCTCATAATTGGTTGTGGATAAATTTTGTGGCAAGATTAAATTCGATCTGATCTCCTCAATTCTTGCCTCAATTCATAAAATTGTAATTTATGGAGCGCAATCAAGCCTGGCGCGAGTGCTTAATTTTTCTCAAAGAAAGCAAATATCAATTGAGTGATTTCAGTTTGTATTTCAATGTAACATCAAAAAAATATTACTGTGAAATGCGAGAAATGTTAACAAAAATGTTTTGAGATATTTCAAACGCACCGTGAATTTGCAATAAAATTCACCATCACTGGTTTACAGACGATGTTCCGACGCGTCTCCCATGGACTTTCCTCCGCGTCCATCGATGGTATCTGACCGAAACAAGAAACACACAATAGTTACACATGTTCAAGTCCTAAATTTTGTGCGCCGCCCGAAGTGAAAATTGAATTTTATGATCCGCAGCAGCGACCGCAAGAATGCTGTGCGCTGTGGTGAATTGTTGCGAGGGGCAAGAAGGAGTTCAATCGCCTCTGTGAGTCGGAAATGCTGCAGAGTAAAATGTTAAGTGTCATTTTCTACGTGAGGAATCGCGCGAAAGTGTTGCAAATCACGATGCCTCGTGGAAGAACTTAATTAGAACCATCAAGTGCGCAGTCAATCATGAAAGAATCAACACACATTCGTTAAGGCGCGCCGCGGGTTTTCCTTTCAAGCCGCACTAACAGAACAATCATCAAGAGCAGCAACAGAGCCTCAGTGTGATTCTCAAGCAATATGTTGGTCAGTGAATTTTTGATACAGAGAAAGTTGGGAGTCGGCTGATAAACTTGATTATTTAATGTGCCTTGTACTTACATATTTATAACTCTGGCCATAAGTGATTAATATGTTGAAGTGTATTAATAGGAACATATAATGTCAGGAGTTGTAGGCCTTTCAAAGGGGTTTCACAGCCAGATAAATTGTTAATGAAATGTGTGTTTTACATCACAATTAATTCACTATTCTAATTTTAAACACAATCATCACTCAAAATACTTCAAAATCCGTCAGATCTTGTGTAAATTGAACGTCTCAAAGTGTCTCTATTTCTGCGCTCAGGTGAAGAAGTTGAGTTGTTAGTGTATGCAAATCTCTGCCTACATTTTTTCTATGCTGTAACATGATATTACATTATAACATCATTGCAATAGTGATTTGAGTTCAATTCTGATCAATCACTGTACTAAAACTTCTGTTACATGTTTTTCCTCAGTGAATATCATTATCTTCGCTTTTTCCACTTTAAATCATACCATGTATGAATATTCATTTTAACACTTTTGCTAATACAATTGGCAGAGCTGTAATAGCAATTTATCGATTCATTTCCTCACCAAATCATATTCCAAAAGAGAGATACAGAGAAACATGTTCTACTCTTCGATATGTTTCGATGTGCGCGGCCGTGATTTATCGTTATTCAACAACCAACAACCAACAGGCAAGTGATATGGGAATAGGCAATATTGCCAACAGGGCCGCAATGAGAGTAGAAGAAGATGGAAAGAATTGCGGGAGGCGAAAAAAAATAAATAAATTTCATTGATTTACTGGGCGTTTTTCCTGACTCATTTTTCGCTGGCCAAACGTATCATCTTACGCACAAGTTGCTCGCCTCTTGCACGTCTTCGCACATGATCTCAATCTGGCTGTGAGATCAGCACACCAGCGCGATCATGATCACATGCAACCACATGGAGCCACCATCTGAGGCTGTGCAGAAATATTTCGTACTGATCGAATGTGTGAAATGCCAGTGCGTCGAGTCGCTTTCGCCAGACAGTCTATTAAATGTTGTGCCTGTATTGGCGTCTTATCGAATCGGGTCAGTCCCTTATTGCCGCCCCGCCGATCTATCGGCGGCATCGCGACTATCGTGGCTGAAATATTCACTCCATCACGTGGCATTTGCGCCAACTTCCCTCCGGAAGCCGGTCACCGTTCGTGCTGTTATTGCTGTGATTCGAAACATGTGGGCGCAATTGATTTCGCCTTGAGTAATTCGATCCATTTCTTTTAGCGTGCTGCGCGAAATTCAACTCATTTCAGCCACTACAACCATTTCGCGGTGCGTTGTGAATATTTCAAGTATGTCGATTGTGTAGTCTCGGCATCTCTCCACCATCAATATATGTATTGATTTACACACATCATTTGAGTATTTGATGAATTTCATTGGCGTGGGAACTTTTTCCTCACTTTCTTATGCTTCTCATTGTGAAAAGTCATACATTGAATAAACTCACAAAGTCAATATTCATGTAATATCTCATCTCATTAGACAAGATCTCACTTGTGGGTCGAGTGAAAATGATTGAATCCCATGCAAATCACCTCTCAAGCACACTTTCTGGGAGGGTTTCTTTTGACCAGGCCGGGTTCGTAAACCGGGTTTCGCGCGAGATTTTCAAGATTATGGCCAGGAGAGGAAAATCGTGCACATAAAAGTGCATGTACGACAACAAATTGCAGAGTGGAAAGACGGTAGATGCAGTTATTATTAATTATCTTCCCCAACGAAAGGTAATTAAATGCATTTGTAGCTCATAATGTTTTGCACAAAATTGCCTTGATTCAGTTCTTCTTGCCGCTGAATGGGAAATAATACCTTTGCAGGCTCAGTCACTGGAACACAAGCGCGCGATGTTCGGAAAGAAGTCCAATATCATGGGCAGAGAGACGCAATATTTCTGTGTTCTGAGTGGAATTTGTCATGAGGATAAATTGTATTCAAATTTTATGACTTGCATTTGAATTATCGCGAAAAAAGCGCCTTTTTTTCCACTCTCAATTCGGCGACGAGTGAAACGATGTTGGAAAAGGTTAAATTTGCAAGAGTAAACTCTGGACGTTCTGCCAAGTGGAACATTTATGGAAGCCATGGGTGAAAATTGCTGTTATTCCACACCAGTCTTCCTGTGCGCATCTTCTTGGCGTTGTAGAAAAAGATCACGGGGCTTATCTCAAATGAATTGCCTGTGCGAACGTGGTTGAGACTCAATGATTACAGGCCAAGTTCATAAATTTGCGAAACTTGATTTTTTTTCGCCTTTTTTCTCAAATTACTTTGCATATTCATTGGGGATCTTCTCTCTTTTGCTCACAAATAACATAACTTTGCTGCTGTTGCTGCTGTTGTTGGTCGCGATTAGATGGAAAATAGTCAATTTATAAATAAGATAAATTTAAATGAATTACAACAAATCAAACCATGGTTAAAATTATACTGTTCACAAACAGTTTTTGATCTCAACAGCTGACATTTTACATAATACGCCATGATAATGCTGATCATTTTCACTTTTAGTTTGAATTATATTCTAGAAAATGCTCCACATTTCCCAAACATTCAAACAACATTAACTTTTTTTCGCATTCTTTTGCTTCACATTAAATTTAATTACTCGCGCAGATTTTTTTCTTTCGCAAAAAGTTGATCTATTGATCTGGGACAGTCAAACAGATCGCAGAAATCGAATCACTAATGCCAATTAGGCCTTCCCAAGCGTTTTATTTTTAGCATAGCGAGAAATATCCGCTTAATAGGCAGACAATTTCTTATGCTAAAATTAACAACAACAACAAAAAATATGACCTTATAAAGTCCGTCAATTCTTCTTGTCTTCCGAGCATATTTGTTTTCGGCTAATCGCACCTCGAAATTGAACGTTTGCTGAATATCACAGAGATATTTATTCTGAAATCGGAGAAGTTGGAACTGTACTGATGAATAAGATAGCTTCCAATTGAGTATTTAACACAAAAATAATCCCATTTTAGTTGTATTTCTAGAGCGTATAATTTTATTTCGCCACTAATGGCCGTCATAAGGAATTCTTGCAATAAAACCCAAAGAAGTGCAGTGCAATTTGATTCAGCTTTATGACCATTTCAGCCACTCTGTCCATCAATTGGCCGCAGAGGTACAGCTAATCTTGAGCTCATCAAATTCCTCAGCATCTCTCAAGATGGACTGTGAGAAATTCCATCCTGTGACTCCGAATATGACGCAAATCGGGAAGAGCGAAAGGTGAAGCAGCTTAAGAAAATGGAGCAAAAATAGACGCAGACTCACTCGAAAAATACGCATTTGACAGAAATGTCTTTTAGAACTTCCAGAGGCGCTTCACTCCTTAGGCTTGGCAGAAATTTCTCTCCGCAGAGAGAGAGAGAGAGACGCCTATTTATTGTTATGACTTCCTCTTGCGTGGCTGAGAAGTGAAAAAAAAAGCATCAATATGGCTCAACTTCTTTCTCTCCCTCGCTAATGCCATTCGCCATGAACATTAGTGAGTGCATTTTCCTCACTTTGCCCCGTTCCTGCTGCATTTTGCAGTCATCGCGAGAGAGAAAATTGAATATTATTACTTGCATCAACGGTTAAATATAAATTTTGCATCGCTTCTCTAATCTCCCTTAGCTCGCCACACAATTAATTCAACTCCCCATTGGGTGGAATGCTCAGTAGCGCTCTGCTGGCGTCTCGCAGCATTTAACTTCTTTCACTCTTGAACTCTCCGACGTCAAATATTCGCACACGGTGCGAAATGCGCCAAGGAGCAATTTGAATTGAGGCATATTTTTAATGGTTATTTGCTTACTGGACGATTAAGCCGCAAAGTGCATTGCTTTTCAGCAATTTTCCTACCTTGTCTTGTTGCTTTTCATGTAAAAACACAATTATCTGTTGAGATATTCAATCAAGATTCAAAAAGCGATACTTTATCATGCCACTATTCGATTTCCCCTGACAAACTATGTAAATCTAATTAAACAAGCACAGGAAATTCTCTGTCTATTCGAGCGACTGGGCGGAGCATATCAGTGGGCGGGGCTTCTTAGAATATTCTCAAAGCTTGCTCAGTTCAAACATTGCGAAATATTAATCATCATCTCAAGTAATTTGGAATGAAAATGTATTAAATTATCGTTGGAATGAGGAGAGAGTGAAATATTTCTCTGTTATCCGGAAAGTGGCATTATATTTGAAACTCCAAAACGAATAGAAATATCGGGGCCAATCGAATATGATTGCACGTCAATGTGTCTGCATGTGAGAGAACGTGAGTTCGAGCACCTCCCAAACCCCAGCTGATCCATCAATTTCCTCATTCAATTCCTTCAATTTACACTTTGTAAAAAAACTATCGTGTGTTTGTCTAACATGGTCTTGGGTGAAATGTGAGAAAAAAAAATGAGGATTCACGTGAAGAACGCCATTGCTTGGTCTATTCAATTTGCAAACTCTGGCGCCTGGCAGAGTATTGAAAATGCTTGGTGAGAATTGTCTGAAGAATTGTGAGGACGCATTGAGACTCATGTCGCTCGTCTTGACAGTCGCACAAATGCAACATCTGAGCAAGTAATGTTGTGGTCTTCATGTTTTGCCGCTCAGTGGGGCTAATTTTAGAGATGGCAGCAGGATTTTACCAAGAGCACTTGTGAAACTCCATGAAAAGTGCGTTGAGCAGCGCAAAGGATGGAGTTGTGTGATTTCAGAAGCCTCGGCACTTCTTACGTTTCGGCGATATATATCAAAAAATGGGGAGAAAGAGAGTGTAAAATTGCCGAATGTGCTGAACAGTGAATGTTTATGTGCATGAGTTGGGATTTAAAATTAGAATTTTAAGACTACGTCATGAATGTTTGTACTCATCAACTGTGAATTTACTTTCCATTTAGCATATGTGCGAGTTTTTCACTGTTGATCTTCGATATCAGAACGCCCGGCCCTGGGAGGTGTTCATGAGGAGGAGGCGGAGGAGAAATGAGAATATGTTGCTGTTCCTAATTCTGTTGAGAAAGACCATTAAACTTCACTTATGTATGTTTCTTCAAGCTGATCTTTTCATCGGACTCAATGGGCATATAGCACAAAATGCCAGATCAGTTGTGTTGCGTAAGGCCAAAAGGAAGATAGGCACACACACTCCAGAGTGTGGCCCATTGATTGCGTCGATTAAATATTTAATTTTGCCGTGAAATATTTTAACGAGTTTATTCTCACACACCCTGAACGCCGCCAAGATGTAGTAAAAATTTGCATATGCGAGACTCTCTCAGAGTGACTTCCACTGAATGTTTGGCATAGTCAATGCGAGAGTTGAATAATACATAATTGCTATCGTTTATAGGTGACATATGTGTGACACACACCGCCCCAGAGATGTGCTAAGTGACCCTGGCGAGTCGCAAATCTGATGTCACGTCGCGAAGCTATCCAAAGCTCAATCCGTTGATGTGTTAACTCTCTTCAAAGGTGAATCTCAGCGTATCAACATAAGAATTTGTGACTGGTTTTTTTTTTGACAAAAAAAAACACATTTCAGGGTGCTGAATGTGAAGATTTGTGAATCAAAACTCCACACAGAAGATGTTGGCAAAACATCGCGAGCAAAAAGTATTCATGTTTCCTCCGTGGTTGATGTAATTATTTAGATATATTTGCTAATTAACTCATTTCCTCAAGATCTTCTTCTCTGAATAAGGTAAGATAAACTTGTGTTGGGCGATGGAAATCTCAGTAAATGTCTGCATTTTCAATTCTAATGATATTAAGTACACGTTAGTCTAAAGTGAGCAGAGAAATAACATATTTTTGCTACTTTTGCATGAAACTTATCATTAAATAAAATTAAATTTGATTACACAAGTGTTTTTCATATATATATTGGGAAAATTTACGCTTCAAGCCGAATAATTTGAGCCTCTGAGGCAAATTGACAATATCAATATTATTTTACTATACATGAAAATCTCAAGTAATTATACTGGCAGAAAATTAAGATCTTGCTTCAGAACATGAACCAACTGCTCATGAGATTTCATGTGTAATTGAATCATGACCAAATTATAGCTGAGGCCTGAAGAAAGTGCCATGTGTTGGGCATGAAAATCACACACATTCTCCGCTGGTTCGCGTAAGAGCAAAGAAGTGTCGACGACTATCGCTGGCGATAATCGCTGGAAGTGAATTGAGCACTCCTCCGATTGCGCCTTCCATGCGTCGTGCGACCTTTTCAACTTTCACTGACATTTACCATCCACTTTAATTATTTCTGCGACAAATTGCAGAGGGAATCTTACTTGCAGCAGCGCCACGACGAGTTTCACTGGTCCACTGTGGAGGACAATGGTGCTGATGGTCGTCGTTCCGGGCAGGGTTGAGTGGTATCCAAAGGCCTCGAGAGAGGCTGCAGCGTCCGAATCCATGACTCGTTTTGCTCTTTTTTCTCCTCTGCCAAAATATATTTATTGCCCCAGCGAAGAAGAGAGGGAGGGGGGAGAAGAGAATACACACGATATGTTGTGGATGATCACACAGAGAACATTCCTCAATTGGGCATTAGATCACATTAAATTCCATGCGAGGCTAAACTCTCGAAACTATATCTTTCCGGGAAATTGTCGATAAACATTTTGCAACTCCGGCGCAGCACTTGAAGGGGATCCGCGATGTATCCAGAGAGAGAGTGTGTCGATATATTTTTAGGTCCAAGAACTGTGGTGCGGCGCAAGAAAATCACCCCCGAGTGTGGTCTCGAGACGAGGAGAAGTGAGTTTATGGGTTGGGAAGGAGAGGACGAAGAAGAGGCACAAGCACAGGAATTTATATTGATTTGCAGCAGACACGATTGGAGCCACACACCCTGAGACCGACCACCGCACTCGCGATCACTTCAAGAACTGAGCGATCGAGAAAACTGAAGAAGTTATTGGCGACTTGTTCACTTGCCTCTGCCGCAGCTTCACTCGCGCGCGCACACAGCTCTCCATGCGATCATGTGTTCACGAGCAGCCGGCGAATGCGCCAAGAGCGGCGTGTGTGTTGGGAAATATACAAGCACAACACACAACACAACACACAACACAACACGGGCTCGAACACAGAATTGCGAATGGGCAGAAACCTTTCCTCGGCGGGCCGCGAGCGCCGTGATCGTGATCTCTGTGATCTGCGGCTGAAGATTGATGTAGAAAATTCAAGGTATGGCAGAGAAGTCACAAACAGAGTCAAGAGAGTGGAGAAAAATTTAGTATCTCACTAGAAAAATCACTGCAAGATCTGTTGATCTTCGGAGACAAATGATGCCACAAAAATGTATGCAAACGAAACTTGCGAAAAGATGACTGAATTGTATGTTAGTTATTTTTGGACAAAATATTTGGAGTGTGAGTGGAATTTCCTTTTTTTTATTTCTTGACAATTGCGTGGAAAAAAGCTTACATAATTACACAAATCTTCTTGTAAAGAATGTTGTGCAAAAGTGCCAACAAATTTCAATTAAATCGCACGCAATCATGCGCTTAAAGTTCGTCTTCAGCAATATTATGCACTTATTGTGATCTCTGTGATCTCATTGAGCTATTGTTTGCAGAAACGTTTCTGCTTCAATTAAAGACCATTTTGCCAACTTCCTGAACAATATTCAAATGATGATGATGATGATGAGATATTAATTGGAGCAGTGCCAAAAGCCACAAATTTTTTTGTCGAAAGGAAGGAAAGACGCGATTAATTAACGTGCAATTAGCTGAACAAAGTGCATCAAAATAGAAACCTCACTCATATGAACTGAAAAGATCATTGGAACGCCATTTGAGAAAGAGCGCAGAGTCAGTGTTATGCCTAATGAACTTTTATTGCTAATTAATTTATTTGAAACAAAATATATGATGATGGAAAACAATAATAATTATCATATAAGTTAAACAGATAATGTACCAAAGAGATATTTTCTTCGTCAATCATCGTGAATCCTCTTTGGTTAATCAATTTGATAATATGAATTGGAAAACAATATAATTCTTAAGAAAAAAAGTACGCTAATTCATATAAATTAAGTAAAGGTGAAAAGTATTTTGCATTGTATATGGAAATAAATTATGTACTTCGTCTTGAAGGTTTTCTTAATATGAAAAAAAGAAGCAGGGAAAGTCTGTGATGAGTGTGTGGAAAGTTGCGCCGCATCAGAAGCATCCCTTGATGGTTTGCTTGGTTATAAAGCTCTGATAGTAGCCGTTCCAGGCCAAGAAATCATGAGCACTCGGATTAGCGTCACTCCTCACCTTCTCCACGACATCAGCTTCATTCTTTCTGTCCGATTTCTCGTCGTCCAGCAGAACTCCGGGATCAGGCGAGTCGCGGCCGCGGTGAGATCTCTTTCTGGCGTCATCGGAATCGCTGTGCTCAGCATAGAGCGGCGAGTGAGTCGTCTGAGAGCGGAAACTGTGCTCCGACTCGTCGAAAGATGCTGAATTCGACGACAGTTTGTTCGACGGCACTTCCGTCTCGATGTCCGAGACGTCAGCGATGTCCAGGGAGTTCTTCTCTGAATCCCACCACGGAGACGCTCGACACTCAGACGCAGTGTGATAAGACGATGAGCGCGACTGAGGAGTCCAAGTGCAGTCAGAAGCAGTGATAAAGGACTCGTCTTCGGTGGAAGATTTCGATGACTTGAGGCTGGAATTCCAGTCCTGAAAGAAAGGAGGAAGAGAAGAAGTTAAATTTCCCAAATCACTCAAATTAACTCAATCCCCAGCGAGCGAGAAAAGCTAAAAGAAACAGCAAATTTAGCTGAAAAGTGCTAAGACGAAGTAAGGAAACTCAATATCGTCAAAAACACAGCAATTCCCAAGCAAAATATTAAGCTAATTTTTGATCAAGTTTCTCAGTAATTTTCAAAATATTTCTGCTTTTTTTCGCTAAATATTATGCTAATGGTGAAAACACAGCATTTTGCTCATACCGTCTCGGCTCGGTCCCGTCAGATTCCCTTTTAAAATTTGGTCTGCAGATCAACTTTTGGCGCCTTCACACAATCTGATTTTCTCCACAATTATGGCTCATTATGAACGAAATCAATTAATTTTTGAGTTTTTTCCACAATATAAATTCATTTCAATGACAATTTTCTCGATTTTCCATATGAAATTGGTCTATTTTGACCATTTTGATAGCAAGCGCATTGTCAGACACGTCGAACTCAAATTCAGCGCGGGTTGCCCAACGTAAAATCTGCAGCCACACACCCGACATAGAAATTGTCGTGAGCAGGAAGGAAAATACACGACTCGCGTGGGGAAAAAAGAGATGAATTAAAACAATTTTTAAATTACAAAAGCTGTGTTTTCACCATAATTTTCTTGCTTTTCTCTGATCAAAATTTAGCAAAAAACAGAAAGTCCAACTTCTATGAACTTCACAAAATGTCTTTGTGGCCTAAAAGGCCTGAGAGTGTGTAATTCCCTCAATTTTGAGGTTATTTGCATGATGCTATTTATACAATACACTTGAGTGTTGTTATCACGAAGTATATGATTGAAATGGCATGATTTTACACGATGCGACATCTGTGACTGATCGCTGCTACTTCCGCTAGTGCATCAACCAAATTGCTAAGTTCTGAGCGAAAGAAAGCCAAACAATTAGCTTATCAACGTTGAGATCTTAGCATTTTGCGCTCGTTGGATCTCAACACACAGTGCCATAAACTTGACCGCTGCGCTACCCACTTATGACCATAATAAAGCGAGAGACAGTAAATCTTACATCTGTTCCATTTTCGCTCTTCTTCTCTGTCGTCGTGGTCTCGATGACCTCCAAGCCGTGCTGAGTGTCTCTCAAAACATTGTCCAGTGCCTCAGCCACAGTGGCGACAGTGTTGAGCTTCTCCGAGATCGCCTCGCAGGCGATCACATTGTCACTCGCCATCACGACACGGTTATTTTCTCCCGATGACGACATCCTAGAAAAATGTCACAAGTAATTTCTCCTCTCCACCGGCAATTCGCATCAGTTTATGCCACGATCGCGCCAACGACACACATTTGGGGGGAATTTTCAACAAGGAAATTGTATCGTTTGGGAAGAACAATTACACGCCGGAGCGCGATGTTGGCACAGTGGCAGAACAGAGTCTGTGTGCCGGCCAGTGTTTAAAGTGAAATAAAACAATTTTAGAACACTAGAGAGACACACAAAATCCCGGCATTCAGCCAGACACAGAGGCAATATGAGGCGGTTTTAGACGAGAAGGGAGAAAAGAGCCGAATATTAAAAGCTCCATGAAATTGCCTTAATTGCAACACAGAAAATACATAGCGCGAGGAACGACACAAAAGCCCGTGTGGCAGGTACAAATCACGACATCACACTGGACTCTGGCTGACCAAACGTCGAAGCAATTGATGCCAAAAGATACTCCCACAAGCCGACTTTCTGGTTATTTCGGTGGGAAAGAATTTCCCGACTCTTTATATTCTCATAGAGTACGGTGTGACCGAATAACCGCGGTCACCAGCAAATTGAAAGTTAAAACACCGCAAAAAAGTGACGAAAGTTGTGTGTGATCGAAGAGGAACAGGGCAAGTCATGAAAGTGGCAAAATAGAACTCCTCAGAAATAGTAAATTTCAATACAATTTCTCTGATTCGCACTGTTTTCACAAGAAGAAAGTCAAGCGTAATTTTAGATCACTTATTTTGTGATTATTTTCGTGATTTTTATTCAAATTTAAATTATTTGATTGAAATTTCAATAATTTTTTGATTATGCCAAAAAATATTGAAATTTTTAATTCTTTTCTGAATGATTTTGATTATTAAACTTTAGTTTATTTCAATATTAATCGCTGTCCTATAAATTTTTGGTTATTTCGTAATTTAACGTGGAAAATAATTATTTTTCTTCCACTAAGTGACTTTCCCCTTGTTTTTCCATTGAATTTCACAATAAATCGTCTCCCGAATTAAACTCACCCATCGGAATTGTCGTCCAAGACGAACGCCTCTTTGAGCCGAGTCTTGAGCAAGCGTCCGAGGCGCACCATGCGACCCACTTCCACCAGCAGGCGCTCCCGGCACGCCAGGTACTTCCGCAGGCGACTGCGACGCCTGTCGGGATCGTCGATGTCGCAGGTCGTCTCCACGGCCACGCGCAGCTCCTGCAGCTTCTGACAGTGATCCTCCACGCTGCGGTGGAAGACCGCCGAGACTCTCAGGCGCGTCATCTGCTCCTGACTCACGGCCTGCAAATTGCTCCAGGCGCGCTGCAAGTCCGCCAGCATGTCACTGTTGCCGGCGATCTCCAATTTGCACGACTGTCTGAGCGTGAGTGATGCCTCCAACAGTTGGCAGCCGTAGCTGAAGATTCCCTGTGGGAGAGAAGAGAGCCGCTTGAGAAACACAATTGCTCGTAATGTTTAATGCGCGACACACCTTGGCAGTTTCCTGAAATGTCTGCAGCTCCTCCTTTTGTGTCTGAATCTCGTACATGTTGCAGCCCACATGCGAGTGCAACTTAATCATAACGCTGTACAAATCCTCCATCCACTTTATCGCCGTTCTGGCGTCCTCCTCGTACGAATGGATGTACGTCACTTGCTCAAGAGTGAGTTTTTGCAACTCCACGCTGTCGATGAAGATGTTCCTGCGGGCGATGCTCGCGTCCAGAATGTCTCGAATGTTGACAATATCTTCGCTGTAATCGACACCAATGTCGCATCCAAGAGCATCCTTCACTGGCATCGCGAGCATGTCGCTCAGCTTCTCGCCCTCTCTCACCAGTTCTCTCTCGACGGATTCTGTGAAATGAAATAATGAGGGATTTTGCACGATTAGCCAAACATTTTTATATGACAGTTTTAAAGCTAATATAATTTCGGCATGTGCTGAAAATGATTTATCATTCACCAGACAATTTTACAACTTTCTTGGCGCTATAATGCGGAGTTGTTGGACGTAAAAGTTCGCCTGGCGTATTTAAATATTCGCTATTTCTTGCAATTTCTTCTAAGATTCCTTCTAAAAATGATGTATTTCGCGATGCAAAGTGACAAGAACTTGGAAGCTTGTGTATTTACCCAAATCTTGCTGGCTGTCTTTGAGCTTCTGCAGATTGATTGGGGCCATTTCGAAGTCATCGAGGCGATTTCTCATGACCAGACTCTCAAACACTTCACTGGTTCTGTCGAAGTACTCAGACACGAGCCGGAAGAATCTCAGTGAAGTGATTAAAGTGTTCCTCCGACGCTCCAGTCGAGTGGCAAAGCTGCGGCACACAAAGTCCATATAGTCCTTCTTCGACATCAAGTCTTTGTGCATGAATGAGTCTTTCGGCACGTCAAACATGTTGATTTTGTGCAAGAGTTCGGCATACAGTCCATACGTGTCCCAGCACTGCATCTCCAGCTGCTCGTGCTTCTTCCTCAGCTCCTCCGACGTCTGCACGTCGTAGCCGATCTTCTTCTGCGCCGTGAGCATCGCCTCGGCCGTGGAGAGGATCCAATTCGTCACGAAGGCGACTCCTTCTTCAAGTGATGCCAACTCACGAGCCACTTCCATGCTCTTCTCCAAGTCAATCCACGCATTTGCCGCTTCCGTTTGGCGCTTTTCCACGTCATTCAGCATCCTCTTGATGAACTCCAGAGCGTCCACAAGATCTGGCGACTTGACAAAGTCCGAGTTGGGATTCCATGTGATCTTGCTCAAGTCGGCGATTAATGTCTTTCCTGTTGAGACAGAGGAAAACACTTAATGCACTGCAATAAACTCATGGGCCATTGAAGAGTGCGCTCGCGCAAATGAGCTTCCACTCAAACTTTCAATTGCTATTCAATGCATAATTTCCTCACACAGCCTTTCGCAAATTCCAAGAGCCGGAAATGCAGTTCACGCACTCGAGCCATTTGTGTTAATAAGATTGTTGGAACGCTGGAGAGCAATGTACATTTCTTCTGCGTCAAGATATGTGAGAAAAATCTCATTGTTATGATAATTGTTTTATTAGAAAGACGTCACATTAATCGCCATTTGAGATATTTTATTGGCTATATTTTCCAAACAGTCTATGCGATAAATGCTGATGAAAGCAACGGTGGATCATCGGTTTTTTGCCGACAACAATTTAATTATATCATTTTCTCAGTGTGAATGGAAAAGAGAAAAGAAAAGATAAACTTGTGGCTAAATAAACATCTTCGGACGTTATAAATAAAATCCTTGTAAAATTGTGTGTGAGTAAAAATTTCTTTCGCATTTTCTCGCTCATTGTACAGGTTCAAAACAATGTAATGTGAATTTACTTAGAAAATTCTTCAAAGTTCTCTCTCTCCATTGCTTCTACACATTGGAAGAAAATGTCCACACAAACACGCTCCGGCGCTAATTAATTTTGAGATATCTTCTGCATGGAAATGCTTTTCTTTTAATACCACCAGCGTTTGATTTTACAATTTAGATAGTGGTGAGAATTGAATGTTGGACATAAAAGCAGCCACAGAGTCCATTTGTCGAGAGCCAGTGGGAATATTCATGAACTTTTCTTCATCAACAATCTTGGCCTGTTTGGAGCATTTCAAATGTCTACTTAACAACTTCAATGGGAGACAGTGGAAGAGAAGGTAAACATTTCTTATGTGTGAGAATACTCTCTCTCACTCTCTCTCCTGTTGAAGATGAATTTTGTGAATTTATGTTGTTGTAAGAATTTTGTTAATTTATTATGAGGAATTATATGAATACTAATTGCCTGGATTGGTAGCATATTGAAAAGATGGCTTGTGGGCGTGTTTTTTTTCATCTTGAATCTCTCTTTGCCAGGCTCAAGGGGCAAATCACAAGGCGATTTTTGAAGAAACTTAATGTTCTCTAATCAAAAATTCAATTATTTGAGTAAAATAATCAAAAAAATGATTATTTTCCCAAGTAAAATTGAAAACAATTAAATTTTGAATAAAATAATTTTAAAAATGATTATTTTCCCAAGTAAAATTGAAGAAAAAAAATCTCATTTTGAATAAATAATCAAAAAAGATTTTTTTCTCGAGTGAAATCACAAAAAAAATCAAAATAACCAAATACTGTATTAAATAGTCAAAAAATTCATTTCCTAAATAAAATTAGAAAAAATCAGAAAAACAAGTATTAATTTAAAAAAACAAAAAATATTTTCTAAAGTTAATTTTGAAAATAATCAAATTCTGAATTAAATAATCAAAAAACAATTTTTTTTTAAAGTAAAATTGTAAAATAATCAGATTAAAGAAAAATATCAAAAAATATTCAAAAAATAATCAATTTTTTATCAAATATTCAGAAAATAATTAAAAACAAATCAGAATTTTGTATGAAATAATCAAAATTTGAGTAATAATTACAAAGTTTACGGTCTCAACTTGCGAATGACTTTCCCCTTGGCCAGGCTTTATAGAGACAGGATATGATAATGTTCATGGATAATCTTAATAGAGTCGTAAGATGTCATCTGATTGCCAATTCTGAGAGCGGTGTGGAAGAACTTTTATGGCCTCTCTGAAAGCAAACATCAACTTATTCAGCAACTTTTTGCATTCCTTCCTGTGCTTGAGTGTTGTGAAAATTTTATTGCAAACTGATATTGCTCATTTCACTGGGCAAAAGTCCCTCTAATCTGTATATTATTTTCGCAATCTCTACATTTGCAGCTAATTTATTGGCAATGCCAACTAATCTGCACACTCTCTCCTTGCAATTCTCCACCGATCGCGAGCATTCCTTGGGCGCGCGAGTGTGCTTTCGATATATTGAGGTGTCTTTAAGTGATTTCTTGCTCACCATTCTCAATGACGGCCTGCACCAATCTCTGGGCGTCCCCATTGAGTGTGGCGCATGTTTTCAGGGCTTGCTCCGTCTCGTTTGCCCGCAATGATTTGCTATCCAACAATGTAACGTGTAGATTTTCTAGGTCATTCACAGATCTGTCGTACGCCTTCTTGAACTCCTCGACGCGCTGCGGTGACAGAGGAAAAAAAGAGAATTCGGGCAGAGAGAATTGAATGGAAATTAATCGAAATTTGCCAGATGACGACGAAAGTAATTTCCATCGGCGTCTGCACTCACCATGCGATTGTGGAGCCATTGTTCGTGACTATAGGCAAGTGTGCCACCCAATTCATCTGGCAGTTCGCTCATGTCGAAATACTTTCCGAGGCGGGACTTGGAGATGATTATCGGCTGAAATGGGAGACTCTCGGTGAGAAGTGTCTGGTTAAACGTGTTTGCATACAGATAAGGGTAAGAGAAAAATTTATAGGCGACGCAAGTCTAATGAACTCATCTTGCGTGGCTTTAATCGGCGAAATTCTCAACCGTTAGATCAAAACTCGTTCTAAACCTAAAGTCGCGATAGCAGATCTAATGAAGAATGGTCTAATGATGAAGAATGGTCTCGGAAAACAAAAGTGAAGCAAATTCAAGGGGTCTGTTCGAATTCTCACAACAGAAGCTGACTTTAAGCGGGAAAAGAATGGAGCTTTTCATCGAAATTACAAATGTTAAATCGGAGTCAACAATACTTGCTTGTTTTCCAGCAAAAGTCTTTTCTCACCTCTCCAGTCTTGCTGGCTCTTGCGCAATTCTCAACACGCTGCTTATCCCAAAATGCATCTGGCCGAATGACAATGAGTGACGCCAAATTAGCACCAAGCAGCGATGCGGCTTTCATGTGTATTTTCGCGAGGCGCCAAGAGCACTTCTGAGCATCCACGATCACCGTGAAGCCGCAATTTTTGGTTTCGTCACTGAAATGTTGAGCAAAATATTTGCAATGCTTAGAATAAAAACACAAGGATAAATTATAGAGTAATGCAATTGAGAAGTTGAATAATTTGAAGCAAGGGGGAGATATTATAAAGTATTTGGAAGAGGAAGTCACTTTCAAAAGGAATTGACGCAATATTTGGAGAGAAAGAATTATTCTTTACATTTTTTCTAGGTTATGTCATGAACTTAAGACAAATTTTGCCACTAAAAAACCTTCAAAATCATTCATTCTTACTTCTAAGTTGGTAAAATTTGTAATTTATTGGCAGAATATTAAGGAAATCTGATGAAGATCTATGCTAAGATTGATCATAACCTCTAAAGATTTCAAGATACAAAATTGCTTATTTCAAGAGCTGTTTGATCGATTTCCTAGTCTAAAATAGCAAATTTTCTCCAGTGTTGCCTTGAAAACATTCCAAAAAAGTTTCGTTCAAAGATTCTTAGCGATATCTAAAGGTAATTTTTAGGTTATGTGTCAAAGTGCATCCTAAAGAGCGATTTAAAATTGAATATAACGTCAAAATATCCTCTAGAAACTTCAAATATTTATAAGATACTGTTTCTCTGTAAGTTTTCAAGGCAAAATTGTGTCTTTTTTAAGACAAAAACTCCTAAATACTATGAAGTTCCGAAAAAGGAGAAGAAAATAATGAAAACGAACGTTTTAAGCACTGCCAAAGTCCTAAAGTTTAGCCGTATTATCTCCCCCTTGGATTAAACTTCCAGACATTATCTTGCGAAAGCATCAATTAATTGCTGAAGACTGTTATTATTTTTGTCGTAATAGAATAGAAATTAGAATGAATGTGAAAAGAAACAACACTAATTTGAATTATTAGAATATTACGCTCAAAATAGCTCAAATTGCTGTTTAAACACACGCTTTTCTGAGAAAATAATCGAGGTGCGAAATAACTGAAAGTGACTAACATGAGAATCACGAGTCACATAAATCTTGTCAATTTTGGAGGCTTGACCTCAAATATTTTGACTCTCGAAACATTGATTGCGTCGGCCGTAAAGTTTCTGTTTGGCGCTAATGTTGGGGTTTTATGGGTGAAAGAGCGCGAGGCAATCAGCTGAAATTCACAAACCTGAGCGACGATAAAATGTACTTGATGGAGGTCTCGAGGAATGGCTTGGTCCATGGGTGCAGCTCGAATGGCACGGGTATCACTAGGAGCAAATTGTTGTCCCTGTCACGCCCACCTGGCAAGAATGCGGAACGCGTCTGCAGCGCATTGAGAACATCTTCCTCCATTGCGAGCGCTGGTGAATTCTCGCGCTGCACTATCACTGGCGGGTCACTTCGGCGATGTGGCAACTTTCAATCTAACCGCCGATCATCTCGAAGATCTCTCCGTCGTTCTCGCTGGGAGGCTGCGGACGACTTATGGGGCCATCAACCAGAGGTGGCAGTCTTTACAGTTATAAAATATCACTGCCGCTGGACGGCATCGTGATATTTTCCATTTTTCTCATATGTCCACTTCTTTTTTCAGTCGCGCTGCACCCAGATTTGTCCAGTGCAGGAAATAACGCAGCCTCTCAGGTGAAAATGCTGAAATTTCTCGAAATGTCCATTGAGGTCAGCGCGAAGTGCGACCGAGTGACGGACTGGCGCAATGTCTTGGAATCGTTCCTTTGCCACTCCGCGCACTCAATTCCAGAGGAATTCACACAGCACCGAAGGCGCAGAGAAAAACCAGCACATGGATGGAATAGTTAGAATCACAATTGCTACACACTTTCCACCCCGAAAAAAAAAACGCACTTCACAATCGACTGCCTTCTATTTTGCGTCGTCGCGCGAATATTGTTTGTATGCAGAGAAAAAAAAAGAAAATTCCGAGAGAAATTCTCACAGGCGCAAACTATAATTGTTCATCGGGCATTATGTATGCACTTGTGCACATGCCGATGGATGGTTCAATTATCCGCGAGAGGTTCTCTCAACCTGTTGCTCTCCTCTTGTTTCGCCTCAATAGGCCTCCCTTGGGCGGTAGTCACACGACACGTCTTGAGGTCGACGATAGTTCATCCGCGGATTCAGCTTCCGACGTCGATCATGAGAAAACTGGTTCGCCTGCCACTGCAAGTGCGCTGCGCCTCCACTCTGAGACGCGATCAAGAACTGACTGAGGCCCCTTCGCCAAGCACAACTCCGCGGCCCAGCGAAATTTACATTCTCCATACACTCCATTCAGTGGTGAGGCCGTTTTTCCAGGCACTCTCCATACCGGTTTCGCGGGCCGCTGGAATTAATCCCACTTCGCCGGAGTGTTCTCGCGGAGTGAGACAGCAACAGCCAGGAGAAAGCATGTGGTGATGGGTTCAAAGAACAAATTGAGAGGGAGAAGGTTAGAGTCTCTGCAAAGTGCTCGCGCGCTGCGGTGATGCAAGAAATGAGCATATTTGACATACATATAATGCACATACATATGCGCACAATACATTTGTTATTCAACCTTGCTTTTCACTTGTGGTTCTCAATAAAGAATTAAGCGCTATTGACGAAGGAGTGGAACAACTTTTCTGAATGGGCAAAAAATGCTTCAGCGGATCAGCCTTGAGAAGATTATAATCTCAAATGCATCTGATTTCATAACAGGATACTTGCTCCAACTCTCGCTCTATCGCGGTTCAAAGGTATTGCAAGTGATAGAGAATGTTTAACTCGCGATTTCAGACCATTAAATTTGTGATTATTCAATCATTTCTACTGATTCTTTGTGATTTCTGTTCAAATCTTGATTATTTTCTGGATATTTAATCAAAATTGAAATAAATTTATATATTTTATTATATTCTCCACAAACTGCCGCCAAAGGGCAGTAATTTTAACTTTAAAGACATGTTGATGTTCCGTTTGTATTTCCCTGTGGTAAGAACACTGGCCTTTCCTTCTAAATATTCTTAAAATATTTAATTTCTTTAAATATTTTGCTAAAAACATTCAATTTATGATTATTTCCATTCAAATTTGATTATTTAATAGTAAAAATCATCATTTTAATATTTGATTAAGACCATTAAAATATCTCAGCAATCGACTAGTGCTTTTCCCCTTAGTTTCTCGATATTGCAATTATTCCTGGTCGATCACAGGTGGTTTGAGAAAGAACTACAGTTCTTTGATGGTATTGAAAGAAAATCAACAATACTTTGAATGCAAAAAGAGCGAAGAAAAAGCTATTTCTTCAGCATCAGCGAGTAATTCCTGGTAATCCGGGGCTCTTGGGCATGATATCCAGAGTCTTGGCGAATCTTGCCATAAGTCTATTGCGAACGGTACCTTCGGGGCATACATATGGGCACGTGTGCACACATGCAGACCATCACACCTCGCGGATTCACAGTCTTCCGGCTTGCGCCGCCGCAGACGATCTCTGGCCTGAACTAATATGCGACGCTCGCTGTGAGAATTTTCCCAATTGCCGAGGAGTCCCACCCGACGGGAAGTTTCTTGGGTGTTTCAGTTCTAAAACGAGATATGTGGACCAAGCAGTGAGTCCGCGAGACACGACAATTGACGTCGCTGACAGTGTTCCGAGTCGGTCTTAAAGGCTTTTTTCACTCGTGCCAAGCGTGAAGTGATTGCACGGGGTGTTCTTATCTCGCGCTGCCTATAAATGTGAGCAAGGGAGTCTTCAGCTGGGGCACCGAAATGGGCAACACATCGGGAAAACATCAGCTTCGGGATCGTCCGCGAAAGAACGTCCACTGGAAAACTGCAGGTAGTTTGCGCGATTGAGGCGAATTCTTCTCGCCAGTGAAATGGGAGAAATTGACCGCCAGTGCCGGATTGTGAATTCCTCCCTGTGCATTTTTCCACCAGTCAAATCACACAATCACGAGTGAGATTTTCAGATTGAAAGTGATCAATTGAGTGACGGAGTGTCTGTGTTGGTGAATCAGGAAGGAGTTTTTCCGCAAATATTCACAGTTCAGACCTGAGTTTACCCATATTGCTTTTGGGTGAAAAATGGTTTGGGTGAATCTGTAAGAGTCGAACCCAGTGTTTCTCTGCGTCAAGCACTTCGGATGGGATATTTTTAGGCAGAGACAGTAAAATTGTAGTTGAGCAAAATGTGTGTATTATTTCTTATTTTGCCCAACATATTTATCCATTTAAACCATTTTAACCGTCGAAAGTGATGAGAAATGTTTGCATTCATGCACACGGAATTTATTGGCAGATATTTTTCGCCATAAAATGAATTTTTAGATGGCAATAAGCTGCAGACGCTGCAGATATGAAGACAAGTTGATATGATTTACAATTGATGTGCAATTTGCCTTTGCAGAGCCTCCAGTGGCTCCAGGGAAGCCAACGCTTGTGCCTGGTGATGCCGACTCAGCGCCCGATGTTGTCACCATTCGCTGGGAGAGGCCCCTCTCGGACGGCGGTGCCCCAATCCTGGGCTATCTCGTGGAGCACCGTCGCACTGGCTCCCCGCACTGGGTGCGCGCCACCCCCGGCCTCGTGCCCTACACCGAACTCACCCTGAGCGGCCTGGAACCTGGCTGGCGCTACCAGTTTCGCGTCACAGCCGAGAACATCGTCGGCCTGTCGCCGGCCAGCGAACTATCGGACGGACTGACTGTGACTCTCCAGCGCACGGCCATCAGCGTCCCGCGATTCGTGCAGGAGCTGCAAGACAGCACCGCCATCGAGAACGAGCGCGTGGAGTTCCACGTGAACGTCGTGGGAACGCCGCCGCCCGAGATCAACTGGTTCAAGGATGGCTTCGAGATGTTCAGCAGTCGCCGGACGAAAATACTCACGGAGAATGACACGAGCCTCCTAGTGATTCATCAGACAGCGCTGACCGATGAAGGTGGGCCAGATAGCGAATCTCTTTCATGCTGTGCTTGAGATCAATTTAATTGCCTTTCAGGTGAGATCAAGTGCACGGCGACTAATCGCGCCGGGCACGTGGTGACCAGGTGTCGGCTGAAGGTGGAGGCGCCGCCCAAGATTCGGCTGCCGCGTCAATACGAAGACGGGCTGCTTATCGAGGCGGATGAGATTATTCGGCTGAAGGTTGGCACGGCCGGCCGTCCGCCGCCCACAATCGCGTGGCTGCAGAATGGCGAGGAAGTGAAGTCTGACAATCGCCACGAAATCGTAACGACAGAGAGGAACTCCTCTCTGAAGATCACCAACGCTCGACGCTCCGATCGCGGAGAGTACAACGTGAGGGCGATCAACAGCCTGGGCGAGGACAATGCGTCCTTCCTCGTCACCGTGACATCGCGCCCCAGTCCGCCGGGGAAGGTCACGATCTCCATGTCCATCGGCAAGTCTGTGTCGCTGACGTGGTCGGAGCCGGAGGACGATGGCGGCTGCAAGATCGGCAACTACGTGGTGGAGTACTACCGTGTGGGCTGGAATGTGTGGCTGAAGGCCACGACAACGCGTCAATTGTCAACCACCCTCAATGATCTGATCGAAGGGAGTGAGTACAAGTTTCGTGTGAAGGCGGAGAATCCGTACGGGATGTCCGAGCCGAGCCAGGAGTCGGACATGCTGTTTATTCCAGATCCCAAGAGAGGCATCACCAAGCCAAATAGCTCAAGTGATACTAGTGTATTTATCGACGATCAACGACCAACGATTGTTCCCAGACGAAAGCACACAGCCTCGCCGCCCGCGCCGGCCAGTCAGTCCCTGGACAGCAACATAAACCAGCTGACACGGATGGTGGACAAGAGCGAACAGACTCACGTGGCGCGCCTCAGAATTCAGCGACCCACGGTCAATATTCAGTTGATACCTCAGGTGTTCGATTCGGAAACGATAGCACGAGACATATCCTACGGCACACCCGATCCCATCACCCTGGCGGCGGCGGAGAAGAGAGACAAGTCGCCGGCGAAGCAGAAAGAAAGATCACCGGCGAAACCGGAACGATCGCCGGAGAAGCAGGTCAATCTTCAGTTGCCAGAACCAGTGAAACCTCCAGAACGAACCCCATCACCAGCTCAGGAAGTTAGAGAACAGATTACAAGAGAAAAGACTCCGGAACCAGTCCAGCAAACAGTCCTCAGCGAGAAGAGCACAGTTCGTGTTCAGCTTGCGCCAGCAGATGTGGGACCGAGGATTGTGCAGATGAAGATTCAGGAGCCATCGCCGGAGAAGAAGATTGAGGAAGTCAGCAAAGAGGACATCGTTCCGGAGATTGCCAATTTGACACCAGAAAAAGACATGCAGAAGCCGTGGAAGAGCTTAAGAGCGCCGCGAGAGAACAACGAAGGAGTTCACAGCAGTGGAGAGTTCGTTCTCGTCCTCTATGATGACAAAGATCCCTCGAAGAATACGCCATCAAGTAAGCATTTTGTGATCCTTTATGTGGAATGGCTTTAAACTATGTATTTGCTTGCAGAACAACAATCCTTTGACTTTGAGGTGGACGAAGTTATGCCTCCACCGCCATTGTCTTTGTCAGCGCCAGAATTGTCTATTGAAATTCCTCCTCCGCCCATTCTCAGGCGATCAGTCAGCTCCACAGAATTGCTCTATGAGAGAGCCATGGCCAGGTTTTATCACGCTGTGGAGGCTGAAGAAGAGGCGGAAAAGGTGAAGAAACAGGGTCAAATCGTGCCAACTCTGAGAAAAACACCCAGTTTGACGCGGAAGGATTCCTTCGGTGAGCACGATCGCGGCGAAAGGAGAAGCTCTCTCAGACGTCGACTATCGGGAGAGATGCCGGCAATTGTGCCGGGAAATCTGCGGCGGAAAGACTCAGAAACTGGCAGCGTGGAGAAGGAAATTCCAGTGAAGAAAACAAAGCGCAAGAGCCCAATGAAATCGAATGAATCCATTGAGTACGTCAAAGACAGGGGAGATCTTGAGTACACTGATGATTACACGGACAGCACGGTGTCATCAGATGAGTCAGAAACTGAGAAGTTCAAGAGAAAAGTCCGGGAACATGCAAACGTCTTTTCGGGAGATGAGGAACTGGAGACTTATCATCCCAGTGGGGCGCAGGTTAGGGTGGGATCTCCCTACAGTCAGCCTGCGCCGGATCAATCGGCGGAGATTCTGTCGAGACCCTTCAACCTGCCGAGTCCGGACTTTGTTCCCAAACCCATCCTCAAGAGACGAACGTCGCTGGAGGGCGACTCCTCTTCCAAGGAAGACGACAACGACAGGAAAAGCAAGACTCCGGAGAAGGGAGCGCTGTCGAAGATATTCGATCTGAAACCTCTGTCCAAAGGCAGCAGCAACAGCAAATTGCAGGAGGAGAAACCAGTGGTTGTCGAGAAGCCTCTCACGGCGAGTGAGCTGGCGAAGAAGAAGAAACTGGAGGAGAGACAAGCGTCGCTGGAGGAGGAGAAGGTGGTGATTGATCACTACAGCGATCTCGTGCGTGAATTTAGCAGTGGTCGAAGAACTCCCGTTCCCATCTATCTCAGTGCCGACGAGCTAAAATTGGCCGCGGAACCCGAAGAGGAAGAGCCGCCACCAAAGCCAGTTGAAGTGAAGCGAGCGCCTTCTGCAGAACCAAAGAATCGCTCACGAAGCAGTTCGGCAACGCGAAAGCGCCCTGAGACGGCGCCAAGTGAGAAGGCGCAGAGCAGTAATGTGACAACGCGAGGGAGATCACCAGCGCCGAAAACTGTGGCGGAGAAGAAGATGCCCAAGTCGAGAGATGTGTCTGCCTCGTCGCAAACCAGGCGACCCGTGAAGTCGGCCGTGGAGAAGAGAGCGGCTTCCAAGACGAGGAATCGCAGTGAGTCCAAGTCGCCTGCAGCGGCGAACAGGCGACCGCTGGCAGTGAAGGCGCCTGAAGTGCCGAAGGCCAAGGAGCCACCCAGTCCGCCACCCTCGCCATCGAGATCCCAGACGCCGGAGGAGATTTCGCAGGAGGACGCAGACATCAAGGTGAAGTCCACGCTGGCCTGGGTGACCGACTTGGCGCTGTTCTTGGCCGCGTGCTGGGTGTACTTCTTCAAAGACGCCCGCCTCGTGATCCCCATTCTCGCCCTCATGGTGTACCGGCAAATCGGCGACGCCGTGAAGAACAACATGCCCTCGTGGATGAAGAAGAAGGGCAGCTAACAATGAGACGAGGTTGTATCAATTATGTATAAATCTACTTGTTCAAGAAATTTGTTGAAAAATCTGCGAATCAAATAAAGAGTATATAAAAATGACTTGATTTTGCTATAGAAATACTGGCACAATAGGAAATGCGTCCGAACTTTCATCCCATTTCCTATTCCTATCACGCAAATTGCATTACCACAGACATTCTTCGGCACATGAGGCGAGAGGTGAAGGTTTTCCATGTCACCGCAAGGAAAGATCACACCTTAAAATTGCACGCGCACAAGTTGTCGAAAAGTGTCTATGAAAGTACTTTGTATGCGGCGCGTGTCTTGTGGCGGTGAATTACGCTCAATTAGAATTCGACGGCGTTTCTGGAGCTCCGGCGACTGTCCTGAATGGCGCTTTTGAGGAGGGACGAGAGCCACTTTGGACACAAAGCACAAAGTGCGTGCACTCGGCGGTACATCACCATAACGGGCCATTTCTCACCTGACTTTTGTGAGGAGCTAACGTCTTGCGCGCTGCCACAATCGGAGTTATCAGGAAGTGTGTGTGTGCATTAAGAAAGTGTCTCACCATTAATTGCGTGGAGTGTTTTTCGTAAGACGGTAGAGAAAGGAATTGTGTGATTTGTTTTGTTCTTGACGGTGAGGAAGAGTGTGTGTGTGGGAAAATGAAGTTACTGGACTTATTTGTCATCATCATCCGCTTAATTAATCTCGTGCGGATTCAGTGCATAATGAGGATTTGCAAGGAAGCTGAGCGATTGAAGAATCTTCGAGTGGTAAAGTGGACGATAAATCTGGTGAGTTGCAAAATGCATTTCAGCAGTCACGAGAACAAATTGTCTTTGATAGGGCTATTAAAATGCTTCCCTCGAAAATAGATTTGGTACAAGAAAAGCATAAGTAAATCAATTAATTGTTCGCACTCAGCGAATGACGACAGAGCGAAAGATAGTTTAAATAGCCTGAATTGTGATACAACAAAAGTCACCACAGGTAATAAACGTGAATATGTATTTCATCGGTCAATTCAGCGTATATTTATGAATGAATATTTTTGAGGTTTAAACCCCTTGGCATGTGGCTTCGCCTTAACCATCGAGAATATCGCATAGTTTCAGGCGATATCACTGTTCCATCGCTCGCCAGAGTCCATTCACTTTTATTCCATTTCAAATCATGAGCCGTTTACGAGACGAACACACCCCAAGATAGAGCACGAAACATTCGAGCTTATCCCCCAATCGACAGTCCATTTGCTCAATTATTTCCCTGAAGCGACTTCAATTGAGGTGTGTTTGCTGAGGGTGGACGCGTCTCGTTAACTTCCTGGGTGGCAGTGAATTTCATAGAGTGCTTCCATGAAAAGGTGCGGCTTTGAGGTATTTTAGTGGAACTAGAAATTACAAAGGATAAATTAAAACGTAAAACACTTCTGATTGCGTTGAAATATTCAATGATTTAGTTAAAGTCTATTTTATAATTCAAAATTCAGTTGGTTTTACAAGCAAAGGAGGAGATAATGTAGTCAGAAGTTTTGTACAGATTAGAAGAATTTTTAAGAAGTGTTTCAATATTTTTTTTATATTTGAGTTTTGATTTTCTACTGAATATTTTACTCTCAAAAATTAATTTTTGTGTTATCAGATTTTAGTTAGTTTTCAGTTGATTTTTAGGATAATAAAATTAAGAAATTAGGCACAAGATCACTGATTTTGGCCTTATTATTCGTTTTATTCAAATAGTAAACTTTTCACTGTGTTCTGAGAATTATTTAAGGATTTTTCATACGAATTGTGAATTAATTCTTATCCAATTCTCCATTCTGACATATATTTTCTAGGTTATGTGATCTGTTAAGAAGGAAAAAGAATTTAAAATAGAAATTTTTACACTGAAAACGAAATTATTGTCATTTATGAGTGTAGAATTGTGTATTTGTATTTAATGCAAATCACGATTCTGGAAGTTAAGAAACTTTAAATCAAACATAACCTCAAATTTTTACTCTCAAACACCAAATTTTAAGCTACAATGAGTGTAATTAAGAATAAATATTGATATCGAAAAGTGTAATTATAAGCAGAAAGTCTAAAAATCAAAGTTATAGAACTGTTAGTTAGATTTCAGTTAGATGATAGTCCTAATCTGTGAAGTCTGAAGTCCTGAAAAGTGTGATTTTAGCCATATTATCGTCCCCTTGGATAATAGAGAGCTAGAGATGAAAGATGACACAACAATTGACCAGACATTACTCTCAAGAAAAAGCCACAAACTCACTTCCTGAACTTTTGGACATTTGGACACTCGCATTGAGCATTAAACTCTCAACTAAACACTCGAGAGAATAATTAGAAACATCGTCTGAAGTTATGCTTGTGACTTGTGAACGGTATATTATTGTCTGGGTGTTTAAGAATGCAAAATGGCTTTTCACTTTAGCACTATGTCAGGTAATAATAGAATGGAGTAAACACTATGTTTGTGTCAGCAAAACTGTATATATTGAATGTGAATATTCTATGACTTGTATCTGTGGAATGTGAACGCAATCCTTCGGCAATTTTTCGCTGTAAGGAGAGACGACCACACCTCGGAGTGCATTCTAGGGGGTCTGTGACACTCTCTCGCGGGCAATTATTTCATCTGAATATATTATTTCGCTCGTCTCTTCCCCTGTTCACCCACGGAGGTGATTGTCTTACTTATTGCACTAATGGCTCGGAAAACAACAGCACTGCTTCACTGCCAAGACGTGATCACATCTCAGCGCTCTGAATTCGCGAGGGAATTCAGCGATGACGAATTGGGAGAAACTTAGCCAAATCTATTGGAATCTCTTCGTTTTTTTGCTCAAAGTGTAATTACTGCAATTCTCACCTTGACCTTCTCCAACAATGAGGAGCTTTGGGAGTTTGTCCTCAGACTGTTGGAGGAGTTCTCAGAGGAAATCTCCGTGGAAATGAGATCTGCTGTGTGGCTTAGAGGCAGTGAAATATGAAATTCAGCAAAGGAATCAATTATGTGGTCAAGACCATATTTATGCAGAGCGCAAAGAGACTTTCTATGCGACGCTGAATGTGCAGCATGGTTTGTAATTGATGTTAATATCTTGCATTTGGTATTTTAGCGCTCAGTGGCCAGATAGTCGTGAATTTAAATCATGTGCTTGACGATCGAATTTATGTTGCTTCACCAAAAATGTGCAGTCACTTTTGCAGCGTATCCACATAACAATTCAGAGTGTAACAAATTTTCTTGCAATGATAGAAAAAGGTACCTGACAACACCTTTAGATTTTTCCTAATCATAATTTATCAACACAAACTATTCTGAATGAAATATGGCGAGATCGTGCAGATGAAAGGGGTCAGAGTTGCAGCACTGAATTGGGTCACAGAGAGCGAGTCAACACCACTGGAAGTGGACATTTGGCAGGTTGAATGGATTGTGAGTTGAAATGAAAAGTAAGCGCCGACTCTTAGTTATGCAAGAGTTGTTGGCTTAAGAAATTAACCCCCTTGGATCGAGGTTGATTATCGACGTCACTCGTGGTGATTATGCGAGTGAAAGTGCAGAAATTAATGATGGACAGGAAAGTTGGGATTTTCACCCTCTTGATTCTGGAAAGATTGTAGAAGAGAAAAACAATTAAATACACTGGTGAAGAGTCATGTTTATCTTTCAAATCTTATAAATTTCCTCTGGCAATTAGAGCAATAAAAGAGCATTTTGTTAGGGGGGGAAAAAACAGAAGATTGATGAAAACTCTTCGGCGAATCGAACATAAACAGACGCTTGAAGCGATGATTTCTTGCCCATCAAAACGACGTGTTCACGACTCACTTTACTTCTCATCACATTCACGTAATTCATCAACTCTAGAGCTTAATTGTCCTAATTAATACCAAAAATGTTGCGGATCTGGAAATTTATTTGTCTCCCACTAAAATTGATGATCAAATTCATCGCCACAAAACATAAGAAAAAACATAAAAAAATATGCAGTGTAAAAGTATTCAACTTGGCGTGATTGAAATTTCTATCAAGATATTTCTGCAGCTTTTTTCGCCCCGCACAAAAATTCGTGCTGGCGATGAAAAGTATGGTGAAAAATTATTTATGTTATGGTTTTTTGAGCCATGAGCAAATTAGGAGGGTGAGACATTAAAAAAAAAACGCTAAAGTTTATTTACACTAAGCCGAACAGCATGTCAGTCTAAAAGAGAAACTTTGCTTGGAAATTTGTCTGCAAAATATTTTCGCTGGCTTATCCAGAGAGAAATGTGAGACGAAACGAGAACAATGCGAGTGGATGGAAATAAAACAGCCAACGTACTTTTTCGTAGAAATGAAAATCCACTATATATGTATACATATGTATGTTTGTACACAAATGTCGCGTAGCTTCTGAATCATCAACGGTTTCCCGGAGTTTAGAGCAACTGAAGACGCCCAGATTTTGAGCCCAAGAATTGGTGTTTCTTAATGAAAATTGCCGCAGGATTTCTGCTCATCTTCAATTCCGTGATTCACACAGCATTTCATTTCATTTTTATAAATGATAATAAGTGTTGGCAGAAAAAGTGAAACTATTTACCAGCTGAAATCATGATTTATAAATCCAAAATGAGAGTTATAACGCTCTGTGAGATTGTTATTCTACAAGAAGTGAAATTCATGCTCGCGGAATATCCATTGGAATGAAGTTCTTCAATGTGTAACTTCACCGCATGGTGCAACCGTCAAATGACACCTTTTATCCACAATTTCTGCGACAACAATTAAAATTGTTTGATAGAAAAGAAATTGTGAGTTTTTCCGCTGCGGATTTAATTGAGCCGATCATCCTGAGAAATCTCTGGTACTTTTCAAGGTTTGCAACTTTCAGCGTCTTTTTAATTATTTCACGGGTTTTTTTTCTCTAGTGAATTCCTTTCTTTTATTGTGTTTGCTTTCTGTGTCATTTACTCTCAATATTACGTGGCTTTGAATAATTTTTCAATTTTGTTTGCTAGACAGTTATGACTTTTGACTAGACTTTGGCTCAAGCATAACAACTCGTCTGGAGCAGCTCAAAAGACATTTGATGGATTCAGAGCGTATCATTGCGAAATTCGTAGAAATATTGCAAAATTGCCATTAAGTAATTCAGATTCTCCGTAAAAGATTCTTAATTTTTGAAGATATTCCAAGGATGAGAGCTGGAAATGGTAAAATATTCAGAATATCTGCATTGCAAAAGCATATTTTTCGACAAATTGAGACAGTTTCTAAAGTATTTTGCTGAGAACAACCGATTTTGTTGCTTTTCTAGGTTATGATATTGATTCAAAACAGATTCTGATGATAAAGTAATCCTTAAAATGAAGAAATTTGTGTTTATTCTAAGTATATTTCTCTTTTTCTTACGCAAAATTGGACATTTTTAAAGAGAAAAAGCTTTAAAGTAATTCATAAACTTAAAAAATATAGTTTTCGTGTATGAGAATAATTCTTTCTTCTGTTATTTCCGCGGTTATTTCTTTAAAATTGCAAATTTAGGCTCAATTTTCAGTAGGAAGGATTTCTTGGGTGAATTCATAACCTTACAATTTAGTTTTTCTAAGCATTTTCCAAATATGAAACTAGAAAATTAACATTAAAATTGCTCATAAATAAATCCTTCACATTAAGATCAGTTCTTGCAATCTGAAATCATCGCATTTGAAGAACTTAAAGTCAAAAATGAATTATGAAATCAGTTGAAGGAGTCTTAAAAGCGATGGAAAATGCCTTTAAAGTGTTAAAGAGTGAACTAGAAGATCACGATCGTTTCATTTCCTTCGCATTTCTTTTCCACCTTATCTCGGTTGTATTTAATTCTCCATACAACATTAAACTTTCAGTTGATGCATGTCTTTGACTTTGCCAGTGGAATGAATCTTTCATGTTGCATTTTTCACTGTTTTCCCCGCGTGATTGTTGGATGGAAAAACTAACACCGAAGACGCTCAACTGGGAGAAACACACCGCTGGTTGTGTGGCGTATACAATTTCATTTATACTGGAGTGCGATTATGAATGAGGCATCAACACCGAGTGAATTTTTCCCGCTTATTTGCCGTGCTGCCGAGTGGATTGCGCGCAGCGTTGACGGTTGAGGCATTTTTCGATGATACCCATCCATTCAGTTTATCGTGAGTCGCGGCAACTATTGTTGTGTTGTGTGCCTCTATCACAAGAGTTGTTCATTTTCACTGTTTTTCTCTGCTTCTGCATCAACACACCCTCTGAAGTTTTCTCTACCGGATTGATTTGGCCAATTCCCCGCGCGCGCGAAACCCCGCAAGAAGTCCTCCTTACTTTTCCTCTCCTTCCCCGCCCACCTGAGCGCAAGGAATCCAATCCGTGGCCGAGAGATTTTGCGGTGTGGTGTTTTCGCGACGAAATCTCTTGGATTTGCATTCTGTGTGTGCTTCAATCATGATGATGGTGTATGAATTACTTGTGCAAACGTTGGATTATTTGAACTGACAGGCAAAAAACCTTGAAGTCATCAGCGTTGCCGCGGACGCTGGAGAATTCACACATGAGTGGGTGATTCGAAAGAGTGCTGTAAAGAAAAGAAAAAAATATCCCAGCAAGATGGCCTACGTTGTGTGGAGAGTTCTTATGAAAAAGTACACCAAAGCCCGACTTGGACTACAACGAAATCCGCAGCTTGTAAGTTTTTCTCTGCATTTGGAGGTTAATTGCATTAATAAATTGTTTGTAAAACAATCAAAGTCAATGTAAGAAAGCAAATGAAACCATTAAATTGAAAGTGTACTCTGGGTTGATTCACAATTTTCGTTCCGCCAAATTATATCTGATTGTTACTTCTTTCATGATTTAGAGGTGAAAAATTGCTGAGAAATATCTTCTGCACTGTTTCCTTCTAAATAGATTGCCTCAAAGCAAGGGGCAGATATTCTGGTTGGAAGTGTTGTACAACTTCTACATAATTCTGTTTAAATTTTATCAATTTTAATGCCTTTTTCTAAGTTATGTGATTGATTTAAGACAGATTCTGGTGATTAAAATCATGAAAATTTTGTTGATTTCGGGAATATTTCTCGTAAAAAAGCTTAAAAGTCAATCATAACCTAAAAAATGTCATTTTCTTCTAGAGAATTATTTTTTTCCCTAGATATTTTTGCGTTTTGTGCTTAAAAGTGTCAAATTTAACGTAATTATCTTAAAGAAACATTGTGTTATTCGCCATATTTACTAATTTCCTGGTGTAAAAAGGTTCAAATGAGTTCAAGAAGGATTTTAAAAGCCAGATTCATAACCTCACAATTTTATCAGATTTTATTTAGAGTATTTTCCGGCCATAAAACTAGAAAATCAAGTCAGAAATTTGTTATAAGCGAATCAAGAAAGATTAAAAACAATTTTTATAATCCGAAATCTAAGCATTTGAAGAGCTTAAACTTCTGAGTCTGAAGCCTAAAGAAATGGTGTACAGACTTAAGGCATATTATCTCCCCCTTGTCTCAGAGTCATCGAGCACTGGGAGAAGAAGAAGACACAAATTGTGTCTCGTTCTATCTAGAAACATCGCTGAATAGCTGTGAGTGTTGCTGAAGAAAAAAAGTAGGGCTTCACAAAATAAGAAATAAGTTATTGGCTCAATTTGCGCCATCATCAATCAATAAGCACAATTATTAATTTGGTTAATGCTATATTTAACCAGCCATTGAAATCTGACAAGATGATTTTTTTCTGGGTTACGCCGAGGTGTGTCACTTGATGGATTGTTAAACATGAGCGCAAAAGAGAACATTTCTACAATGCAGGGTGACGGAAAAATTGTACAAAATGTATAAGACAAACAGCATTTTGCCATTGAGTGCAAGATAAGTGTTTATCGAAGCTATTGGCGGATTTTTTTTCTGCTGTATATATTCGCTGTCCTGAAGAGAGACACGTGGGAGTGGCAGAGCATGAAGTAATCCGCGAGAATCCGTACTTACACCCCCGCTTTTGTATCTGCATAGATAGCAAATCTATCGCGCCACACACGAATATGAATATGTATTGCGCAAATGAGTGTGAGCCACTTTTGTGCGATGCATTTTTCCTTCCCCCCCCCCCGTGGAAATGCCCACAACACGTTGCTCTGCGAGCCATATTTTCTCAAACCATCATTTATGCCTGAAAACGTCACAAAAAGTGCACAACAAAAGGTTGACTTGCCAAGACGATGAAGAAGATGGAAAAGTCCAGGAAAACGAAACGGGCCACGATTACAATCTAAATGGTAATGAAGTCGGGAAGATGGATGTAATTTTCATGTCTCTCATCAGGTTTAAAAATTAATAATTAGCAAATTTCACTAATTAATCCCTTTCCTTCATTAAATTCTTTGCCATGATGCGTTCTTCATTGTATAGTTTCTTGCGATAACATGATGTATTTTGCACGGTGAATTTTTTGTTTTAGCACAATTCTTGCGTTCCCACGCCAAAGGAAAATGGGCGAGTTTTAGAAGAGAAAAATATACATTTTCCATGATTCTCCATGCTAATGCTATCAGTCGATCAGCTAATCTCACGCCACGATTATGATAATTATTAAGTGGAACAATCTCATGGTTGTGATTTAAAGTCTAGAATCTTAGAATCATTTTTACCGTGTTAAAACGAAGGATTTTGAATTTTCAAAGTGTAACCAGTGAGATTTTCTCCTTCGTGGGTGTCCAATTAGAGCATTTCAATATAACAGCCGCAAAACATGAAGCTATTTTGTGTGTAAATTCTCTAAATTACCCACTCTCATTGCCCAATGAGGAGATCTTTGTCGAGCTGTGTGGTGATAAAGCGCATTAGGACGAAAAAGTAATATCTCGCGGTGAAATTAAAGGCACGCAGAATAATTTCTGCGTCGCGAGATCGTGACTATTGCAAAGAAAATGGCCATACTTTGAGCAATCATTTGGTCTTTAATTGAATTTCCCACGAGCAAAACAAGATCGGCCCGCGTGACCCTTTGGCATTAGCCATGCGCGAAGCAGAGAAATTTGTCTCTATTGATAAAAGACTATCGCGCGCAAGATTCAATATTCCCGCCTTCATCTGGTGGTCCACATTCGGGGAGCCCAACCTTGACAGTGAGAGAGAGACTCCTTTGTGGAACGCTCGAAGACTTCAATAGATGCTAATCAATTAATTCATCATGCCAGAGTGGCAAAAAAGTAAAAGTCAAACATTGCTGACTTTTCAGCACTTTGACTCGCTCATCCGTAAAATTGGGGAATCTTTCCCTCTCTTTCACTTGATGTGCACTCGCGGAATATATAATCGGTCGCTATTTTCCTCACTTTCAAACACTGCTGCTCAGTTGATGGAGAATACTTGCGCGCACCGAAGCAAAGTGTTAATTTAATTAATGCAAGAAATAAGTGGATTTTTTTCCATGCGCCTCTGCGCTATTTGCCATGCCAATTGCCGATGCTATCATTCTGGCGTGCTTCATGGACTTCTGGAGGCATGAGAGATTGGCATATTATTGATTTTGTCGTGCAATTGAAAGTTTGGCGAGCATGAAATTGGCACAGTGTATCTAAATTTGCCACTTGCAGCTCTGCTCATCAGCTCATGATCTCTACGCCACACAAAGAATGCAAACAGGCATTCTTCAGCCCCTCAACACTGCGGTGCTTTGCATAGTCTTCAGCATATTTCTGCCTATTTGGAGAGTGTTTTGCAAATCTGCACGCCTGGTTGGGACACACCCAATGCTAAGAATATGAAAATATGCGAAGCCAGCGCTAAAGAGTCAAGCTTTTGTTTAGTGCGGTGTCCAAAAAATAAGAGCAGAAATCAAATGACTATGCTTTCAGCATATAAGCAAATATTCCTTCACAGTTCATATACTCTCGCCAAGGTTATTAGACGGGGTTTTAATTTATATTCCTCACGTCTATTCGCTCCATAAAAAAAACCGCCTCGCGTCGCTCTCCTGATCCTCTGGAGCGTACAATGGCGATAGACGTTTGTGTGCCAGGGAAGAATTGACCCAAGGATGAAAATATTCTACATTCACGATGAGCCATTTGGCTAGAGTGCTGTAAATTCCAATTACGACGGAGCTCAACGTGAACGCCATTCCTTCGTCCGATCGTCACCTGAGGGGGTAGCAATATTGGTATAACAGTTATTCTCCATTCTATGCTGATGCCCTGCTATATGTACGCAAAATTACACTTAAGTGAGTCAATATTGAGGAAGAGGTCAGACACTTTGCAAACACTGCCGATTCGCCTAATTCTCCTGCCGTTCCTCACAAACCGCTCTTGTCAGCGGACTCACGGCGCTCGATGGCTCAACAAAGAAGTCAGAGAGATGTTATTTTCAGCTGTATATAGGCCACTTCTTTGAGGTGTTGTTCTGGCCTTTGTAGAACCAGAATTATATCGGTGAGAATCTTAAGAAATCATCCCGCTTCGTTGGAATCAAGGGAGAGACTAGTCGTCTGCGCAAAGAGTACACCTCAAACCGTCTCTTCTACAATACTTTCACAGTGGGAAACCTTAAAGAGGAGGAAAAACTATTTCTTTAACCTTTCTTTCAAAGACAGAATAAATAAATTTCAATTTAAAATAGTTTATTATGAATATCATAGAATATTTCATGATATTGCATGATTTTTTATGTTAATCTGTAATTATCTTGTTAATCTGGCAATTTATTAGTGATATTTATGATTTTATATGAATATCATATAATATTTTATTATATTGTATAATATTTCGGTTAATGATTGCAATTTGTATGGAGTAATTAAAATTTAAATGAAAATTAAGAAATGTTTAAATAATCCAAATGTTAATGATCTCAAATAGCGAGTTAGTTTTTTCTTTAGCGAAAATTAAAGCAGGACATTAAGAAATGAGTTTTGAATATTTAGAAGACATCCTAGAACCAAATCCTGATCAGATGCTTTCAATAAAGTGTAAAATCGGAAGCAAAGTTGATTTAAATCAATTTGCAAGTGTCTTAAATTAATTTTCACTACTGTATTTACCAATATTGAATGACGCACTGAAATATATTCAAAATGAATCCTAATAAAATTTGTACACCGCGCATTGAAACTCTCTTCCCCTTGCTTCTGACACACTTTGTGTGTCTTCCATTGATTTTGTCCTCAAAATCATACTTGATGAACCATTTTTTTTTGCGAAATAATTTGCCTTTCTGTCACTTGATAAATTAGTGCGCAATTGCATTTTTTCCACAGCCAAAGAAAGGCTCATTGTTCATTAAATCGAAATGTAAGTCAATGAATTCTATTCACACAATCAGGAAAATCCCGACCAGACGAAAAAAAAGTCTGCTTTGTTCAGTATAAAAGAGCATTAGGAAAGAGTCTGCGGCTATACATCATCAAGTATCATGCGATTTGCAGAAGAATTGAAGAGAATCTGAATTGACGATACATAAATCATGTGTTGCAATTCTGGGTCATGTCGTCGTAGAAGTGGAGATTTTTGCCAAACTGATTAAGATGTGATGGAGGGAAGTGAGGCTGGGCTGGAATTAATATGAGAAATTTGTTTGTCAATTTGCACCGGCAACAGCCAGACAAACAATACTCACTATTAACTTATGCCCGCAATTTAAGTGATTTATGGAGACGCGCGGCTGGAATGAGGATGGAAAAAAGTGGTATTAGAA